GCACATACATCCTTCACGTGTGGTGGCATGTGTGTGTGTGTGTGTGCAGCCATACGCGAGACCACTTGCAGCCAATGTTCATGGCCATCGCGCCATGGTGCCTTCTGCGGCCACCACAGGCCGTCAGCTTAGGGCCCTTCTCGTCTGGGTAAGTACCTAAGCATACACCAATACTCTGACACCGATAGACAGACAGACAGACAGAGAGGGACATCGGCCGACCTTTAGGAATCTTTTCTGTCTCCTTTGCGTGCAGGTAAGTAAGCCGCCCCTTCGTGGGTGGTCTGAAAGCCTTGGCGGGGGGGCCCCACGTGACGCGACTGTCGATAACCAACCAGTCGCCAAACACGTCTCCCTCGAAGCCCCCGTCCATCCACCGGTGAGCAGCCCGCAGTTTGCCAACACGCCCACCCCCTCACCACGCCATGGATGTGTCTGTCTCTTTCAGGTCGCTGCTTGTGGAGGCCCGCAGGCAGAGCGCCCCCAGCTCCAGCCTCATAGCGATATCAGCACCCCCGGCCGACAGGCCCCTGGCGCGGCACTCCCGCCGTCAGGCTTCCCCCCTCCCATGATCCCCCGCCCACCGCCGTTTCCCTCGATCCACCCCTCTGCGCCACTGGCCCCCGCTGCACCCCATCGGCAGCCTCTGATGCTGCCTGCCCTTCGTTCGTCCCTCAGAAGGTACGTGAGGGAGCACTGAAGGCATCAGGCAATGCCCACCGGTGGGCTTGCGTGTGTGTCGTGTGTGTGTGCCTTGGCAGGTGGGCCATGTCCGTCGTCCGAGCCAAGCCACGATGGGCGGGGGAAGGCCGCTTTGGCCGTATCCCGTCCACGATGGGCGGGGGAAGGCCGCTTTGGCCGTATCCCGTCCATCACGCATGGCTCAGGACAACAGACATGCCCTCCCTCTGGAACCCCGAGGCAGCCAAGGCAAGGCGGTGGAGGCCGCCTCCATGCGCATGATGGCTCTGAGACAGGCAGCCGCACCCGTGGCGAAGACAAGACCGCCATCAAACCCACCAAGGTAAGGTACCCACACGCCCCCGTCTGCCCACTCGCCACTCCCACTCATCCATTGATGTGCCACGTGTATGTGTAGGGGGAGGACCTGACTGACTGACGAGGAGTGGCAGTTCGCCGACGTCCTCACGAGGCTGCTGAATGGGACACGCCCTTCGAGCGGGCGATGCGGCAGCTGGCGGGGATGAAGGGGGATGAAGGGAGAGGAGGATGCGTCCCCCTCACAGACTCACCAACCATCCGCCTAAAGGCGGCCGTGGGCCTCCCTCTACTCCACCGACAAGTGCCACCTTCAAGACACCCAGCCCGACCGGCGCAGCATCCAGTCGCTCCGCAGCTGGCAGGCAGAGAGCGTCAGTCACTGTGGCGTGCGGCAAGTGTGCGAGCGAATAACATCGATGTGTACGACCTGGACGGCTCAGTGTCGGTGGTGGATGGATGGATAAATGGGTGGTGCCAGGGGCGTGGGTGTGCATGGGTGGGTGCCTTATGGTCTCTTTGCTCTCTTCCAAACTGGCCTTTCTGTGCGGGCGGATGGATGAATGGATGGATGCGTGAGATGCGTGGAGAGGCGTGAGCGTAACGCCATGCCTGTGTGCATCCGTGTCGACTTACTACTACTGACTGACTGACTGCGTCTTTATTGTATTTTTGGTCCACGGCTCACTCCACTTACATGTGCTGTTTGTATGGATGTATAGGCTTACCTTATTACTGCAGGCACCCACAGGCTCACTCACTTCTCCTCTCCTGCTTTGGCGGTTTTGGGTGCGGCCCGCTTCACATCACACCGAACCGCCAAGACACACATGCGCACCACGAGCACAAAGGTCGACCCGGTGCATCCGTGGTGACTTACTACTGACTTGCTAGTCCACCATTCATTCACTGGCTTCCCTTTGTCATCCAGCGCTTTTGCTTAGCCCACCCACCCACTCAGGCACACACATGCGGACCAGGAGCACACACTGTCTTCTCTCATTTGAAGTCGACCCCTCCCTCATACTGCTTGCTGACGCGACACGATGCACAGCTTTCTGGCTGCTGCGCAAGAGCACTGTTCTTTCCGCCGCTGTTTTTCGTCGTTGGCCGCGTTTTTCCAGCGTCCGGCGGACACCACAGCTGTCCATCAGCCGCTGCTCTGTCGGCGGTTCTTGTGCCGCCGCACACCTCATTTACGTCTGAGTATGTACCTGCCAGTATACTGGCCAGCTCAGCTGGGCACTAACACACAAAGGCGTGTTCATCGGTGCGCCTAGATGTGTGTGACGTGTGCATATATTGCGCACATGTACCCTTCCTTCCACAGCACAACACAAATATCGGCGCGGAACACCATGATGCCATGCCGTCTGACGAGTCGAGGTACATGGGATGAATTACATGGCGTGAAGAGTCTGCAAGTGGATGGATGGATGGCAAACTCCGTGCGCCTGCATGTCCCGCGCTTTTGGTCGTTGCAGGCGCACTGTTCGCCCACACACAGACACATTTGAGAGCATTACACACACACAGACATACATACACAATACAGACAGACAGACAGACAGAATACAGACAGACAGACAGATGTGTACGTCAGTTTGCTTGTCCATGTAGGCACGCTGTGCGATGGGTGTCAGTCTGCTGGGAATGTTTGCTCCGCCCGTGGGTGTGCCCACGCCAGTGTGTCTGCCGTTGCTGCGTACCATAGTGGACAATCAATGGATGGATGGATGGATGGCGGTTTGTCGTTTGCAGAGTGCCTGCAGGCGGCGTATTACTTACGTGAATGTCTGTCCGCCTCTCTCTTTGTCTGTGTGTGTGTTTGTGTGATGTATGTGGCGATGTATCTGTCTGCTGTATGTCTCGTCCGTGGGTTTGCCCGCGCCAAAGTGCCTCTTCGCTGTGTGGGGGTTTGGTTAGGGGAGAGTGGTCAGTGTGTCGATTGGTGATTCGTCGCTTGCCACGAACGTGCGTTGATCTCTATGTTTCGTGTACCCTGGTGCTGTCTTGCTGAGCGAAGGCCCTCATTGTGGGCATCACCGTACTGATCACGGCAGGCAGCAAAAGTGTGCTGATCATCGGCGGCAACAAACCCTGGAACCCAAACCCTTTGGTTTTGGTTGTTTATGTCATGCCGTCATCTTTGCCTGTCGTGTCTGACGAGCGTTTTCTCCGCAACTATGCCGAGGTGGCGTTCTACGGCGGCATTCGGGGCATCCTTCGTCTGCCGTTCGAGCACCCCCTGGACGCCATGAAGACCTACTGGCAGGCCCAGCCTCAGATCAGGTCTTTCAGGGACGTGGGAGTCGCCATATGGCGCGACAGGGGAGTTGCTGGCTTCTATGCGGGAGCAGTCCCAAACAGTGTCAGAGTGACCCTCAAGGAGGTGTACAGGTGGGCAGACAGAGGGTGGGAGGGAGGGAGGAAGCGCAAGCAGACAAGATGGTGCCGTGGTTGTGTTGTGTGTTGTGTGTGGTGATGTGCAGGTGGCCATTGATGATGTGTCTGCCTCAGCTGTTCACGACCATTTGGCCTTCGGGACCGCAGGATCCCGCCCTCATCAAGACACTCACCGGCTTCTCGCTCGCAAGCGTCGAGTCGTTCATCATCTGCCCACTGTAAACCGGACACATACAAACACACACAGACACACAGATACACAGACACACAGACACAAGACACAATCAAAGGAGCTCGAATCTCTGTTTGTCTGTGTGTGTGGTGTATGTATGTGTCAGGGAGCGTCTGAAGGTAGTGTTGATGACCCGCCCCGCCTCAGTGACGACCCGTCAGACCCTGCAGCACATCATCTCGGGCCTCACCGCCCCCGCCTCCCACCATGGCCTCGACTACCTCTTCCAGGGGCTGGGGGCGGTCTACGCCCGACAGCTCATCAGCTGGGTGTCCTTTCTCGCCGCTGATGCCAAGCTCAAGGGGTGGGCGAGGCGGGCCACCCACAAGGACTACCTGGACTTTGGGACACTCATGGCCGTCGCCACTGGAGGTGAGGGAGGCAGAGATGGCGTCATGATGGTTGATGCCGGCATGCATGTGTTGCAGTTGGGTTGATCAACACGATAGCCGTCATGCCGGCTGACTGCATCAAGACCAAGCAGCAGCAGTTCGCCCCATCCACGCGAGCCCAAGCCCCCTCACCACCCCGCCCCTCTGACCCCCACCCCCTCCCCTCTGCTGCCCCCCGCTCCCTGGGCTTCGTGGCGACTGCGCGGCACATCTATGCGACGCAGGGCTATCAGGGGTTTTACGTGGGGTGGCGGGTGCGGTTTCTGCAGTACATGCTGAACGCTGCCTTTTCGTCTGCCCTGCTGGAGTGGCTGGAGAGACGGTGGATACTCACACACAGACTGGTGCCCAGACGGAAGGAGGAAGCCGAGTCAGGGGAAGGGGAGGGGGTGACCTGACGTGATGTGCCGCAGGGTGTGGAAGGGCAGAGCGAGAGCGGGGCTGCGTGGCTGGAGGTGTACAGTGAGTGATATCATGGGTGGCTGGGTGGGATGTGCTTCTTGTCTTGCTGCTTGGCTTGCCGCTGGCAGTCAGTCTTTCGGTATTCTTTTTCTGTTGATTGAAAGACTGAGTTAGTGCCTCCTTCTCTGCTGTCTGTCTGTCTCTATGGTTGTCTATCCTCTTGTTGGTTGCGGTCCGTCTGTCATGCCTTGCCCGCCTTCGACGTGTTAGTATCGTCTCTTCTGCGAGATGGTCCTGCAACGTCGACGAGGGGGCGCCATGGAAGCGGAGCTGCCTGCACGAAATAATGAGAGAAGACGGCTCTATCTGGAAGTGATCTATCTTGATCGGGGAGCGTGTTTCTTCAGCTGCGCGTTCTTGCTGCTTTGCGATGCAGACCTTGTTGTTGCCTTACTTGCACGGGCCCCACACCTGCACACCGGTCACGCCTGACCTGACCGATGGCAAGTGTGGGTCCTGTGCGATCAGGGCGACGTCGAGGTGTGTGTGGCGAAGGAGGGAGGGAGCAGCTGCTGCCTTGGGTGATGTGTGGGGCGAGCCATCGACGATGGGTGAGTGGGGCTCTTGGAGTCTGGCAGCTGTGCAGCGTGGTGTCGTGGGTGTGTTAAGTGTATAGCTGGCTTGCTGACTGAGTGTAGGCGACACGGACGGACCAGGGGACCGACCAATATGCTCAAAAGGCTTACTTGAACGACACACGCGCTAGGCGTCAATCACACTCGCCTCGCATCACAGCACATCACACCAAGATCGGCCCTGCTGCCAGTGTGTATCTTGTCATCCGGCTGGAGCGCATGACTTCCACCATCACCTCTCTCAACAGGGGTGGCAGAAGCCGCACGCTCGAGCCGGATGACAAGACACAGCCATGGCACACGGGGGACACAAGATCTAGCTCCTCAAGAGACAGACGCACTTAGTTGTCTGGCCATCCTTACTCTCCGCACAAAACAAACATACATCATTGAGAGCGAGCTGGCAAGGAACTGGGGTCGACGAGAGACGACCGATGCCCCATCCACGATGAAAGCCCGTCACTCACCCACTCTCCGTCTCGCTGTCGCTCAATTAGAGCCTGTGGACGAAGCCATGGCGGCGGCCTTGTCGCACTGCAGGTGGACGCAAGTGCCGTCGGGATATGCCACGAAGGCCTTATCGAGAATGCGACGAGTACACAACGGACAAGACCGGTCGCCTGTGATGGTCACACACCTGTGCACACACACACACACACACACAGAAAGATGACACACGGCACGGCACCCACCGATCCACTCCCCGACTCACTCACCTTGATCTCAGCTGGCTCCACTGTTGGTGTGTCTTGAGGAAGGCCATGCTGCTGAGGTGCTCCTCAATGGCCCTCGAGCGCACCGCATGAAGCCGTGTCCGCAGCCCCACCGTCCAGTAGTCCACCACCTCAGTCAGCAGCGCCCACTCGCCAGGCAGCAAAGGCGTCACATCCACCGGATCGAGGTCACGGTGGCCCGCATACTTGGACAGCAGACGCAGGGAGGCCGACTTGAAGAAGAAGGACGATGTGGTAGTGGTAGTGGTGGGAAGGCTAGTGCCTTTTGCCCTGCTCTCCTCGTCTCTGCGTTTCTCCTCCCGTGTGTTGAGCAGCACCTTGAGCAGCAGGAAGAGCAGCCCCGACGAGGGCCACGCAGCCAACTCCTTGCCAAGCCACTCCTCCTCCATCCCACCCCCACCACCACCTGCACCACCCTCCGCAGCCGCCTTGACGCCATCGCTCCCAGCGCGAGATGCGCTCTCCGCCAGCCGCCGCCACACCGATGTGGGCGAGAAGATTGACTGGTTCTCCCAAGAGAGGGCGTGCGCATGGTGGTAGTCGCCCGCATGTGTGGCGTCGCTCCTCCTGGGGCTGGCGTGGCGAGAGGCCGGTGGCGGGGAGGGGTGGTTGAGCCGATGGTTGGTGGCCAGGCAGTAGGCCTCGGCTGTGGCCAGGTCTGGCTGTGTGTCGCTGTTGCTGTTGGTGTGGATGAGGAGTGAGAGTGCAGCCTCGTGGCGGTGGGCCTTGCCATACAGCACGACGGTCTCCTCCTTCAGCCACGTGGGCTCGACCACCTGCACACATGAGACGTCCATCCACAGGACGCACCACACATGGACAGAAAGAGGTGAGGCATCCGCGCGTGTGTGTGTGTGTGCCTCCCCCAACTTTCCCACGCACCTTGAGTATCGCGTCGACATCATAGCCCTCCATCTCTTCCAGGTACTGCAGTAGCTTCCGCCGCATCGCCCCCGCCTTGCCCCCCTCACTCTCAGCCCCCCTCCCACCTCTCCTCCCGCTCCCATCTCCACCAGGGGGCCGCTCAGGCGACACCGCAAGCACACTCTGCGCGTAGATCAAGGCCAGCTGCGTACGCTGCGTCGGCTCAGCCCGCTTCTGGTTCCACGTGAGATGCTCCAGGTAGGCCTCTTCCAGCGATGACGACGCACTGGGGGAGGCGTTGGCGAGCATCTCCAGGATCTCGTCGGGCGTGAGGGGGCAGAGCTGGCTGCCGGGGGCCGTGAAGATGCGCAGACCCAATTGGGGGTCGCGGGCCAGCACCAGCGGCGCATACTCCTGGATGAGCGCCGCCACGTTGAAGGACGAGGGGGCGGTGACGGGCGGCTGCTCGAAGGGGCTCGCGCGGATGGTGTCGAGGGCTCCCGAAGCAAAGGCCGTGAGCAAGTGTGCGATTTCTTGCATTGGGTCGCCGAATGTTGAGGCCGACACGTCGCACTCGATCTCCTCGTTGATGATGGATCGCCATATCTGGAGAGCGTTCTCGTACCGCTGGTCGCGGCGGTGGATGACGGCTAGCACATCGGGGCGGCGCTTGCGGGTGAGGAACGACTCGCTGTCCTCCAGAGTGCACGTCAGGGGGCTGATGGCGTCCATCAGCAGCTCGCGCCACCTGCATGGCCACCAAGACACGCACAGATGGCCAGGTATAGGGTCCTTCTGTCTGCTCGCTGAGCTGACCTCATGTCGTCTCCTTCCACCAGCAGCTTGAGCAGCATCGTGTCGACGCACCGCAGCAGCCAGCTCACCGACGGACCCTCACCCTCACTCCCTTCTCCTCCCTTGACACCCGCCCCACCCTCCTCCTCACCCTCCCTCTGATCCACATCAACACCTCCCGGCTTGCCGAAGGGCGACGGGGCCGGGAGATCGAACATGCCATCCGACCGCCCCAGCACCAACGCAGACCGCTCCTTCAGCAGAAACGTCGCCACCGAAGAGTTCGCTAGCTCGAGTAACGCTGCACCCGCCGCGCCCTCATCCTTGATCTCCTCACCCGGCGCGACGACACTCTCGCTCTCGCTGCCGGCAACTGTGGTGGGCGTGGTGGTGGTGGTGCCCTTCTTCTCTGTGAGCCTCTGCTGGATGAATTGGCTGATGTCGGTGCCCTCAGGGATGCCCGTGAGTGCGAGGCCGGGTGTGGGCGGGGAGGGTGGGGGCGCCTCCCACTCGGCCGGCAGGTAGGCCTTCCAGAACTTCATGAGCTGCTGCAGGTCGACGCGAGAGTATGAGAAGTGCTGGAAGGCCACGGGGAACTGCAGGTCGTTGAACAGCGCCCACCCCGCCATGACGTGGAACTTCTGCAGCTCCTGCGCCCGCCGCGGGTCGTCCGGACCGAAGTTGGCGTTGAGTAGCTCCAGGGCCGCCTGCACCCGCACCTCCAGGAGGAGCTTCTGCAGCTGCCGCTGATACGGAATGGGCGATAGGCAGCTCACGGACCGCTCGGATGCCGCGAACAGCCGCCCCTCGTTGTCACACATGGCCCTCAGGTCGTCAAAGGGACACGTCTGGCAGAGCTTCTGGTCCCGCAGGCTGTAGATCTCAATCAGCCGACCAGCAGAGGGGAGGGGGGCCGAGGGCGGCTGTGAGGGCGGGATGCTGCCGCCCCCGCCCATCACGTAGGGGCAGCAGACGCCGAAGCAGAGGAGCCTCTTGGGCCACTGGATGCTGTTCTTCTGTGAGGGCTGCTGCGTGGCCAGGTTGAAGAAGATGCCCAGCCCCTCTTGCCCCGCCAGCAGCAGCTCATCGTCGGGCAGCGTGGCGATCCGCGGACTCGACCGCACGTCAAGGGTGAAGATCTCCCGTGCCTGCAGGTCCCCTAGGTGGATCAGTGAGTACTCGCGCCGGTAGCCGATGCACAGCCACTGCTGGTGCCACGCCAGGCAGAGGGCGGCCTCAGGCGAGCTGAGCTCCTGGGAGACGGTGAAGTCGACACCGTTGTGGTGGTAGAGGACGAGTTTCTTGCGGAGGGAGACGACGATGTCTGGCGTGGGGGAGGGGTGGGGGTTGTAGGGGACGGCGTCGACCGCTGCCGGAGGGTGGGTGGATGTGGATGCTGCCTTGGGGGCCTCTGTGTGGACGGCGAACGACGACACGCCGCGGCACAAGGTGTGACCGCACGACTCGAGAGATGTCGGCAACACCTACAGAAGCGAACAGGCAGACAACCAGACGAATCACAAGATGCATTGCATGCATTGCAGGCAGGCAGGCAGGCAGGCAGGCAGCCGCTCACTTGTAGGTTTCCATCACTGAGTGCGAGTAGAAGTCTCCTTTGCGGCACGACGCCGAGCATCTCGACCCTTTTGTTCTTGCCATTGACCTTGACACTGCCCCGCCGCACCGCACTGTTGCCGAGCTCTTCGGGCGAGTGGCTCTTGGCAAGATCGTACCGATGGATGGATCCGCCCTTGGTCCCCAGGAACAACGCACTGTCGAAGTATGTCAGCGTCTCTATCTCCTCCGACGCACCCTCGAGCACCGGAACCACCTTGAACGGCTTCATCGATTGAGTGTAGGCAGAGGGACGGATGAAGGAGATCTCTCTCGGGTACAGGCTGGCGCGTCACGCAGACGTCCTTTCCTGCTTAATAGCACACACATTTCTTCTCAGCTCGCACTTAGGACATTCTGTGAAACCGCTCTCTCCCCCCCAAGCTCGCGCATAGAAAATGGATGAATGGTGCCTCCCCTTGATGCCGTGACGCCCCAGTGATGGATTCTAGCTCAGGTACGTCCCTGGGCGGTTCCCGAAGAACAAGGGGTCTTCACTCCTGTGCTCTGTCTGCCTGCAGATTCGCTCCCCGGTCCTCCGAGCAAGGCACCGCGCGCCTTCGATATGTTTGCAAACCCCTTCGGTCGCATCAAAGCCAAAGTCAGAGATCCGCCGCAACGAGCCGGCAGCCGCAGCAACGCATCGCAGGCCTCGTCTGCTAGCGCCATGGAGCGGCCACAGCCGGCCGCCAACAACGGCACCGCGCTCGCCCTCTTCCCCTCGGCCGCTGAGTCAGCGGCGGCTGTTGCTGTTGCAGCAGGAGGGAAACCCAAAGCAGAACCCAAAGCAGGAGGCTTCCCTCAGTCCCAGTCAGAGCTGCCGGCTGCTGGATCTCCGTCCAATGAGAGAACACCTGCCGCCGCCGCGGCGGTGGTGAAGAAGGAGCCGCCTGACCACAGCAGGCAGATCGTCCCTGCAGCGGTGCCGACACGGTCACCTGGCCCTGGTGAGCTGACCTTTCGTGAGGCTGACGCGTACGCCAATTCGCTGATCACCCCGGACCTGGTGAAGCAGCGGCTGATGAAGGTGTCGCTGACGTGGCGCCGCGACCCGGGGGTGCGGGCGTGGGTGGTGGCGTGGATCCCCGCGGTGAGTGAGGGGCCCAAGGTGGCCAAGCAGGAGGCCTTTCAGGTTACCCCGCTGACCAAGGACAACATCAAGAGCACCTTTGGGAGGGCGGCGCAGCACTATGACAAGATGATCGACGACAATGCTTATGGTCAGTACGGACAGACAGGTAGACAGACAGACCTGTGTGTAGGTGCCGAATGTGTGTGTGTGTGTTGACCCACCTGTCTGTCTGTCAGGGTGTGAGGAGGCCGAGGTCACCGATGACGAGCTGGAGGTCATGGGCAAGAGCCTCGTCGAGGTCATGGGCCTCGACAAACACCCCGCCGCCGTCGCCCACCTCGCGTCCGTCAACTGGTTCGGCAAGGCCAGAAACACCGCTGCCGTCTGCTATCGAGGCTCAGACGGCAAGAGCAAAACCAGGTACCTAGGTGAATGCAATGCAGCCAGCAACAAGGAGACAGAAAACCATGCACTGCACCCTTGACGGGACGGTCGCTTTCTTGCCGTCTTGCTTTGCTTTGCGTCAGGTTCTTCGCGTGCAGCGGCATGACGCGCACGTGCGCCCGTCGTGCGATCGAGGATGCGGTGCGTTGGCGCGACCAGCTGCTGGCGGCCAACCCTGCGGTGCTCAAGTCGCTCAACCTGCCTGCAGCACCGCCCCCCAAGGTAGTGGGATCGCAGCCGCCTGCCCCACCAGCAGCAGTAGCAGCAGCCCTCCCGATTGCGGGGGAGATGCCGGGAGGAGGGGCTATCGTACCTGTAACTGCACATAGGGAACGTGATCTCAACACAGGTGAGTGAGTGAGGCACACGCAGACGAAGAAGAACCAGACAAGTCCTGGCGAAACCATATTGTGTGTGTGTTTGGTGTGGTGTGGTGTGGTGTGGTGCTTGCAGCTGTAGTGGATGCGATTAAGGCCGAGTTTGAGGAGGATGAGGAACAAGACAATCTCCCCGGCCCCCCACCCGCCCCACCAGCCAGCGACGCCCAGGAGGACCAGCAGCAGCAGCAGGGTCCCACAGCCATCGACGCGGAGGCCACGCAGCTGCTCGCCTCCCTGCAGCAGTACGACCGCGCCACCCTCCGAACGAGGGAGCCGCAAGGCCAGGTCTCACCTCACCTGAGCGACTTCTTCACCTGGCAGGGCGAGAAGACCTTCATCAAGTGGACACCCACGCCAGGCTGCTTTGAGGTCAACGTGACGGTCCATCCCCTGCCCACAGCCAAGCGTGTGCCAGTCGGTGACAGCGGGACGTCCGAGGGTCTGCGCAATGCCCTCAGCTTGGCGGTGCGGCACCGGAACATCATTCTAGACGCGGGCTACGTGCTCAAGGACAAGATGGCGCATGGGCTGCGGGACGATGTGGTGAGGCTGACGATCAAGCAGCAGCAGTCGGGCTGCGACGCGCCCATCCCTGAGCTCGTCCCGCAGGATGGCGGCCCTCCCAAGGCGTCCCACCACATATACGACTTCCAGCCACCGCCCCCACCGGGCGGCGGCGGCCACCGTCCTCCCTTCATGGCCTTGTCCCGCCCGCCAGGCGCCCCGGCTGTCGACGACACCTCACCCCAGACCGGCACCAAGCGCAAGGCAGCTGCCGCATCTGCTGGTGATGGGGACGGCCCCCCAGCAGTGTCCTCCGACAGAAACGAGCAGGATGGTGAGCAGCCGCCGGCAAAGAGACCCGGCACACGTTCGTCGAGGGGCGGGGGAGGGCGCCGTGGTGGCAGTGGTGGTGGGTCGTCTGGTGGCGGTGGTGGGGAGGGGGGCGAGAGTGGGGGTATGGGGGTGGGTGAGGACAGCGAGAGCCAAGTCAAGAAGGAGCCGGGGGTGACGGATGATGGAGACGCCACTGGGGGCGCCATGGCAGCACACGCATTCACAGCTATCGCAAGTAAGTGAGAGAGACACACGCCGCATCAAACAAAAGGTACATATGTCTGTGTGTCTGTCAGCCTTTGGCGCGCACAAGAACCCTGAGGAGCCCCTGAGCACCGAACAGCTGCCGAAAGAGGCGTGCGAGCTGCTCGGCTGGGTGCGGAGCACGCAGCCGGTCGGAAGCACCCTCCCCATCGAGTATGACAGCGGCGACCCTTCCCGCTTCAACGGCATGAGCGCATTCACCGTCAAATACTACACAGCCCAGGTAGGTACCATCAGATCAGACACAGACAGAGAAGACGGGCAGACGGTCAGTCAGCTCACATCCCTCTGTGTGTCTCGTGTGTTTGTCTGCCGTGCCGTGTGTGAAGGGTTTTCGGTTGGGATTCAGCCAGGTGGAGAGCAGCACGCTGTCGGGTCTCAAGACGGCTTTGCACAAGGCCATTGTCTTTTGCACCGACTTGATGGGGCGACCAGACATATCACTCAGACCGTTCGGAGAGACGCAGCCGCAGACTTAGAGAGATAGAAAAGGACGAGTGACTGAGCCATTCGCGGCGGAGTGTGGTCAGTTTGTTGGGATGCATACTGTGTATTTCGTGAAAGCGTGTGGCGCGGTGGTGTGCTGTGGTGCGGACGTGACGGACACTTCCTTGGCTCGTTTGCTGCATGCCTCTGTGCTGTGACTGAGAGGATGAAAGCTGCTTACACTCATTCTCGGCCGGTCTGGTCTGGTGTGTCTTGTGTCTGTTTCTGCGGGCGTACATCGATCGGACGTCACGCAGCACACAACACATACATCAATGAATGGGTCGGTCGATCAGGCCGCCAATCAGCCAGCCGTAGCAAGAGGAAGCAGACACACACAACGAACACACACACACACTGAGGGAGTGGGAGTGGGGCAGAGAGGGAGGGAGGGAGGGAGTGGCAAACAACACAACACACAAACTTAGTAGCAACCCATCAATCGATCAACCCATCAATCGATCAATCGCTCAGCCAACCAATCGCAACACATGTGTGTGTCAGGCACACACACGCACACACGCGAGCATGTGTGCGCTCACACACACGTGTGTACGACGACATGGTCGCATGTGATGGATGTGTCTGGCGGCGCATGAAGTCAGTCGCCCGCCCCTGCCTAAGCTGCGCCATCTCTCTTGGTAGGGTCATACCTTCAACCATTCAAGCTTCATCAATCGGCCGGGCAAACACACACACACACACACACAGACAGAGGAAGGGCAATCAATCGGTGGTGTATATAGTACACAAAACCGGCGGTCGACGCAACACGCAACCAGGGAAGGGGGGAGCCCAGCCCCACCCACTCCCCAGGGAAACAAGAAGGGTCGAGGGAAAAAAGAGAGAGGCATTGAACCATCCATCCATCCGCCCCTTTGTGGATCGACGACTAGGCTGCCTGCCTGCGCGGATGTGTGGACGGACGTGTGCGTGGGGCGGGTGGGGGGCGGGGGGTGTCCGTCATCGACCTGCCTTCACTCTCCCGCTCGCTCCCTCGCTCCACAACCAGCACGCTGAGGCCACACCCCCACCAGGCAGGCACCCATCCATCCATCCACCCATCAAACCATCTGCCACGGCCATGCAGTCACGAAAAAGACGCGCGGCTTCCATCTCTCTCGGTAGGAAAGACCGCCACACGTCAAACGCATCCAGTCAGTCAGTTAGTCAGTCGCCATTCGGTTAAACCCTTCACCGTCACGCGCGCAGGCACACGAAGGCACACGAGCGCCAACCTGATAGATCCATCCAACAGAACACACAGAGAAGAACAGCATCCAGCGACCAATGCAATGCATCCATCTCTGGGCTTCTCCCCCGCCCCCATCCCCCCAGTCGTCATCCTTGTTGACCAGTCAAGAGTGTTGGGCATCCATGTGGTCATGCATCTACGGCTGCTGCTGCTGCTGGCCGTCCGCCCCGCCGTCCATCGACTCGGGGCCTCCCCCCTGCATCATCATCAACATGCCGTCCGGCGCCTGTTGTGGGTGCGGGTATGGCTGTGGGTCGCCCACACCCGTCAGCTCCGGCTGGGGGTGCTGCTGCTGCTGCTGCATGGGAGGGGGCGGGGGAGGTCCAGCCAGGCTCGTGTCTGAGCTCTGCACAAAGAAGTCATGCTGCTGCTGCTCCATCATGTGCAACATGCCACCCTGATGCATGCTGCCGTCATGGTGGCCAGCTCCTGCTGCCGCTGCCGCTGCTACAGGTCCCCTGGCGGCTGCCTGCGATTGCTCGTTGGCCGACTGTGGGGACATTGCCGAGACCTCCGGGGGCATCACCGACACCTCACCCTCATGGCCCATCATGGTGCTGCTCCGATCCACGCCGCTACCTCGCTCCACCGGCACGCCCTGCTGCTGCTGGTCGAGCTGGTTGGGCCATGAAGACATGGGCAGCGGGACACTGCCCGGGGCCCCCATGCCCATGAAGTTGCCGTCCATCATGGCGGGGGCCGCGGGGGGCTGCATGCCTTGCCTGTTGGGCTGCATGCCCTGCCACGCACGAGACGTCATGCCGCCAGGGCCTGGAGGTCCCGCCATCTGCTGCTGTGGCAGCCACGCGGCAAAGTCAGAGTGCGGGGCCAGGGGGCCTCCTGCGGGTGAGTCGGATGGGTGTGGCATGGCGAGTGGGTGGCTGGGGGGGTGCGTGTTGATGAAAATGTTGCCGAGAATCAAGCCGTTCTGGTCTCTCGGCATTGGATTCTGGTTTGGGTCTCTCGACATGGCCATACCCGGCGGGAACATGCCTGGCACATACGACAGCACCACACACACACACGAATACAATACATACACACATAGACAGACAGACACGAGCATTGTGGTTGCGTCCTTACTCCGCTGTTGCTGGTCCCCTTGCATCCCCTGCTGCTGTGGCGACCCCATCTGCCCCGGCACCGCTGCAGCAGCCGCAGCTGCAGCTGCAGCGTCGTTCGGCTGATCGAGGCGTGGGAACGGTGTGGGCTGGAAGCCACCCATGCTCCACTGAGGCGGCATGGGGTACATCCCACCGTGAGGCGGGCCCCATTGCCCCTGCCCCTGCTGCTGCTGCTGGTGGTCACCGCCACTGCCGTTGTTGGGCTGGTTGGGGTCCTGGTTGTTGCCCTGGTTAGGGTTGCCGGGGCCGGGTGGCTGCTGGGGGTTGTAGGGGGGGTATCCGGCGGCGGCGGCGAGGGCCATGTCGTATTGGGGCTGCATGTTGTCGCCCGCACCGTACTGGCCGTAGTAGTTGCGATTGGGAGAATACGGCTGCATGAAATAAAAAGCGACAATCAATGAGCTGAGGCGAGCACAAAGAAAGGGACGGAGCATAAAGTCAGTGATTTACCATGAGGTAGTTGCCGCCTCCGGCCATGCCGTTAGGTCCGCCCCCTCCCCCTCCGCCATTGTCCTGGTCGTCCTGCCCGTCGCCGCCCGGCCCGTTGCCGTTGACGCCATAGTTGTTGCCGTAGGGCGGGTACTCGTAGTAGGGATTCTCGGCCGCATTGTTGCCGATGCCCACCTCTATCTTGCACTGACCCGCCTTGAACTGAGACCCGCGCAGTATGGGCACCTGAAGGAAGGACCACACAGACACAAACGATGGACGGACGAGTGGAGAGGGGTGGTGGTGTGCTAGCTTACGGGGTCTCCGTATGGCTTGACGCGAAGGAATGTGCCGAGTGTCGACATGTCGCGGAGGACCCACTTCTCCCCGGCCGGCCGGTCGCCGTCGTAGAAGATCAGGCAGTGCTCGCGAGACACGTACCCGTTGTTGGCCGTCACCGACACCTGCAGCATCCATACGTCCACAGGGTGGCATACAGTGAGTGCATGGCGAGCATCAATCCGTCCGTCGGTCATCTCATCTGGCCTCTCTCTCGTGTGTGTCCGTCCGTACGTACGTACCTTCTTGTATGACGACTGTGCGTGTGGTCCCCGCCCCAGCACAACTCCCCTGGGGTCGATCCACATGTCGATGTCCCCTCCGCGCACCACTATCCGCAAATGACTCTCCAGATCCACACAATCCGTCGGCGGCGGCAGACCCTCGCCACTACCCGCCGCCCCAGCAGCCCCCCCACCACTAGTGACGCCAACACCAGGGATGGCAGGTACCTGCCCCTCCTGAGCGGCCTCCTCCATCCTCTCACCATCGACGTCGGCCTCGCCCTCCCCGCCATCGCGCCCGTTGCCCTCACCCCGGTGCTGCTGGTCGTCGGCTACTGGAAGGTCGACCTGCATGCCGGGGGGGCTGCGCAGGACCGCTGGCTCCTCCTCCTGCTGCTGCTGCTGCTGTGGTGGTGGGGCTGGGGAGGCGTCACCCTGGTCCATCATGTCTACCGGCTCGTTGCCCTCGTTGCTGATGGGCATGTGGTCGTCCTCCTCCGCCACACCACCCGGCCCCTCGACCTCTCCGTCATGCATCTTGGGCTCCTCCTGCCCCTGGCCGGCCGCTGCCGAGCTGGAGCTGGCCGCCCCGCCCGCCATGGCCACCATCTTGTCTCCCTCCCCTCCCTCACTCTTGACCTGGCCCTGGCCGCCGTCCGCGTCCATCATGACGCCGCCACTGCTGTCTTCTGTCCTCCGGTCGCCCTCGGCGTGCATCATGACGTCCTGCTGGTGGTCGGGCCTCTCGCCAGCCATCATGTCGACATTGTCGTTGATCATCTCGTTGTCCGTCTGGGCCTGGCCGGGGTGGTGCGTCAGCTGAGGGGACAGGTCGTCGCTGCCTGCCTGCGATGGATCGAGGGCGGGGGAGGAAATCGACAGGTGGGGCGGCTGGGGGGCACCAAGATGGCCACTAACGACCCCAGCACCGCCGGCGCCGGCACTACTTGCTGCCGCCGATCCGCCGTTGTTGTTGTCGGCCTGTCGCGTCTCAGGTCGGTCCGTGTCGCCTGGCTGGTCGGGTGAAGACTGCGGCTGCCCGTCGGCCTCTGGGGCGGCATCCCCTGCTCCAACTGCTGGGGATGGTGCGTCGTTGATGTGTTGTGGGCTGTCGATGGATGGCTGGCCGGCCGCCATGCCCTCGGGACGGTCGAGCTGCTCACCGCCATAGACGAACGGAGTGCCGCCCTCCTGCAGACAGACATCCAAGAAGGGATGAAGCAACTAACTGATCCATGGGTGTCTTGCCTTCCCTTGATGTGTGTGGTTGACGCACCTGCGAGATGACGTCTAGGACGCTCTTGCGGGAGGGGCTCCACCTGAAACCCTTGAACGGCGAGCCGGTGTTGGATTGAGTTATCGTTACCTGAGTGAGTGAGTTGGATGGACACACACAACACACAGAGGGAGATATTGAGATATGGCCACGGGACGGGTGTTTGTGTCTGCCCGACTGAGTGTTTGTGGTGCGTGAGCTGCAGCTTACGTCAACTTCGAGTCTATCTCCGATATGAATCACATCCCCAGTCTGGATGGCACACTCACCGTTGACCCTACCGACAACAACACCACACACATATTCAATTCAGGTGCCTCCCTCCCTCCCTCCTTGCCTATCGCATCGCTGTGTGCCCCCTCCCCTGCTCACTCACTTGATCATGGTTCCGATGGTTGATCCGCAGTCGACGACACCGAGCTGGTCGTCGGGCATGCGGAAGAACATGAGGTGCGATAGCGACACGGACGGGTGGCTCATGTGGATCGTCGAGTGCTGGTGACGACCCGCATCCCACGGCAGGTTGTGCTGCAGGGGGGAATGGGTTGGTTAGGAGGGAGGGAGGGACACAACCAGCAATGGATGGGACGTTTGACGGCTGGGGTGGGTGGGTGCGTACCGGTATGAGCGCTGAGTCGTATGTCTGCGCCTCGATCCGATGGATGCGGTCGGGCAGAATGCGAAGCGTCACACGGAACTGATCTGCACACACAAATACACCGATGGGGAATGAGCGGATGGACTGCGTGTCTTGTCTTGCCTGTGTGTCGGTACCTCTGGGTGGTGTGATTTCTGGTTTATGGTCGATGTAGCTCTCCACCCAATCCTGCAACCGCATCTTACTACCCTCTGAAATGACAGACAGACAGACAGAGAGCATCACGCGGCCTTCGTCCGTCCTCACTGCTGGCTGAGTGCCTGTCTGCCTGAGGTACCTGCGTCGTTCTTGTTCCACCCGACCTCCTTGCAGAAGGTCTCGCAGTCCGCCTGGCAGAAAATCCTGCAGCACGACCAAGCAAACCCCACCACACCACACCACACCACACCACACACATATACAGGTCCGCCGAGGGATGTGGGTTCTCTGTGTCGTTGACGTGCGCGTACCATCGGTCTCGGCTCCACCGTTGGCTGCTTTCAAAGTAGTCCACCACGCACGCTTGCAAATCGTCAAAGAACACCTGTAAAGAGGGATGGATGGGTGCCACCAGGGGCAATCGACACACAAGCATGTGTGTGTGTGTGTGTGTATCTACCTACCGATGAGAGCTCTGCGTCGGCGAAGAAGATGCGCAGAAACAGCGATAGGCTAACTTGCGGCTGATGGACAATTCACATGGACATACACATACACATACACACCGTGGCTTGACTTGACGAAGATACAAACACACACATCTCTCAAGCCCATGCCCTGCTTATCTATTTACCTTAATGAATGTGGCGAACCACCAGCTCTCCTCGACCGGCGGTATCGACCCGGGATCGAACAGCGGCCTGTCGGGCTCTGCCTTCCGCTTGAAACCTTCACACACACCGCACACACACATACACACACACACACACAAACACACACACCCACATATGGTCGTCGTGTGTTTGCCTCTCCCTCCCCTGACTGACACATGTGTGCACACCTACCTAGGCTTCCGATAAGTGACTGAATGACGGTGTTGACGTTGAGCGCCTCACCGAGGGGCCGCCGACACACAGGGCAGATCCCACGGTCGCGCTGCGCATTGTGACTGATGCAGTATCTGCAGATCAAACAAACAAGACACGGAGGGAGGGATGGAGGGGGGAGGGGGAAAGAGGGTCGTGTGTGCGTCCATGCGGCTCTTGGCGTTGATCGACTGACTGCACCAATCCTTCTCTCACTTGCAGAAGGTGTGGCCGCAGTTCATCGTCACGGGCAGCTGGAAGAAATCTGAAGAACACACAACGGGAAAAGATCATTTCTCGCCACACCCAGTCCGTGCGGTGTGTCCCTCCCTCCCTCCCTCCCTGCCGTAACTACCTAGGCAGATGGGGCACATGAGTTCGCTCTGAATCTTGGACACAGGGTCGTCCTTGCCCCTCTTCGCCACTACCACCGGCCGCTCCTCAGCACTCGCCTCGTTCGGGGTCGCCTCCGGAGAGGGAGTCGCCATCTCAGCATCGCCTGAACCCGTCCACACACACACAGACGACTCCTACATCCCCACACGCGGCCATGGACAGCCGAAAAGGCCGTTTCCTGCCTTGATTGCCTCTCTATGTCCTCGTGAGACCATCTACTGTCCATGTTGACCCTCAGTGGCCTCGGTGGGTGCTTACCGGCAGCGCCGACTGCGTCAGCGGCAGCTGGTCCAGGACGCTCTTGACCATCGGGCTGAGAATCCATTTCGTCACTCCTTTCCAATCAGATTAAACACAGCGAGCCGGTAACGCGGAAAGGAAGAAACGAATCTGCTCCATCGTGTTCGTTTTACGGCATCATTTAGAGCGAAATCCGCGTGAACAATCACCCGATCCTGTGCAACGGCGTTTGCAGCCTACAGCCTGTTCTCTTCTGTCCTCTCTCCTCCCAACATAAGCCGTCACCCTTGAGTGACTCACTCTGTGAGGGAGTGTCACTGATTCACTGAGGGAGTGGCCCTCACCGCCTTCGGCCGACCGACTGTGATTGCGGCTGGCTCTCGCGCAGCACCAGCAGCTGACTTTTTTGCCCTCTCGCCCTCCTTCCTTGTCGCACAGACCAAGCACACCTGCAGCATCAGCAGCACACATCTAGGTGTTTGGTGACTCTCTGCGGTGCCTGCCGGGGCGGCTGACTGGGTGTGGCGACTGAGGCGAGGCGTTGGTATCTGTGAGTGTTGGCTGATGACGGCTGCGCCGGGTTGTTCGGTCTGCTTCACCTGCCTGGATTGCTGCGCCGCGGCGGAGAATGAATGACTGCAAACTCTTCATTGGCAGCATTCCCAGAAACGTCACTGAGGTACAGGACACACAGACACGCAGGCAGTCGGGGAGGGAGGGAGGGAGACGTCGCATAGGAGGGGGAGACGGGCGGGCTGCCGGGTTTGTGTGGCGGGGCGGGGCGGTTTGTGTGTAATAGGAGGTGATTCGTTGTGAGTTTTCGAAGATCGGTCCCGTCGTCAACAGCTTTTATATGCCCGATAGCAGCTCGTCCACTGGCAGTCGCGGGTGGGCCTTCGTCACGTACACCAACAAGACACACAGCCAACAGGCTATCGCCGCCTTCAACAACAAGCTCATACTGGGTAAGGTAGACAGCACCCAAGCCACAGACAGACAGACAGACAGACAGACAGGCTGACGAGCCATCATCCCTCTCTCCCCTTTCCCTCCCTGGGTGTCATCAGGAGACACTCAGAAGCCCGTAGAGGTCCGGTACGCCGAGAGCAAGCCCGGCCGTCGCCCGTCATCACAAGAGATCTTCACGTCACCCAAGCCAGGCGAAGCCCTGTCGACAGCCAACATGCCTGAAGGAGCAGCGCCCGGTGCAGGAGTGACTGGGGGTGGGTATCGCGGCAGCCCGCAGGCCAGCGGCGGAGGCGCCGTCATCGGCAACCCGGCGCTAGGTGAGTGAAGATAAGACATCACACGCAGAACCGTGTCTGTTGATGTGATGCCTTTGGTGTATGTCTATCTGTGTGTCAGGGATGTCTCTGGGTATGGGCACGGCGTTGGTGAGCACTGACTACAGCAGCCCCCCCAACCCCGCCGCCCACTCGCATCACGGTCACTCGTTCCACCACCCCGTCTCGGGCGCCATCGGAGGCCCCACCCACCCGTCCCACCCCCACGCACAGCCCCACTCGTCGGTGAGGTCGTCCATGGCGTATCCCGGCCCCACGCCCGCAAGCGCCAACCCGCCACAGGCCAACACGCCCTATGGGCTGCCCCACGTGTTCCCCCACCCCCACCACCCCCACCACGCGTCATCAAGCCCTGTTGCTGCGGGGCCGCCGGGCAGCGGGCCTGGCCATGGCCAGGGGCACATGGCCCATTGGATGGAGTACTTCACCAACGACGGCGCCGCTTACTACTACAACGTGCAGACGGGACATACACAGGTAGGCGAGCTGACAACATCTGTGCCAGGCACAGCACGAACGATCGTGTGTCCCTCCCTCTGCCGTTCCCTCCTTGTCTGTCTCTTTTGTGTCAGTGGGAGCGTCCGGCTGATTTTGACGTCTACAGCCGCCCCGTGCCGTCTCTGCTGCAGCCCGGCAACACACGAATGGGCATGACGCCCAACGGCCACGTCCCCATGACCTACAGCATGGCCGCCGCCATACCCAACCCCAACGCTCCCTCACCACACATGGCCAACGCCGCACAGGACCAACAGCAGCAGCAGCAGCAGCAGCCAGGTGGTGGTGGTGGTGGTGGCAGCGGTGGCGGTGCGGCATCTGTGTCTCAGGGCAGCAACGGGAGCGGCAGTGGGGGCCCCGACATGGGTCAGCACTTCATCGAGAACCGTGGGGGCTGCAACCTCTTCATCTTCCATATCCCATCCGACTGGACCGACAGCGACCTCGTCCAGGTCAGTCAGTTACTCAGCCGTCCACACGCAGGGCACGCCCCATACACCCACCCATACACACAACACAGCCTCTCTAAAATGTGTCTTCCTTCCTCCCTCTCTGCAGCATTTCCAGCACTACGGCAACATCGTGTCGGCCGTGATAGCCCGGGAGCGCGACACCGGCCGCAACAGGGGCTACGGGTTTGTGTGCTTCGACACGTCCCACGCGGCCCTCAACGCCATCCAGGGGATGAACGGCTTTGCCGTCGGCGGCAAGCGGCTTACCGTGCAGCTCAAGCAGACGTCGATCCGCAGGAACCAAAACAACGGAGGAGGGCAGAGCGGCAATAAGACACCCGGCGGACCGTCGCGAGAGTCGTCCAACCGTTAGACAGACACACACACAGACACACACACATGCACACCACACCATACGTACCCGAGATCCACATACCTATGTCGCCATAGCCAGCCACTGACTGCATAGCATAGCATTGCATCGCCTTGGTTGATAGATACGTGGTTGGTACCTAGTGCACACGTGCCTGCCTGCCTGCCTGCGAGCGTGCGTGCGTGCATATGGGCGGGCGGGAGGGAGGGTCAGATGGGTGGGTGGAGGGGATGGGTGAGAGAGTATCAATCATATCAGTCAGTGAATTGAGTCACTACAGTCGCTGCACTTCGCTTCTATTGTGTGCCTACTGCCTGCCTGCCCGGATGGATGGATGACCAGAAACTGGCAACTCTACGCCGGTCGGGGTCGATGGATGGATGGATGGGCGGGGTCGCAGAAGGGCAAGGGCTATGATTGCCTGCCTACACAGTGAGTGGGTCGGCAGCTTGCTTTCCTCTCCTATCGATTTGGCTGGGGAGGGAGGGGGGTAAAGGGAGGAGAGAACCAGTATACACATACACATACACACACGCTCACTCTCCACACAAAACATCCACACACACACACACACACACACAAGCGCGTGATACGTATTTCAATGCCCAAGCAGTGCGTGTGCGGGTGTCCAGATCGTCGCCTCCCTGCCTACTACTTTTTTTCTCGGATGAGCAGATGGATGGATGGATGGATGGACGAGTGGACGGATCATATCGCTGTGCGTTGCGTGCTTGTGTGCCTACAATGGGCAATCTGCCGTGCCTTGAAAGATAAGACAGACAGCTAGCACAGTGAATGATATGCCGTAACAAACACCCACCCATCTCTCATTCATTCACCCAGGGGCTGGGGCGGGCTGCCCGAGTGATGTGATGATGGGTCAGGTCAATGGCTTGATCGTTCGTGTGTGTGTTGATTGATTCAATCGATGGATGGGGGCTGGGGCGGCGGGTCACCAAGGTGCGTGCGGTGCATGGCATGACTGCATGGCATGACATGATGGGTCTGTCTCCCTCGGTGTGTGTTACTTACGTTACTTACGTGTACGTGTGGGCCGGCGTGTGTGCGTGGAGGGCTTTATTTGTTCATGTCGGTCCATCCAACCAACCGCACACCGCCGGCCGCCCTTCCTACTATCCAATCCACACTCATTATTCATGTGTGTCTATCTGGCTGTCCATGAGTGTCGTGATGCGTTCGTTGGTATGGATGGATGTTCGTTTGTATGCGTGTATGTCTGTTTGCGAGGATCTCGTTCGTTCGTCTGTCGGTCCGTCCCTTGCTGTCTCTCTCTCTCTGGTATGGGTCTTGCGGTGCGGGTGTCTGTCGTCGTTGACGTCATCGTGCGTTGCTACGTCGTCACCCTCCTGCGTCCCGCAGCACCGACGTCTCAATGGCATTGACAGAGCAGCACGTGAAGGCAGTTAGCTGCGACACACACACGAAGGCAGGCGCGGGTGGGTCGGGCGAAGGAGCAGCAAAGGCACACTCAGACACACTCGGATTGGACTGATGGAGGGGAGGGGAGAGGATCACATGAATTGCATGGGATGGATGATGGGGAGAGGGGGCGGGGGCGGGCGGGGGGGACACTCGCCTTGTCGTGCCGTTGGTTTGAGGGCACATGCCTGCCTGCCTGCCTGCCGCTTCGCCTGACTCACTCACACACTTCCGGAGTAGACTATAGATAGCATTGATTGATTGATTGATTCCTTGCTTCCTTCCTCGCTTGCTTATTGGTCCATAGTGCAACTACACTTCTCTCCACCATGCCATGATGATGCATTGCATTGCGTTGCGTTGCGTTGCGTTGCGTTGCGTTGCGTTGCATACTTACATAACATAATACACACATACATACGAAGACACTCACTGCTCAGTAGATAGATACATAACTACATACATACGCCGTTACACACATTCGCACCTCCCTACTTGTCTTTCTGTCTGTCTGTCTGTCTTGCTGGCGAATCGCCGGTTTGGTTGACCGTCCCCTCATCTCATCTCATCTCGCCTCTCTTCGCCCGATCCGCCTGGCTGCCTGGCTGCCTGAGTGTGTGCGTCTGTCTACCAATGGTGAGTGAGCTGTGTCGCCCGCTTCTTCTATTGCATCATTCACATGACATCCATCACATTACATGACCTACCTACCTACCTGGTGTTCTAATTGATCCCTCGATGCACGCCACCATGCCAATACACACAGTACGTTCGCAAGATAGACGCTGCTGCAAGTAGGCAGGACTCCGGCTGGGTGGCTTGCTGGCTGGCTGGCTGGCTGGCTGGTTTTTATAACGACTCACGACAGTCACTCTCACTCACTCACTCAGTCTCACTGACTCACGCACTCAGTCAGTCTATCTATCTATTTCTCTATCGCATGACTTGTACGAGATGGTGGCGGGGCGTCCACTCGCCTTCGCTCCCAGGCTGATGCTTACGAACTCTGGCTGACCTTCACAGTCGATTTGCGCCAAGCTCTCGCCTCTCCCTCCCCTTCAGCCCTTCCATAGAGTTTTGAGCAGGTGGCTCCCCCTCTCCCTCTCCCTCTCCCTCCTTCTCGATCTCCCTTTGTCTCTCTACCTGAGTGTGCGTGCTGACATTTTTCCGGGGCCCGTCGTGATTGTTCCCTGATCCCCGCTGGCCGAGTTGTGTGTGTATCCATGTGTGTGTGTGTGTGTGTGTGTGCGTTGTGTGTGTGAGTGTGTGTCCCCCTCCTGCAACCAACCCGTCCCCTCTTTGTTACGCCAGCCCGTCCCATCTTTGTTAACTAGCCCCTGTCTGCCACTGTGGAGTGCCTCACTCACCTGCCTGACTCTGCCTGTCTGCCTGTCTGCCTGTCTGCATGCTTGACTGACGACTGAATGGAATGAGTGAGCGTGTTAAGTAAGGATCGGTGGGTGCTACGAATAGACTACGCACGCCAGTTTTTCTACCGTCATCTACTCTAGCTACGGGTAAGGAAAGTTTAAGTGGGTTTGTGGCACAGCCTGATGGCTGGATGAATGAGTGGCTTGAGGGATATGACTGGGGGCCCTGCCGGGGCGTGGGTGACCTTTTTTCTCTCTTGGTGGGTGCGTGGGTGCGTGGGTGCGGCTGTCTGTCTGTCTGCAGGGTGAAGGAATATTATCAAGGGCACCATGAGAGTGTGTGTGTGTGAGTGTGTCCGCGTGTGTATGGAATCTAAGTATTGCTCTGGCGTACATGTGTGCTTGCCATCGTGTGCACGTCCCTTTTGTTTAGTGCAGCTGCCTTGCCTTGCCTTGCCTTGCTTTGCTTTGCCTCACCTCGTCTCCTCTCGTCTCACTCACCGCCTCCGCACCACTCACTCACCCCCGCCCTTTTGTCTGTCTTTCCGACCCACTCACTCACCTCACCCATCTCTGTCCAGTGTAGTGCACTGTCATCCACCATACGTAAACACAGCAATGAATGCACCCTACCCATCGATGCAATCAATCAATCACATGACTGGCCAACGGCAGAGACAGCGACGACAGGCAAGGCAGCTGGCTGCATCCGGCGGGGCGAGGTGGGGCGAGGCGAGGCGGGGAGGGACGGGTTCTCTTCTCTCTCCTCTCTCACTGCCTTCCCTGGTCTAGTCTTATCTCTCTTAGCTCGCCCGACTTTCTTGCGTACTGTAGATTGGGAGGGGGGGGGGGGGAGGAGGGGGGGCTGACACACTGACTGACTGACTTGTGTGCATGGACTCACTCACTCACTGAGTGGACCCAACTTTGATGGGTCGATCTATCGGCATGGTGGTGTTTGTGTCAGTCAATTTGAAGCTACCTACCTACGTGTGCACGGTGCGTGCCTGCCTGCCTGCCTGCCTACCTGAGTGTGAGAGACAGTCTGCTTGTCTGTGTGCGGGCGGGGAAGCGAGCGAGCCTTTTTGAGTCCACCCGAACTGACTGACTGACTGATGACTGCTGCATATATATGCGCTGTGAAATGAGTGTGTGTGCGTGTATGGGGCGGTTGACTTTCGTGCGAACGCAGATAGAATGACTCGTTGAATGGTTACTTGCTTGTGTGTTGCTCGGGGGTCGAACCTTCCTACTCCGCACCGACCGCACTGGCTATTGATTGCATCTGTGTGTGTCTCTACATGTGTGTGTGGCTATTTGAGACTGACTGATTGACTGAGTGACATGAGAGATTTTGCACCGCATCCCATCCATCCATCCATCCACGTATGGCTTACCCTTGCTCACATCCCTGACAGACACAAACCAGAGGCAGACTGGCAGGGAGGGCCCCTGTGCCCGCATTCACAGCTTGACGTGCTGTGTATGCCTAATTGATTCGACTGACTCCACTCCCTCGCCCACTCACTGACTGATGCGTACCTACCTGCCTACCTACCTGCATGTTCATGTCATGAGAGGGATGATACCATCCTCCATACCGCTAGGAACCTGGTCAATATGATGATGATGCTATTATGACGCGATCGATCCATTGATGGAGTGAGTGGGTGAGGGAGGGGCATACCGGTTGGTATGCGCTCACTGCACGAAGCCAGCCCAGCCCAGCCCAGCCCCTCAAAAAGGCGTGTCAGCTCCTCTCGTCTGTCCTCTTTGTCTAGCCAGCTGTCGACAAGTCACATGGGTGCAGGATTCCTTCCTACTGAGTGAGGTGGTTGGTGCCGGCGACACATTCAGACATACATGAAGAGATGAAACTGACTGACTGACTGACTGCGTGCACGATTTTTCGACTGCCTGGGCGTTGACTGATGTCGGGCTTTGAATTTTGCTAATCTTGTGGTGTGTGTGGTTGGTGTGTTATGTGCCTCCTGCGTGCCGTGCCCATGAGATCGATCGGCAGTGTGTGGTGTGTGTGTGTGTGTGGTTTGGTGTTTTGTCGAAGAACAAACAAGGGAAGGGGGCCAGTTTTGTGATTCGGTGATTCACTTGCTCGTCCACCCACCCACCCGGTTCTCTGTCTGTCTGCCCACCTGCCTCCCTGTTATCGCTCTGTGCACCACACAAACCACACACACACACCACACACACCACACACACACACCACACACACCACACACACACACAGAGAGAGAGAGAGAGACCCGCCTTCTCTTGTTTGTCTGCGCGATTCCGCCGTTCGTACTTGCGTATGTGTGGACACATCACATACATGACGTGACGTGACGTGACGGACACAAGACCCCAAAACAGCCGTAAGAACGGGCCGGGCTGTCCCACTTGCTCGATGAATGCCTTCTCCTCTATCTGTTTGTCCGCTAGCTATGCTGTGCTGTGCTACCTCACTACCTTCCTACCTTCCTCCTTTACCTCCTTGCTCTTTGTTAGTCTACGCGCGCAGCTAGTGGGTGGATGAGTGCACTCAATGCCTCCATGTCATGTGTGTATGTGTGTATGTGCCTCCCTCGCCGACGGCAGTGCAGCTGCCTTCTACTGCCTCCCTCCATTCCTGACCTGCATGACATGAACACGTGGATGTGTGAGCCGTGTAAGTATTACCATGACCATGATGGGTTCTATGCACTGCTCTGCTCTGCTGCGCCCGGACTAGCCAGAAGCCTACGTATCGGTACATAGCAATCCCTGGTTTTATTCCGAGTGAGGTCAGTCAGTGAGCATACCATAGCTGCCCCTCTGACTGCATGTGCCCGCCAGAAACGGGGCCCTGCCGTGCCTGCACACAACCAAAGGCAAGCGGTGGTCGAACCGAAAAAAGCTGGCGTGGCACGTGCAGGTGGGCGGGATGGATGGATGGATGGTTGGCGGGCTGCTATGCTAGGGGCGGGCGGATGCTGATTGTCGGTTTTGTACGTACCAGTGCACTACACTCCACTCTGCTCAACTGCATGCCACTCACTTGCTTGCTTAGGTACCTGACTGACATCCATGTCTTGTCTTGCCTCGCCTTGCCTCGTTGTCTCCGTGTCTTATCGGTTTATTTGTCGATCGATCAACCGCCAATTGCATTGCATGCACACTTCCTTCCTGCCTTCCATGGGTGGGCGGATGGAGAGAGAACAGGACAGGTCTATGGCCCCACACCACCCCCGACCCCCCACCCCCAACCAATCGCTTCGCCCCCCTTCTCTGCGTGCCTACATGTGCCTCACTCACTCACACGCTCAACACAATTTGCTCCTGCGTGCGTGCAGTGTGTGGCTTGTTGAATGCGGATTGCATGTGCTGTGTTGGCTGGCGGGGGGGCCTACCAAGGGGTGTCGCGTGTCGGTTCTTGTTTTTAGGGCGTGAGGTAGGACCTTCTGCGGCCGGCCGGCGCGGCGGGCGGGCGGGCGGGGGGGAACGTGCTGCCGGTTGTGCAACCAATCTTTTGGTCGATTCACACTGGGGGTGCGGCGGGTTCATAGTATCGCTCATTCTATCCATCTGACTATATACTGACTGACTACTGACTGTGTGCATCTCTCAGCTTTGCCCTTGCGCACCGCACAAGGAACATTTGATCTTCTCTCTCTCTTACTCACTCACTCAGCCATCGATCCATTCATACGCGCACTATGTATGTATGTATGTCTCCCTCACGTACGTATACTTGCTTGCGTACTCACTCGCCGTGTGTCCATATCATTTTGCGTGGTGTGTGCGCATCCCATCCACCCATCCATCCATCCATCTCTGTCTGTCTGAGCGGCGCTGATCCCCTCCCTGTGTCTGCGTGTCACTCTCCCCTATGAGCCAGTCAGGTCAGGTCAGATCAGGTAGTCTTTTTCTTATTTATCATGCGTGGCACACCCCCACAGATGGATCACGGGATCCCGTCCCGTGTGTCTGTGTGTGCCATGCATCTCGTTAGCACCATCAATCTATGACGTCTCGATTTCCATTCCTTCAGTCCTCACTAGTGCTTTACTATCCGCCGGCCACTGCAGATCGAGGAAGGAAGGTTGCTATTTAACTGGCTGAGCGAGCGAGAGCGGGATATATGATGATATGATGTGTCATGCTATGCGTGTGTGGTGTGGTGTGCAGTGAAGGGCTCAGGCAAAGACCGGTGGCAACCAGAGCTGACAGGACAGGCAGGAGGAGGGCTGACCCGTTGGGCTGGACGGTCTTTTCTGAGAGCGATGACACACATGCGATATGCATGCGGGCGGCATCGTGTGGGCGGTTGGGCGAGTGCAAGCAGTACATTCTGCACGCTGTGGGGGAGGGGGGAGAGGAAGGGCCATACAGGGAAGGACACAGACAGGTCGTCGAGGGTCTGAGCTTCCTAGCAAGCAAGGTGCGTAGGTCGTAGTGTGGGCGTCTCCGTCTCCCTCCCTCCCCCTTGCCGGCTCCTTTGCTGGCCGTTTGCTCACTCACTCGTGTCCCCTCGACGCGTACTCGCTCGATGTGTGCATGTCCGTGAGTGTGCATGATCATCGTATGATTCCACTTGAAGATGCATCGGGGACTGTGGGTGGTACGTGCCCTGACTGACTGCCTGACTGAGTGGCCGGTATTTGTGCATGCTGCGTGCCATACGTGCGTCCATGACTTGCCTGACTCACTAGCTAGCTGGCTTGCTGTCTGCTGCCTCCACTCCATGATCATGAAGTGTGTGGGTGCTATACATGCTGCCCGCCTGCCTGCCTGCCTGGATGGGTGAGTGAGTGAGTGGGTGGATGGATGGATGGGAAAAGATCGACCTGATCGTGTCTGTTTGCGCGAAGGAAGTGAATGGAGGACGGACACAATCAGTGGTGCGTGCATTTTGCCTGGCTCGGAACGACACTGGTGTACATGCATGCATTGTCATTGTGCTGCACAAACAAAGCTACCAAGGGCCCCAACAGTACGTACGTGTCAAACACGCACTCACACATGTATTATACATCAACGTACATTAAACAAATCCATGTACACACACACATGTATGTCCACATGTGTATGTACACATTGTACACACACACACGCGTACGTGTCTCTCTGCCTTCGATCGGTCTTCCTCTCGCTCGGTCGGTCAATCAGTCGGTCAATTGGTTGATTGATTCACCGCTTGTGAGTGAGCGACTGAGTGCCGACAGACAGACAGACAGCCATCCATTGATCGGTCATGTCGACTGAGCAGCAGGAGGGCGGTGCACCTGAGCGTGTGCCTCTGCTGGGTGGTCTGCTGGGCGGCGGCCTGACGTCGACGTTCGAGTGGTTCCCGCGGTCCAAGGGCATTGCCGGGTGGGATGTGCGCGAGAGTTGTGTGCTGATCGGGCTGCTGCAGCTGGTGGTGGCCTTCATCCTGCACGAGACCATCGAGTACTTCAGGCCTGGCCTGCCGGGCGTCAAGCTCTTCCTGCTCGCCTACTTCGTTGCCGTCGGCACCATCATGTGAGTACTCACACACAGCTAGCTGCAGACACACACACACACACACAGAGAGAGAGGGAGACATGGATGGATGGATGGATGTGAATGTGTGTGTTGATGTGTGTGGAGGGCCGTGTCTGCGTTCCTCCGCAACCTTACGGGGAGCTCTGTGTCTCTGGCGCTGCTGCTGCTCGCGTTGGTGTTCGTCTTGATGGTCACCGTACAATGCGCAAACATGTGATGATAAACACAGACACACGACACGACACTCTCTCACTTGTCTGTCTCTCTATCTCTCTCTCTGTCTTCTGCGTGTCAGCTACTACTTCTATCCGCCGCCACCGTAACACACACACACACACGACAGGACACGAGACTAGAGAGACACACACACACCTGCACGGACCTCTCTCCATGTCTCTGGTTTGTGTGTGTGATGCATCCAGTGAGTTCACAGAGGTGCCGGCCGCCAAGTCCAAGCCGCCCGCCTCCCACTCACTGATGCTCGACCTCAGCCCGGCCACTCCCGCTCTCACGGACGTGGACGTGCCACCCCCGCCAGCAGCGATGGTGGACGAACTCGACAAGGTCCTGTTGCAACTCAGCCCAAGATTCAAGCAGCAGCAGCAGCAGCAGCAGCAGAGTGACGGGCACACGGCCATCCGCGGCACACAACACGCTCAGACACAGACACGCGCCAAGTATCCCGACAAAGGTCAAGAAAACCAATTAGAACACACCATGAGACACGAAGCACATAGCCATCTCTCTCTCTCTCTGTATCTGTGTGTGTAGATTACGGTGCCGGTGCGGCTGATGCGGAGGAGGTCTCGGCTCGGGACCTGCCGCGCGAAGTCGATGTGCTGCCCGAAGGTACTATGTAATGTCACTCATCCAGCCTGTGTGTCATGTGGATGTGTGTGTCGCCTTGGTCGGTTAATCAGATGAGGAGTTGGAGGTTGCATCGATCGCGAAGATCGTCAAGAGCGCCGTCCGCTTCGGATTCATCCTCGTCTTCATCATACTCCTCCTCGCCTACTGCGCATTGCAACTAACGCCACACACACACACACCAAAACGGCATGCTCCTTCTCTCACTGTCGTGGATGTCTGTATGTGTGTTGTGTCAGTGTCCATGTGTGGTTCACATTCCTGCTGCAGGGCTGCAAGAAAGAACATCACATCAGCAGCCGGACCAGCACAGTTCGAAGCCAAGGCGTGAGTGAATCCGCCAAACCCACCAACCAACGAAGAGACACACACCCGACAGACAGACAAATGGATGGATGGATGGATGGGTGGTGTGAATGGATGAAGAGACGCACATGAGAGATGGCTGCATGCACCAACAGACATTGATTGCCATCACGTCAACAAGTCATTCTCACACCTTTGGGGCAGATCTGTGCACGGCTGTCACTGGACCAACGGATTGACGTTCAGTGCAAACAAACACATGAATGAATGCATTGCGCCGCGCCCAAAGAATCATATCAGTGTATCCGATCTCCGACCGACTGTCTGTGTGTGCAACAGACAGACAGACAGACACACGAACGAGGACAACGCCGTGCCCACATGCACGCATGAGTCCAGCCACGCGCGTCAACGTGAAGGTTTCAATTCGATGCGCATGCATATGACACAGAAAGATCTGCCGCCTCGGCTGTCAAACTGTCGTGCGCGTGTTCAGCCCCAGTGCAGTTTCACTGGCTGCAGATCGACCAGTGACGATCAGCCACGAACTCTTCCTGCTGCCTCACAACCCTTTCTCCTTCAGTGCACCTCTCTCAGGGCCATGATGTCCCTTTCCTTCAGCCTGATCTCTCTCTTGTGCGTCCTCTGTGGTGCTGCCGCCTTCGACCTCGACAGCTTCGCCCGCTTCGTGCCGACAGAGAGCAGCAGCAGCGATGTGAAGCTGTCATTCAGCCATCAGCAGACCACTCAGCTGACCGACAGTGACGAGAGAGAGGCCACCTTTGTGAGCTCTCTCTTTCCCCTCTTCCCAGGCGATGTTCTCAACACGTGAGGCACTCACACACAACATCGCACCGCAAGGCTGCACTACATGTTTGCTCTTGCTTGTAGGTATCCCTTTGACGTGCCGATTCCCTTCCCGCAACAGCCGATGGCAATTCGGTCTCTATGGGGCGAAATTGTCGACGATGAGAACGTCAGCGTGCCCCTCGATGAGGTAATGCGTCAAGGCCACACCCACACACATACACAAATGCAGCTGAAGGTTTGTGTGTGTGTCTTCAGGTCTACACGCACCACTGGTTCCTGACCTACACGATGCCCGGCGACGATAGCAGAAACCTCACACGCGCAATGACACGCGCACTCGCTGTGGGCGCCGAGTCCAGGGGTCAGTTACCACTGCACACACAGGCAGGATTGTCCACTGCATGCGCGGCCTGTTCGTTGCTCTGTCAGGCACGCCGATAGTATCGCTGAGCGCTCCTTTTGCCTTCACGACGACCGGTGAGGAGTCCTGGTGGCTCAACATGCACCTGCTGAGGACCGACAATGTGACCAATGTGCCAGCCTGCATTCAGGTGATCACGACACAGACACACAACACACCAATTGGCCAGGCAATGCTGCTTGTTTGTGCCCTTCAGTGCCGCTGCGCCCCCGACGGCCGTCACGGGTCGCTCAGCTGCTGCCAAGACGGCACGCACTGCCACACATCATTCGACCCGTTCGTGACGGCCAGCGACTCTGACTTCTTTGACGACCCCGCCCACTGCCCAGACTGCAACTCCAACACAGAAGACATCTTCGGGCCGCCGATCCGCAACTTCATCCCTCGCCCAGCCGCCAAGTACTACCGCGTCAGGTACACTGTCCGCTACGGCGAGGTCACCCCCGACGTCAAGCCGGTCCGCGCCAACATGGGCATCGACATCGTCAAGGGCAAACAGGAGTACAACGTCTTCCCATGCGCCCGCAAGGAGAGTGCGGCCCTTGCGCCTCTCGCAGCCATGAAGCAGCGGCGCCTACTGCTCAGTGGGGAGGACAGCGAGTGTGTCGACACCAAGAGGGCGACGGTCGTCGTCAACCAGCCCTTCCATCTGATCAACGTCCGCTCACACCTGCATGTGGGCGCCATAAGTGCTTCTCTGGCCGGCGTGAGGGAGGAGTGGCAGTGCGACCTGCGGGCCATCTATGGCACCACGCCACGCAAGGCCGGCGACGAGCTGGGCTATGTGACGGGCATCACCCAGTGCTACTACGGTGAGGGCGAGAGGATGCTGCAGAGGGGTGACTTACTGCGGGCGACGGTCCACTACAGGCGGGACAAGCACTACGCCGGCGTGATGGGCGCTGTTCTGTTGGTGGGGTACTACCCCGGCGACACGGCGGCATCGACGTCATGGGAATTCTCGGTCACGCAGGTGTCCTATGTCAACGAGACGGACAGCGATGTGCGTGTGTGAATGTGTGATTGTGTGAGGGGAGAGATGTTAAGATGAGATTGAGTCGTGCCTGTGGGTGGGTATGTCAAGCGGTCCACTGTGATGACGGACTCGAACTCCACTTGATGGCGTCGTGTCATTCGCCACCGAGTGAGCTTTGTGGCCGTCGGCTCAGTGGATCTCGTGACACGACCCACACACGCAATGCGATGGATGCATTTGAGATGCGGGCCGGGCCGTTTTGCCGTTTTTGATGCATGTATGTGTCTGTGTGTGTGTGTCCAGCGGTGTGGTGTTGGTGTGACTCAAAGATGAGATCAGTGTCAGTGGCAATGTCGTCCATTGGGTGCATTCATTGCATCGATGAGCTTCCTCATTGGGAGGGGGAAGATGCAGCGGGGCCGTGTAAGCCGTATAAGCCATCTTTTTCCGGATCGTGTGTGCGTGGTGCAATGATTGATGGAGTGTTGTGTTGTGTTGGTTGGGAGCGAGGGTCGCTAGCCTGGGTTTGTGGGCGCCAAGCGCAGTTAGCCGAGACGTCTATCTATGGGTAGGTAGCGGACTCGTCGACGTCTATCTGAGTAGCGATGTGCATCACACTGACGGACTCGTCGACGTTGTCGTCAATAGGACAGATTGACCAAATGCCCGTCCATGTGTGTGTGAAATTTTGTGTGTCAGGTGGGTTTGTCCTTTCCTCCTCGCTGCTGCACGTCGTCTTGTGTGTCGGTTCGTTCCGTCCCACAGACTTCGTGTGTGAGTGGGGGGTGGAGGGATCCCAGAGGACACAGACGAGAGAGAGAATGGCCGACACCCTTGTCAGTCAGCCTGACAGCCAGTCCACGGGTTACTCGGGACCCTTTCTGTGTGTGATTGACGTGTGTCCTTTGTGTTATCCTCTGAGTGCGGCTGCGTCCTTTGGTCGTGTTGTGTGTATCGTGCCTCATTACTGTGATGGCTCAGTGGTGGGGCTCCGTACACAGACGCCGGCTGAAGGACGCACACGTGCGAGAGGGATGACTGGTGCGATGGACGACCATATCAATATCGGTGCAGTGCAGCTGACAGGTGGATGTAGACACTCTGCGATGCCTTTTCTCATTCATCGTCGATCAGTGTAGGTGAGAAATACGCGGCCATGTCGTCTCTCCCCGCCCCCCCATCCAAAACGCAAAGTGCCTCCCTCTCCTGCATTGCATTGCAATGCATTCATCAAACTGTCAGTCAGGGCAATGCATTCATATCATTGAGCCACGTATATCATCTTCCTGTCTACACCGCACGCCACGCAAACAACACCTCAGAGAGACAGGACACGAGAAGCCATCTTAGATATCTATCGACAGACATCCCTCACATCCCTCACAAAATCGAAGCTGTCTACTCACATACACAGACACAGACAGCCAGTCGCTGTCATGCCACTGGCACTTGTGCGGGCATGGGCAGGGCCTCCCGCTTCTTGTGCCGCTCCAGCAGCACGTTGGACAGCACCGAGTCGATTACGATCTGCCCCAGCTGGCCGAGGATCATACCGATGATCAGCATACCCTTGCTCCCTGCCGAGGGCGGCAGCACCTCCAGCACGGTGATGCCCACAATGAGGGCCTTCCCTGAGCAGGACAGCACCAGGGTACGCGCAACATCTACACGCAAACACACATACAGATAGAGAGAGAGACACACTGGTCAGTCAATTCACATGGTCGCAAACGGCAAAGCTGTCGTGGCTCTTATCTTACATCCCGGGAAGCGGAACAGGAGACACACAGCAGCGTTGAGCAGTAGGTACACCACGTGCAGCCCCACACCCAGGCAGGCAGCTGCAATCAGCACGTCAGCCGTCAGGCGGTCAAGCTGCAGGCACGCAAAACACCCACACACAAATGCAGCACCCATCGACGGCCCAATGCCATCCTTCTCAGCACCTTGTCCGCTGTCCGACTGACGTTGAGCCACACGAGCACCAGCACCACCACACTCGGGGTCGGCCGAAACGCCTTGCTCTGGAAGAACGGCTTGACTCGCGGGATGTAGCTGACCGCCTTGCCGACCACCATTGGCACCAGCCGCAGGTACAGGAGGGCCAGGAAAATATTGAGGGGGTCAATCTTGACCGCCACATCGTGTTGTAGGCGCGTGCTGCCCGGGTCCTCGGCTTGCTCCAGGCGAAAGAGCAGCGGCACGGATATGGGCAGCGTGAAGGAGACGAGCAGTGAGCAGACGGTAGATATCATGATGCCCAAGGCGACGTTGCCTTTGGCCGTCCTCGTGAAGATGATGGATGTGGTGAAGTTGTTGGGCGTCAAGGTGAAGAGGCCGACCCCCATGACGAGCCCCACTGGCCGCAAGGGAATGAGCACCACTGCAAAGCCGAGCAGCGGCGTGATGACGAGCACGGAAACGATGCCGTAGAGCGATGCCTTCCAATTCTTGAGGCCGTCCCATACCTCCCCCAACTTGAGGTTCAGACCATTCTGCACACACACGCAGTGCATCAAGAATGGACTGGATGGACGGGCTCCTGGTTGCCTGAAAGAGCTTACGAGGAAGAAGACTGTGACGATGCATAGATCGAAGATCAAATTGGGGGGAACTTTGCTGCCCGCTCCCCCGTCCAGCCAGATGCCCGGCTCAGGGACGAAGCACGAGAAGACAATCACCGCCACGAGACCAATCGCCAAATGGTTGGCAATCATAACACGCCAGCACCTGGCCGCAATCCTCTTGGCCGCATAGCGGTCGAAGCAGGGGCCTTGCAGCCACTGAAGTGTCGGTGGCCGCTGCGCCAGATCTCTCTGTGGCGCCGCCGTCGCGTTGTCAGCGTGTTCTGCCGTGGCTGCACCCCCCTGTGGGGGAGGGGCTGTTGACGCGTGAACGGGCGGCTTGCTTGGGGCGATGCTCTGCTTGCGTGTTGCGCTGCGCTCTTCAGTGGCCGATGAGTGCTGATCTGGCGGCTTGACCTCAGTCTCCATCCCACTGCTGCGAGATCAGCGTCAAATCGATTTGGGTGCCTGCCGCGTACGTTTCCGCCTCCATTTTCCCTCTTCCCTTCTTCTCCGCCTCCCGCGATCGCTCTCAAGCTCGCGTTCTCTCCCGATCTCTTCGCACGCCTCTCCCCTTCTCTTGCCTGCCCCCTTTGCCTCCTACCAGATTCAGGGGAGATCCCTGCTTGATGAAACCAATATGGCACTCCAGCACGTTCAATCTGAACTCCTCCTGCATCGAACGCTATCTGATGACGGCGCCGCTGTGCTGCAGGCCCTCATGGCCAGCACGAGGGGCCAGAAGATCCTCGTCAAGGCACTTCACGCAGGCCTCAGGTGAGCAGCAGCATCAGAGGGCAAGGGTGGTGACTGCGCTTGTCTGCAGATTATTGGCTCCTGCTGTGTGTGTTGTTTGTGCAGATCAGGCGCTGTGTCGCCAAAAGCCTTGCTGCACGGCACAGCACTGAGTGGTGTCTTACTGGAGCCGGCGGCAAACATCCCCACCATCCCTCTGCCCGAAGTGTTTCTGGCGTCCATGCTGGACTACCTCACCGGCGACGAGCTGCCCTATGCGCAGTAAGCAGATCCACCTGTGGATGGGGTGCTTGGTGGCATATCACATCTCCTCGCGCCTATTTTGCTTGCTGTGTGTCACTGTCTGTCAGGACGTGTCGATATCTGTACGAGACGTTCGTCAATGGTGGCGCCCTCCGCGTGACCCTCTCGCCCCGCAGCCCCCTCATCGCCCCCCTCAGACACGACTCACCCTCCCACCTCCACCAAACCATCAAGCGCCTCATCCGACTGCGGCCCTCGGGCGTCAGGCATCTCACCGTCGTGGTCCCTGTCCATCGGGACAACCCGAAGGACCTGCCCTCGCTGCTCAACAAGCTCATCCAGGCCCTTTGCTTGAGCGTGGAGATCAGCGGGTCGGTGACGCTGTCGTCGCTTGACGTGACGGCCCCGTGCGCCGTGGACGGGCAAGTGATGGAAACCGTGCTCGGCCGGCACGCATCGACACTCCGACGGCTGCGGCTCGTGCGCACACGCCCCACCCCCGCCCCCAGGCCCACCTGCCCACCCCGTCCCCTCACGCCGTACTGCCCCCTCCCCCTCCTGGAGGACCTGACGCTGGACGGATATGCCCTCACCAGGGCAGACGGATGCACCAACGCTATCAGCGAAGTCGCCGTTACGGCACCAGCCAACGGAGCGATTACACCCTTGCTGCCGCTGCAGAGCTTCTCGATCCTCCCGGCCAATCCATCAAACCTGCTGGACGCCTCCTTCATCCAGGACTGGGGTGACGTCCTGCAGGCATCGATGCACCACCCCTCCCTCCGCTCCCTCTGTGTCCCGTGCCTTCGACTGGAGCCCCTCAAGGCCCTCATGGACGACCGCACGGCCATCCCGAGACTGTCCTCCATCGGGTGGATTCCGGTGTCGGCCGACGGGCACGTGCTGGGCCGGAGGGAGGGGGGCGAGACGGTGACGATCGGCCATGTGGCGGCCAGGTGGCCGTCGGTGTCGGTGCTGATGGTGCTGGGGAAGGGCGGGATGGGGGGACATGTGAGGGCCATCGATGGGTTCGTGCGGGTGTGGTGTGGGAGGGGCAGCTGGGGCGGGTGGGTGAGGAGCAAGTGGAGGAGGAAGGAGGGGGGGTCTCATTTCATGTGACGTGATGTGAATATCGTATCGCTGTCCTTCAACACATCGCGTGTCCTCTCCCTTCTTTCCGCCACGAGATCTGCATAGCACGGCTGGATGCTATGCGGTTGTCGTGGGCGGCGGCTGGGAGCAGGCAACCGATGTGTGTGAAGGACAGTGTGTAGCGACTTGCCTTACTTGCAGCCCTTGAAAGTGTGCTGATGCCCAGTGGTGGTGCACTGGGCGGTCTCTGTAGTGTAGCCAGTGTCTCTACCGCACGTGCATTGCATGCCCCCTGTCGAGTGATGGTTCCTCTTGAAGCCCAATTAAGCACGTGCGGCTTGAAGTATTGTGGCTTTTGTACCTACTGTACAGTTTATCAAATATTTCTTGTCGATAGCGAGTGGATGACAGTACTACGCTGACTTCCCCCACACACAGGCAGGCAGGCAGGCAGGGAGTTCTGCCGGTGAACGGGAGGGTAGACTGTGACTTCGGGGCCTGTTGTCATCTTCTTGCACGCGCACCGTCGTCTGGTCCAGCAAGGCGCACACGGCAGTACGTGTGTGAGGGAGATGTGCCGCAGGGAGTCGCAGTCTTGCCTCCCCTTTCCATTTTGCCACTCTGCATCCATGAGAGATCGTGTCAAGTGGGTGTCGTGTCCATCTATCAGCCAGCCAAAGTCCAAAGAGCCACTGCTACACACACCAGACACAAGGCCAAGCAAACAAAGCAAGTTTGTTTGCGTCTAGTGAGTGGTGTGTGGAGCTGTGTAACTTTTGGTCTTCTGCTTGAATTCCCCCGTGGCCGACTAGCGAACGACACACCACGACGTGCGTCGTTCATGTCGATACAGACCGATTCAATTGATTCAATTCAGTGAAGGGCCACTCAGATTGTGCACTCGTCAGTCCATCGTATATACACACGTACGCACACCCAGAGACACTCAGGCAGTGAAAAGTATCCTCGTCACAAATACAAGCCGCTTCGTAACGAACACAGGCCTACTTGTCTGTCTGCGGTCAGTCAGTCTTGGCCGAGGGGCAACGGCACCAGGCGAATCGCACACTCCACACCTGAACGCACCAACACATGCACACACAGATGACCGACCAATCGACACACACAATATGGTCATACCTGTTCGATTCAACGCTGATCGCTGCGCTCCGCTGCCCACTGCCGCCACATCGTGTGTACGCTGTGTGTGACGGTTCAGCCTGGAAGCAGCCGTACCATCCGCACCTGAACCACACACATACTGCGGGTCTCTTGTCGATTTGTGGTCTGTGCTGACGGCGGACCTGCCGGGGCAAAGAAGTCCGTGATGCGCTGCTGAGTGGGGCTCAGAGGGGGCGGGAAGAGCGTCACCAGTATGCTGCCGAGACTGGTACCATCGATGCTCCCAGGGACGGCACAAATGCGATCTGAAGAAGAAAAACAAGTAAGTGAGGGGAAGCTCGTGAAGTCTGGTTTTTCCTTACTGGTGGCGAACTCGGTGATGCGGCGCTGCCTGGGGGGCACGGCCAATGCCGGCGACGCATCCATGGCATCAACTGCGATGGCAGGCAGAGACATGCATTCGTGGGGAAATGGCAGCGTCTGTCCTCTGTATATCATTGCATACCTCGGGGCGCTTTGGTGAAGGTCAGGTCCGTGTCTTCCACGGAAAAGCCGTACGCTGTTACAGCATCAAGACGGATCTCAAGGGCGGCTTCGTAGCCGGCTGGTAAGGTGAAGCAGGAGGGCTTCACCTCTGAGGTCTTGGTGGCGGATGCCAGCAACGGACAGAAGTCAGTGTCCTCCCAGTCGTCCTCGTCATCACACAGCAGCTGTCCGTCAAAGATGAACTCGTCGAGAAACATATCCACCACTGATGCGTTCTCCTGCAACACGGCACGCAGCAGCGGTATCCGTTGCAAAAGGTCAATCAAACACAAATAGCCCCCTTTCTCCTCCTTCCCAACCTTTGAAACATCGATGACAAGCAGATTATCCGCGACAAAAGCTGAAGATGACACAGCATTGTCTGGTTGTAGCTCCTCGATGAGCCAAACCACATCATCAATCGGAAAGTCGTCCACTTCTTCGAGCTCCATGGTCAGATGCGCGATTTGCGGATATCGCTGTCGTCGCTCCACCAGGGTTGGCAGAAAGCCGTGCTCCGAGCTGAGAGCTGTGTCGGTGGACAGCTCCTCCAAGTCACTCGAAAAGGTGGTGAGTTTCACTTCTCTGACGGTCTTGCGGGGGCCGCTCGTACCTCCCTGGAAATACGCGAGACTTTCCAGGACGAGAAAACCGGGGATGGTAGAATCTAGAGCAATCTTGATGTCCGACGGTAGCGACCGCAGAAGGCTGCAGAGGTTGTTGTCGAATGGAGGCGGCGAGAGGGTGCACGGATTGCCTGGTGGTCGCTCGACGGTGTCCAGCCTCAACTCTACAGCAGCATCGACACACACACACATGCGTAGTGGAGGCTGAGCGAGTATGCTGTCCAGCCTCAATTCTGTAACAGCATCGATGCAAGAAGACGCGTGTTCGTTCTGTCACACCGACCTTGGATGTTCGCGAACACGCCTTCCCTCCCGATGCACTTGGGGATCGCCTGCAGGGCAAGCTCGTCCGCTTTGTCATCCGCTGTCAGCACCTTGAGCACCTTGGCTGCAGGGAAATCCAACGACTGCAGATCCGGGTGGAGGCTCAGCACCGACTTGCCGTACCGGCCGCACACGATCACCACTCTGTCGCTGCTCCGGGCGTACCGACGGACAAGCGGAGCTGTCGCCTTCAGAGATTGCAGAGACTCTTGGCGTGTCGAGAAGACCCTCCTAGGGTCGAAGATGTCAGGGGTGTCCTCATGCGAGCAGTCCATGATGGCAACGCCTCCCGATCGAATGACCGTCCCGCCCCACTCCTCAATCTCTCGAATCAGCCGCAGCGGGCGAGGGTTTGCCACAGCATGACGCGACAATAGGTCGGCCGGCAGTGACAGGTTGAGCACGATGGGCGTGTGGATGACGAGTGTGCGGGCTGGGACCGATGGGCCTGTCTCTGTCTCGTTGCCGCTGCCGCTCTCCGCCATCCTGTCCGCAGCTCTCTCGCTCTTCCTCTCCGAATGCTGTCTGTCCTCCTCAATCTGCCATCGCCGCTCCTCCATGCGCTTCAGCAGCGCCATGACCTCACCACAGTCCTCCCACGTGCTGCTGTAATCGTCACCGTCCTCAACCAGTGGGGGAACCAGCACGTGACCGAGATGGGTCAGGCTATCCATGCCACCGAGGGCGTTGAATGTGAGCGGCAGGCGACTGGGGGCGAGAGGGAAGACGTTCAGAGCCGTGAGCTGCGGGTGGCGGCGACAGAATGAAGCCAGGCAGTCGTCAAACAGCAGGCTAAGCCGGTACGGATCACCATGTCTACTCCACCAGCGTTGAACTGGATTTGGTCTCCACCAGGGGAGATGGGGTTCGGCACAAAGGTCGACAACGTCGACAATCCTGCCCGTGAGACGGCCCATCGACGGACAGCGAAGCCGCATGCGCTCGAAGAGGGCCAGTCCGGCGACGCTCTCAATGTGAAGGGCCGCCAGTCGTGTCATCGCCAGGCCACGCAAGGCCTGCACGACCACCCCAGCCGCATTGCTGCCGTGCGGCGGCTGGTCCTCCCGATCGCCAGCCTTGGCCCTCTTGCGCTTCAGAGGGTCGACGATGGACATCTCCTGCAGCTGGCTCGCATAGAGACTCAATCGGCGGAGACAGAAAGCCATCAGCTGGTCCTCGATGCTCTCCACTTTTGGCGGAAGGATGACCACCGCTCGGCGCACGAACGTCGCATCGACCTTTCTTATCTTGCCCTGATTGGGGTGGACAAAGCTGACGACAGTGATGACCCCGTAGACCGCCTCATACAGAGTGTGGCAAACGCGCGCGAGCCCCACTGGTTCCGCTGGCGGCATCAGGTCAACGAGCTCCTCCCAGAGGCCGGCAGCCGCGACAACTCGAAGGAAGCCTGGGGCGCGCATGGGGAGGGAGCCAACTGCAGATGGACGACGGCCACGGGGCACGGGGGTGAGGGATGCTACGCTGCTCCGCCGAGATGAGGACGGCCGCGGGATGATGAAGCGACACTTGCGACAATGCGCTGAATCTGAGCATAAGGACGGATGGAGAAAGCCGTAAGCCCTGTCCCCCCTTTGCGTTCGTTGTCTGACGCACCTGAGAATGAAGCGATATCCTTGAGCTGTCCTGTGATGCCGTCTGACCCGAATCGCACCGACACATCGCCATCGATCGACTGAGGCAGGAGCATCTTGGTTGCAAGCTGGTGGTGTAGCGGCGCGAGGAGTTCCATCTCTGGCAGCTCGAAAGAAGTGGTCGGATCCTCCAGCTGTGATGGGGTCATGCTGGCGAGGTGGTAGGCGAAGTTTTGCAGCCAAGGTGGGCTGCTGAGGGCTGTGGTGAGGCCTTTGCCGTCGGAGCGCTCGCCGGTGTAGTAGGCGATCAGCTCACTCAGCCCTGCAAGATAAGTCGACACTGCCACACACACACAAGGCATCACAACCATCTGGTTGGGTCGAACCCTGGGAAGTGCGTTGACATAAGCGCACCTTTCTGCGATGCCACGTGTGGATGCGCCGGTGGATAGCCGAACCGCGTGTACTCCACATGAGCTCGGATCGAGTTGACGAAGTGATCGAGGGCCGCTGGATGCACACGGCCACGGTGGAACAGAAACGGCGAGGTGTCAACGCACTGGACCAGACAAGGGTGCATACTCGAGAAGTCCATATGAAGACGCCCTTCCCCCCATTTCCTTTTTGCCTACCTTGTCTTCCAGATGAGCGAAGTAGATGTGTGTGATGGTATCCAGGTCGGCCCCCAGCTTGGGCTTCGTATGCCGCTGACAGTCGAGAAGCGAGGGAAGGTGTCCAGTGGCCGACCATGCCCAAAGCATGCGAAGGTCCTCCACATATCGATCGACATCGAGGCTGGATGCTGTCACTCCAAGTGATTCCATCTGCATGAAAACCATGAATGAGGAGCAGAAGTCTGTGATGGTCCCTCATCGATGGTTCTTGTCCAGTGCATACCTGTGCTTTGACGTAGCTGCGGAGTGCCTCCCGCAGTCGATCGATCCACACCACTTCGAGCGCGTCGCACCACACTGACGAAGACGCCGATGCAGGTGATGGATCGATGTCCATCTGAAGATGCATAAAGAGCATGACACACACGTCGCGCCGAGCTGGGCCATCTTTGGCAGCCGCGTGGGCGTACCGTGTCACTGGATGCGGGTGGTGTGTCCCATCTCTGGATGAGCGAGAGGTGGAGGGCCGGATGGGACACCACTGGAGGCGACAGGCTGAGGAGCAACGTGTCTGCATCGATGCCATACACACAATACGATCGACTCGCAACGGGCGCGTGCCTAATGCATGTACACAGTCACCAAACAGGGGCAGAATGAGCCGTGTTGCTCTCAATCGCCTCGTCTTTTGGCAGCTGCCCTACCCACTGTGTGCGATTTGCGATTGGATGAAGTTGAAGATGGCTGTACTTGTGCCTCCAGCACGACACGGCAGCAGCAGAAGACAAAGGCCCGGATGATGGCGAACCAAAGAATCAGCACAGCACCTGCGTAGACAGCACAAACGGGCGCACGCTGACAGAGGTTGGCTGGCCCACACATTCGACAAAGTCACCTCACGGCTTGGTCGAGGAGATTCTGCGATTGGCCACTCGTATGTGGCTCTTGATCCACTTGCATGGCGTCTGTTTCATCAATTATCTCGGCTGCCGATGACACGAGAGATTCTGAACCACACACGTACACAATGTGTATTGGTGTTTGGTCATTACGTGTTTCGTGACTGACCGAATGCGAGCATGACGAATGCTTTGGGACGAATCGCACGAATCAATGTGCCCGTCCGCCTCTCCACTTCGGCAGTGAGAGCATCTAGTGTGTCGTCGCCGCCCGCCAGGCCACTCATGAGTGTCTTGATACACACCAGCAGCCCATCAGCACCCACAGGACTGGATGAAGGTGGAGGACATGACCCATCCCCGTCGCTGCCAACCGGCAAACAACCTGAGCGCATCACACAGCCCATCTACCTCTGGCAACGACCCCTTCCACGTATTCTTTTACCGCAGCATTCAGGGAATCGATCCAGCAACCACTGCGTCAGGCTGCTGGACTTGCACAACGACGTCAGCCGACCAAGACGCATCCACTCGGCGGCAATGGCCGATGCTGGGCCGGACAGCTCACGAATGAAATGGCGGGCGCTGTGAGGGCTGAACAACACAGGGATCGATAATCAATATGTGTGCACGTATGTGTCTGTGTGCGTGAGTGTGCTGGGTTCACCTGTCCGAATCGTGCTCGATCAGTGGCTGAACACTGTGTGACCGCGGCAGCAGCACTCTCAGGGAAACAGAGAGGGAACAGCGGCTGTGGACATCAAGGAGCAGGTCCTGCCAAACACGGGTACATTCATACCACCACTTCGACGATGGATGTGTGCGTGTCTGTGTGTGTGTGTGAGTGTGTCACCGTGCAGCAGAATTCCTTACCACCAGCTGTCTTTTGATTCGCTCTATTGTTTGTGGCAGCGCCTCGACTCTCAGCAGACGATCAGTCTGCCCCGTCGCTCTCCTCACGCACAGCCGCCCATCGTGTGATTCAGATAGCTCCAGCAAACGACGCAGAGCATCTGCAGACAGACAGGTCCCTACATGCAGCGCGCAGACAAAGCCATCACCGCATTTCTCTTGTGCTTCTCACCGAGTTGTTCTGACTGGTTGCACAGACGCTCAGGCACTGCCTCGTTCAGCAGCACGAGAGGCAGGGACACCGGCGGCACTCAGTCCATCGGCGGGATGAATCAAACGAAAGATGCAGCCGTCATTCGTGCTGGTGGGTACTCACGTGCGACGGACACGCTCTGGCGCGTCGGGAAAAGCATATGGTTTGAGAATTCTCTCGAATGCAAGCTCGCAAGTGTGTGGGCAAAACCGCTGAAACCAATTTTGGCTGAAACCGCCTCCGTCGTTGGCAAAAGCGAGGCAAAGTGGATGCATAGCTGCTGACTCATGAATCATTCATCATCCATCCATCCATCCGTCCGTATGAAACATGTAGGTACATATATACAGCTCACAGCCGGCCCCCAGAGTGGTCCGGTCCGGTCCACATACGAACCACTCGTACGTACATACAGACAGGCAAGCACCAAAGCAAGTGTCTGATATCGATAGACTCGGCCATCCAGTGGCCTGGCAGGCAGCTACTCTCCTGTGATGCTGGCTGTCTTCTCGAATGTGGCTTCTCGACTCCACAGCCAGACACACTGACGACACAACACATACGAACCCATGTGGCAGGTCATTGCCTGGCACCGCCAGTCCTATTTTTCTCACCCTCCCTCTACGAGCGACGACTTCCCGTAAGGGCAATGCCCCACTGCTGGTCCGCCCTGTCGATGGTGAACCTTCCGATGGTCATGCTGCTGCGGAACAGCTGCTCCAGCGCATTGCGGAGTCGGCTGCCCATCGGCAGCGGTGCCCAGTTCCTCTCCCGGAGGTGCACATGAAAACGCGCCAGGCCGCGGACGCCGTTGATCAGAGAGGTCACGCCGTCGTGGATGACCTGAGCAGCTGCATCGGGCGGCCAAGACGATGGAACTGAATGACACACGACCCACACAAAGACGAGGCAGCAACGTTGCGGCTGACATGACAAACCAGTGCATTCATTCATTCACACCTTCGATCGGCAGGTTGATTGTTTTGATGGACGGGAAGTCCGCCGACGCCCAGCCGTCAAACGGTCTCCGCGTGAGGTTGACACCATCCTCGCGGCTGTCGCCGCCTAGCCAGACGGTGTGCACCTTCCTCCCCCTCCCCAGCCCCTCCAGCACGCTCCTCCTGTCCCCCGCGTCGACGTCGGCATGGAACTTCACACACACCATCGTGCTGGGCATCCTCGAGGCGAACAGACGCCCCGCCGGCCCACCCAGAGCACTGCCGACGAAGAGCTGTATGACCTTGGGGAATGGGGGTAGGTGCTGGATGATGGCGGGCGTGGGGGCAGGAGTGCCGTGAGGGGGGGTGAAGCTACGGTCATTGCGGACGGCAACGTGCTGCACGCTGGTGAAGTCGAGGCTCTGCGCGACCTCGATGGCGGACTGGCTGGGGCTGTCGACGGGGTGGGTGAGGTCATGATGGTCGATGAAGTAGATGACCTCTCGCGTGTCTCGTGCTGCGTCCTGGACGACCCTCTTGATGAAGGGGGATGGGCGGCTTGGGGAACGGTCGAAGTAGTCCGCGTACAGGACGGACGGCGAGACACCGCCGAATCCCGGATCAGTCGTCACGTTGATGGGGACGTCAGGAGACACACAGCACTCGTCGATGAGGCAATCCACGGGCTCCAGCGCGGTGATCGAGCTGTGGTCATGTATTGATGGGATCCGCACAGCAAGGCTCTCGAGCGATTTGCGGCAGCCGCGCGATACGAGTGCCGCCTGAGTGAACAGGAGGGCGTGATTGGCAGGTGCATGGATGAGGTTGGCAGCCATTGTGTTTGCTGTGTGTGTGCCTGGTCACTTACCCGCAGCCGATCCACTCCTTTGTTCGATCTACTCGACAAATGGTCGATGGTCCCTATGCTCCGCAGCTGGCTGAGCGGCCCTGGCCGCCCGGCAGCTGCCTCGGGGACGTGCTCAATCACACCCGCCCACCCGTTACCCGACAGACTCCCGCCGACATGCTGCAGCGACTTGGACGACTTGATGAAGCCGCCCAGCTGTCGGGCACTCCACCCCTCCTGCTGGACGGTGGCCAGTGCGGGCATTACCCACTCCCTGTCGGCGATCACGCCGTGTGGTCCGTCGGCTCCTGTGACGGTCTTGAGCGCGTGGAGGGTGGTGGGGGTCGGGGTGAGGCCGTCCTCCTCCTCCTCCTCCTCGTTGTCGTCGTCGTCGCCCACCTCTAGATCGTCTAGAGTGGGAGGGGGAGGGGCAGAGGGACGACGCCCGTCAGTGCTGCTTCTGGTGCTGATGGCGGTGGTGAATTTGATGATCTCCAGCGAGCCGTCGTCCATCTGGTCGGGACCCGCCTCCTTGCGCGCCTTGCGTCGCCCCTCAGCATGGCCCTCAATCACGCAACACATCTTGTCCACACACCAAGACAGGTCGCCCAGCGGCTGCGCGATGGTGAGTGCCGTCAGGTCCACGAGCCGTTTGCCGAGCCGGGAGGCACCCTCGGAGGTGGTGTCCTCCCAGAACTGGCGCTCTGCAGGGCTGGAACTGTCTATGGCGATGTGGGTCTGCTGGTAGAGGGCTGCGTGGCGGATGGTGGGGTGGTCAGGGAGGAAGGCCGACAGCTCGCGAGGGGTCATAAAGCTCATCACAGACGCTATCATGTTGTCACCGAAACCTTCAGGAGCCTGAACCGGAAACGCGACCAAGGGACACGATGCGGGCGGCATGAGAGTGGGTGACGCAGCGTGAGAGTTCTGTGTGGCTGTGCTGTGTGTACCTTCTTGCTAACATCCCACACCTAGATCCAGACAACACACACACGTCACACACAGTGAGCAGTGGGTCCACGTGTCTTTTGTGCAAGCAGCTGCTCACCAGGTGCACTCCCGGTTGGCCATGCGGTAGTGTATTGGTCTCGCGCGGCACCACTTTGAACTTCTCTCCGCGGCCGCCCACCTCCCTCATGCGGATGGCCGTCCCTCTACTGGTCTCCTCCGTGCGATACACGTCCGCTTTGATCCAGACATAGCTGTCATTGGCACCCCTTCTCGTCTTGGACGTCAGCAGAACACGGGTGCCCTCCTTGTAACGACTACTCGTACGCCGTGGCGCCACCTGATCAATCAGCCAAACAAAGGAATGCGTCATGGATGCAATTGATGCAGCGGCACGCCTTAAGCTTTGCATCCATGCCATGACTCACCTCTGGCTGAGGCCGAGCGGCTGGTGATGCTGCCACTGCAGCTGCCATGCCGCTGCAACTCAACGGCTGACAGGATAACACGGCTGCAATGAATGCATCACTCTCAACGTTCACCCTGTCATCTGCGGGCTTGCTTTCTATGGGTGCGGCGAGGGATGGCCTCTCATCACGGGCTGCTTATCGACAAACGTGGAATGATGGTCAAGGCGGAAGAGCGGCCTGGCCAGGACAATAATGCCCGTGGAGGGACCCCGACTAGCTATACAAGGGGCATTTGTCATCCCTTCAGCTCGCCGAAAAGCTCGCAAAAGTTGGAAGATCTGTGCCGGAAGCAGTTTCCACTTAAAAGACACGAAGAAGAATCTCACATATACAGCGGTTGATACACTTCCGCCGGCAGCGTTGGCCTCAAACGCAGCGATCGCCTCCTAACGCCATCTGGGCAGCCGAGGGAGGTTGGAGGTCTTTCTTGTGTCGCATCTGTCGCTATGATGAACGGCCACGGTGACTCTGTCTTCGCCAAGTCTATCCGCACGTCCAAGGTAGCCTGCATCGGGGCGGGCTATGTGGGAGGGCCGACCATGGCCACCATCGCGCAAAGATGCCCGCACATACAGGTGACCAAGGGGCAGACAGAAAACTCTAAATACAGGGCAGAAAAGCGCCGCAGAAGCGCTGGTTGTGACTGTTGCTGCGTGTTGTTGGCTTCTGTTGACCGCGCAGGTGTACGTGTTGGACATATCCCAGTCGCGCATAGCTGCATGGAACTCCGACCAACTCCCCATCTACGAGCCCGGACTGGACGACGTCGTGAAGGTACCAGCACCTAACGCGCACCACACAGATGGCCGGGCACACAATGACGGATGTGTGGTTTTGTTCCGCTCTCTGTATCTGCAGGAGTGTCGCGGTCGCAATTTGCACTTCACGACGGACGTGTCCGGTATGGTGAAGGAGTGCGACATCATCTTCGTCTCCGTCAACACCCCCACCAAGACCAGGGGACTCGGCGCAGGACGCGCCGCAGACCTCGCCACATGGTCAGTCAGCGCTTCTCCCCCCCCTCCCCCCCTCCCCCCCTACACACACACACACACACGCACCGATGAGATGGGCGCCACACGGACGGTGGGTGCTTCTTCTGTCTGTGTGTGTGCAGGGAGTTGGCCGCGCGTTGCATCGCTGAGAATGCGGACGGTCCCAAGATAGTGATAGAGAAGTCGACGGTGCCGGTGCGGACGGCAGCGGCGGTGCAGCGTGTCCTGGAGGCCAACGAGAAGCCCGACGTCAAGTTCGTCATACTCTCAAACCCAGAGTTCCTCGCCGAAGGTGAGTTGGTTGGCGTGTCGGGGTGGCTGCGTCCGTGGCTTGTCTTCGGTGGTCATATGGGTGTCTGTCGTGTTGTGTGGTGTGTGCAGGCACGGCCATGAAGGATTTGGAGAAGCCCGATAGGGTACTGCTCGGCGGGCCCGAGGACGAGGACGGACAGTTCGCACTCAAGGTGACCTCACTGACTCACCGACACACGGATGCACCTTCGTGGTGATTGTGTGGGTGCGCGATGTCAGTTGTTGGTTGACGTGTATGCGAACTGGGTGCCCCGCGAGAAGATCCTCACCACCAACCTGTGGTCATCCGAACTCTCCAAACTCGGTAGGCTACACAGGCAGCCACACCCACCATTCAGTATTAATGCCCACTGGGTACGTGTGTGCCATGATGGTTGTGTGTTCAGTCGCGAATGCGTTCCTGGCTCAGCGCATCTCGTCCATCAACGCCATCTCCATGCTGTGCGAGAAGACCGGTGCCAACGTCAAGGAAGGTACACACACACCACCCTTGCACCACACCATAGCACACCACACCGATCTCATGTGTGTCTTATCTGTATCAGTTGCGCACGCCATCGGTTTGGACAGCCGCATCGGTCCCAAGTTCCTCAACGCATCCGTCGGCTTCGGAGGCTCGTGCTTCCAAAAGGCGAGAGACCACACACACACGCATTAGAGCGCCCAGACATGCCCCGTGCTTGTGTCATGCTGGTGCAGGACATTCTCAACTTGGTGTACCTGTGCGAGTCGTTCGGCCTGCCGCAGGTAAGGAGAACCACACGGCTGATCCGGTTCGCCTGCGCGAAGCATCGTGTACGTCTGATGTATCCTCAGGTGGCTGCGTACTGGCAGCAGGTGGTCGACATGAACGAAGTCCAGAAGCACAACTTCACCAGAAAAGTGGTGCGTGAAATGAGTACATCTAGCTAGGCGTGCAGAGCCATGGACTGTCGACCTCCTTTCTGGTGTGCAGATCGACGCCATGTTCAACACGGTCAACCGCAAGAAGATCGCCATATTCGGATTCGCCTTCAAGAAGGACACCGGCGACACGCGCGAGACACCCGCACTGTGAGACACACAAACAAGGCTGCCGCTCGTGTCTTGTCTTCACTCCCCCACGTGTCTGTCTACCTGGGTGTGTTTGCCTGCAGGACTGTGTGTTCGTTGCTGATGTCTGACGGTGCGATCCTGCACGTTTACGACCCCAAGGTGACCCGCGAGCAGGCGCTGCAGGAGTTCAGGGACCACAGGCTCGAATTCGACTTCGAAAAACAATTCTTCTGGGAGGTACGGATGACACAAACACCCAGCAACCACGCCTTGGCTGCAGCGACGTTTGTGTGGTATGATGTTATGTGCAGGAGGACGCCGAGTCGGCGGTGCAGGACTCGCACGCCATCCTCATCCTCACCGAGTGGGACGCGTAAGCCAACCGCACACATGGACACGCGCTCTTGCCCACACGTATTCGCGTGTGTGTGTCCGTGCGCGTGTTGGTTTGTCAGTTTCAAGGGTTACGACTACAGTTTGTTCCGCAAGCGGATGCGCAAGCCCGCATTCCTCTTCGACGGCAGGAACATACTCGACCACGACAAGTGGGCTGCCACCACACGGACCCACACATCAGCCATGGGCACATGTCGTCCCTGTGTGTTTTCATTGTCACACAGGTTGGCCGACATCGGTTTTGAGGTGCACTCGATCGGCAAGCCCCCCCTCAGGAGCAGGGCCCCCATCAACAACAGCCACTGACCACTCAGACCACACACACACACACACACAGACATACACACGACGGGGGGAGGGGTTCGTGAGTGTATATATGGGGATCTGCATGCCGTTGGGTTCTCAGTGCACTCATTGCGATGCGGTGCGATGCGGTTCGTGGGGGCTAGGACGTCGGAGAGAGGAAGGAAGAGAGAGACAGAGAGAGACAGAGAGAGAGGGAAGGCAGGCAGGCACGGATGGATGGCACGCACCCGTCTTCTGTTGTCCGGTCGACGCGTGTCTGTCCATCCAGTAGCGAGCCCTTGCCTCGTCTCTTCAACCGCGAGCAACGTCGATGCTTCTGTACAGTAGAAGAAGACAGGCAACGAAGCGAGCGAAGCTAGGGGAGGGAGAGGCAGTGAGGCGATGCTTGCTAGTGATGCGATGCGGCTGCTGCATTCTTGCTTTCATGCGAAAATGGATTCATTTATATATGTACGCTGGCTGGGAGTACGGCCGGACGCAGAACGCCCATGCACTGACCGACTGACATCAGTCGCTTGTAGTGACATCAGTCGCTTGTAGCTGCCTTGCCCCCGAGTGACTCGAGGCACCAATCCAATCCAATTAGGACACACGATAGATAAGGGCTGCGTAAGGGCTGCGTACACGTGCAATGCGTACACGGGGGGGCACTGAGTGGCTGGTTTGACGTGACGTGAGTGGATGGATGGATGGATGCCTGGAGGGGCGGGCGTGTGGGCGTGTGGGTGGTCTATGCATGCCTGTGTGTCGGCACGAGAAATGGTTGCTGAGTAGGTAGGTACCCGGGGGTGCATAACGGCATCTGCTGATCGGGGAGAGACAGACGAGGGATGGATTGAGTCTCGTGTGAGCTATGGCGTGAGGGGTCTCTTTTCTCTACCTCTGCTAACGCTTGCAGCCTCTGGGGAGCCTCTCAGTGGCTACACACGTTGCCGGCGGTGGAGAGAAGAATGCTCTCGTGGCCAAGCACAGTCGAAGAAGAGACAGACGATGCCGTCCATCCATCCTTTCTCCTCTGTATTTCTCATCATCAGCAACTATTTCTTATCATCAGCTCACCGCCCACAGCTGCATGTTACCATGTATCGTCCATCTACAGCCGTCACTCACCCGCGACACGCACCTTCTCTCTCACCCACTCACTCACTCACTCTGTCTGTCTGTCTGAGTGTGTGTGTGTGTGTGTGAGTACTGCCCCTCCCTATTTATCCATGTGTGTGTGTGTGTGTATGGCAAGCAAGTGCTCGCTAATCCGCTGATGCATGTGCGTAAGCCAAGCCGAGCCAAGCCATGTCTGTCTGTCTGTCTGTCTGTGTCTGTCGTGTGTACCCGGCCGTGCGTGTACGTGTACGTGGATATGTATGTATGTATATCTAAACATGTGTACGGTACGGTACGGTGTATGGTATGTATGGTGGTGTGTCGTGCGTGGTTGTGTCGTGTGAGTAGCACAGCAGCCTTGCCTTGCCTTGCCTTGTGTGCGTGGTGGCGCGACGCGTGCAGTGCGATGCGAGACATCGACAGACACTCCACGAGTATATGCAATGCAACATCTGTCCGAGTCAACATACATACGTTTGTACAAACGAGCGGTATGTATCCATCGGACCAAGTGAGTCAACTGCGCGTGACCCGCACGCCCCAAGGATACTTAGGATCTAGTGGGTCAGTCATTCTGTTCGTCTTGATATAGTTCCTCCTGGTCCCAGCCTGCACAGCACGCAGACGCACACACCTTCACAGCACAGCACAACACGACAAACGACAACCGCAAACCATCCATCGCTTAGCTTACCGAGGCCCCCTGTATGTCATGCGCTTCACACAACAATGACAACAATGACATCCATTACAGACACAACCACGGGGAAGGCGCTTTCAGGCCTCACTCACTTTGGTGCGGGTCTGCTGGTGCGGTCCCCCGTCTCTTAGGTGGGCCATACACGTTGATATCGAGTGGCCCGATCTTTCTGGCGGGCAGCGCCCCCAGGATGTCGTGGGTCAGCAGCGCATACTGCGGCTGGCCGTTGTCCCACGCCCTCGGTCTTGGACGGGACTTCTCCACCTCATCACTGGAGGGATCCAGGGGGGAGACATCCAACCTTGCATTCGGAGGCTGACACATGCGTGCTTTGTCTTACAGTGTTGGTCGTTGAGTCTCCAGGAATATCTGCATGCAACCAAAAGGCATCAATCGATGGCAAAGGGCCTTGATTCGGTCAGATGATTCTGTGTGTGGAGACATACGGACCCTCAGTCTCCTCTCTTCGGGATCGGTGATATCCTTTGTGAGCAGCTTGTAGTCGAGCCGCTCTTTCTGGTTGGCCGACAGGTACTTGAAGTTGCTGCGCGTACGCAAGAAGTCCGGCCGAGCCCCCTGCCAAGACAGGATCACACACTACCACCTGTGTCGCATGGCGTGTCTCTGTACTTCTCTCTCACATCGATGTCTTGCACGTCGAGGGCCGAGCGGACCGGCTCACTGCATATACAGAAAAGAAGACGTAAGAAGACACGAATGCCCTTACGGTCGTCTTGTTAGTTACCGGTGCCAACGCTTCTCCGTTGGCCAAGTCCTCTCTAAAGTTAACACAGCAGCCAACAGGTGGTGTCTCCAAGATGATTTAATGTCATGCCATGCAACGTACCGATATCTGCACAATTGATGCTGTCTGCCGGCAGCATTCACACAGGTGAGAATAAGTGAAAGGACAGAGGAGAATGAATGTTTGTTGGCTCTCTGCACTGACCACGGATGAATCGCGGAGGCTCAGGGGCCCTGAGGACGGTCGACGGCAACGTGTAATCAGGAACCAGAGGGTTTGTAATCCTACCAGTCTTCATTTAAATCACATGGCGACGACGACACACAACAAGCGGATGTATGGGTAGCCAATTTGCAACACAGCCCTCCTTTCTGACCTTGAATCCTCTTCTGGCAGGTCTCGCATAGTCGATGTCATGCGTCGTCAGTGCAAGGTCAAACGGCCTGCCCTTCAGCCCCACATCCGATGCCAGAGAGAGCCGAGGCATCGCACCGTCGATGTCGCTGGTTTGATGACCGTCTCGCTTGGATGTGAAGCGCTGCCATCTCAGCTGCGGTGAGGTCTTCTCGATGTCGGTTGTGCGCAGGCTGGAGCTGTCCGGCTTGAAGAACCGGCTGCTCCGCGCTGCAAAGAAACAAACAGCTGCACAAGGGTGGTAACACACGCGTGCGCCTTCCTTACGTGGCTCTTTGGGGATGACACTGAGGGACATTAAGTCCCGTCGGGTGGGGAATGGAGCATCGCTGGTGGTCTGCACAGTGAAACGCCAAGAAGTAATGCATGTGCGCTTGTACCAGCAGCGCTAGCCCATTGCAGTCTTCACCTGCATCGTTTTAGCCGTCAAAACGGAAGGACTGCGGCCCAAGGTGCATGCGCGAGCTCGCCCCCACGCCCCCCGTTGCATGCAAGATGTCCACGAAGCTGCGGACGCTGAAGAAGGTCCGGGCCAGCCTGCTGAGCCCTCAGGCGCCCGGGGAACGGTCCAAATCCGCCGCAGCAGCGGCTGTCGACAGTCGAACCTTGCTGACGCAGAGTAGTTCCGGCCGCAGGGACCGCAGGATAACAACAGCCCTCGCTGCCGCTGCAGAGGCCCGAGCATCTGTCGATGCAATCATCGAGTATGCGAGAATTCTTGGACTGGACCCTGTGACAGAACAGGTACCGGCAGAAACACACAAACTATCTCTCCCAAACATTACACATGCGTCTGCCTGCCTGGTCACCACACTGTCAGGCATTCCTCTTCCTTGCCGAAGGTGTGTGAAGACGTCCGCCGATAAGCGCAAGCCATCATTTTGCATGTTCATGTGTGTGTCTCAGATGTCCTTCATGCGGCTCTGCCGACTGGCTGCAAACGGCTCGAGGACAAGGACTCAGGCCGGATATACTTTTACGACCAGAACACGCAAGAGACGACCTGGGAGCCGCCTCTCCATGAAGTGGGGAGGAGAGCCGTTGCCCATCTGCGGCTGGCGCTGGCCGATCGGTCGTTTTCTCGCGTAGACAAAGACCTTGACGAGACAGAGAAGGGCATACAGAAGGAGCTGGACAACTGGCTGCAGGCGAGAGATAGATGGACTGCACGTCTCACCCTCAGTTGTCTTATCTTTACCACCAGGTGTATGATGCCGATGCAAAGCCCTATTTTCTCCACACACAGACCAAAGGCGCTTCTTACGATGACCCACGCAATCGGATGTTTTCGGCTCTCTTTATGCAAGGTGTGTAGGTACAAACTTCGATCAACAAGCCTCCCGACGCTGTGTCTCCTGTGTTCGTTCAGTCAAGCTGGTGCAGAAGATGAAAGCAAAGCTGCCGACACTTGTCAACGCACCCCCACCGCCGGATCCAAGTCAGCACCGACGAGAGACGTGATGCGAGCCCGCTTGGTCTGCAATCTGCTGTTGTGGGACTCCACAATAGGCGTGGCTAATGGTGCAGCTACAAGGATTCAGTCTTACTGGCGCATGGTGATGGGCAAGAAGGAGCGGAGGCGGAGACATTCAATGCAGCGAAAGGGATCCCTTAGGGCTGACAGGATAAGCAGGTGAAGCCAAGAGCCAGCTTGCTTTGTGTCTCCCCCCACATGCTTCTCTGTTTTGCAGGGACGGCACTGTGCACTTGTCTGTGGTCGATGGCGATGTGGTCTTAAGCCTTACAGAGTGAGGAGCGCACCTCATGCCAGTATATTTCTGCAAGTATCATTTGTTCGCTGCGCTGACAGTGATTGCCGTCGGCAGAAGGCAGCGACGCGTATTCAGGCAAGATTCAGGGGCCACAAGGCGAGGTCGCAGCACAGAAACATCGTTACTGACCGAACGTGAGCCAGCATCCTACCAAACGCGTCTGAGTAACGGCCATTCACGCGAACTTTCGTCTTTGTCTCACGCGCGGATCTAGCCGGCGTGACTCCGCGACCAAGATCCAGGCAATGATGCGATCGAGATTTGCAAGGAGAAGCGTAACCTTACAAAAGTATCTGATGTCGAGCCAAATGTTGGTTCTCTGTGATGCAGGTGGAAGCCATCAGACAAGAGCGGGGTGAGAGCAAGGAGCAGGATGTGGCAAGGAAGGCACGAGAGCGTCGACAGATTGTGGGGATGATACAGAACGCCGTCAAGACAATCGCAGGGAGGAAGCTGCTCGATGCCATCGCCGCTCAACAGGGACTAGAGTAAAACCCAGAAGAAGAGGCAAGCAAGCTGTTTTCACTTTTTCCGCACTGAACTGTCTTTCAGTGCTGATGCGAGAATTCGTGGCCCGACGCTGCCCATCTTCAGGCGCACTATGCCGCCCTCCCTGCTCAAAGCCAACGCTGAGCTGCACAAACAGCTAGGGGCTGCACTGCAGAAGAATTTTGATCTATCTGCGACCCTGATCCAATCGGGTTACCGGGGGCACATTCAGCGTGTCGCTGTTGCCCAGCTGAGACACGAGCGAGAGCTGCTGAAATATCAGAACCTGAGTGCAGGTCAGCGCGAAGCGCAGGACAAGAAGACAGATCGGCACGAAACGAAGTGATACACTCACTTGCGTTCATGCACAGCTGCCACCCGCATCCAATCTCCTTTCCGAGGACTGCTTGCTCGGCGTATGAATGAGCACTAGGTGCGACCTCCGAACCGGTCCATTGTGTATGTATTGTATGTGTTTCAGAGCGTGTGCGTCGGCTGAAAGAGAGACAGCTCGAGCCGCTGGACGTGTCGATATCTGTGGAGCCAAACGGCCTTGAGCTGCACCTCTCGCCCAACCCACAATTCAACCAAGCAGCATACCTCGAGACATTCGCAAGCAGGTACGCCGGACGTTGGATAAACAAGTGCATCTGTGTCTGTGAATGGTTGGCGTGTTTGCCATTTGCAGGGAGTTCATGCCTCAAGTGGTGCAGGCGATGCAGGACCAGGTGCTGTCGCTGTCATCGCGCCACGTGCAGAATCGACTGCCATCCAAAGAAGAGACGAAGGAGGAACTTGCTGGTGAGGCCGTTACCAACGGAGAACAACGGCTTGCTGCACCGGCAGCGAGGCGCGCTGACGCACCTGTATATGCGTCAGTCCGAGAAGCGGACGGCAGCGCTGCCCAGGAGCTCGTCACTAGCGGCTTGGCGAAGACAGTCGTCGAGGGCCTTGTCAGCGCAGGACTCCAGAATCTGACCACCCAGCGGCAACATAGTCCCACCCAGCCCCCGACTGTTGAAATGCTCAAAGGAGAGACAGCTGACTTACCGGCTGGGGATGAGCAGCCACCTTCTGCTGGCCCGGCCCCGGCAAGGCAAGAGCCGGTGAAAATGCGAAAGACCATCACACTGGACTACGAGCTTGACAACGAATCGGCGTTACAGAGAATGGAGCCATCCCAGGTGGTGCACGAAGAGCGACCCGCGGCAGAGAAACCATTCGACATCGTAGCGTGCGAGTCGCTCGAAAGCCAGGCAACGGCCAACGACGATGACAGAGAAGGCATTGTGATCGAGCCCCCGGAGACACAAGACGACAAGCCGGACGCTCATGTCTCACGGAGCATTGATGAGCCACGAGCTGCTACTTCTTATGCCGAGTGGGCCCTCAGTGATGCCCGCCGTGTCTTCACAGCATCCACCCGCAGCCAGCCGGTCCGCGCCAGCGAGGAAAGGCCTACAGTCAAGCTCGCTCCCAACAGGAAGTCCTACGCTGGCAAGCTCAAGGACGGTCGCTTCACACGCAACCCCGACATCGATAGCCTCACGGACGCACAGAGAGACCAGCTTATGAAGGACCTGGAAGCACGGAGGAGGAAAGCCAAAGAGGAGGTCGCAAAGATGAGGGAGCGCAGCCAGGCAAAGCAGCGTGAAGCCGAAGAGAAGAAGCGCAAAAGAGAGGAGGCGATGAAGAGCGAGGCGGCCAAGGAGGCAGAGGAGATCGCCCATCAAAGAGATGCCGCCTTCAAGCAGTGGCTGTCCGACAAAAGGAAAGTTGCCAAAGAGGAGAAGAAGAAACAGTCGGCGGAGATGGAAGACTACTCGAAGAAGCTCCTACTCAAGGTCAAGACAAGAGCTCTCTCCAGAATTGCATCTCATGTCTTGTCTTGTCTCTGTGTCTGTCAGCAAGAGAGAGATGCTGAAGCGGCAAAGCGCTTGCGCGAAGAGCGAATGCGACGGCTGGAAATTGCCGAACAGAAGAGGAAACAGTGGGAACTCGCTGTCGCCCAAGCCGCTCATCAGTTCGACGTTCCGCCACGGGCGAGAGACACAATGTTCCGGCGGTCCTTCCAGGGGCCAGTGAGGAGGAACGTCTTCATCGAGCACCACTACACGACATTCGTCTCAGACGACGATGAGGACAATGAAGAGGAGGAAGCTCAGCAGGGAGGCAACGGCGAGTCGACTTATGTGCCTGCCGATCCTGACATACCAATCAGGAATGCGTCGAGTGCACAGCCGGGGTATGCGTCACTTTCGGGCCTTGTTCCACTGGGCAAGCCTGGAGGGGCATCGTTTGCCCGTTCTTGTGCTGTTTATGGATCGTGCAAGTAACGAGTGCGTACAGGACACTTCATGACATTCATGTACGCGCAGACATGCAGAAAAGAGTCCACTCACGGCTCTGACCTGGATCATTTACTTGCGGAGGTCAATGTGGTGCATTGTATCATACATCTTGCGAGAGGAGTCCGCAGTAGGCAGCCCAGCCGGAGGGAGCTCGGCCGGGTCCTGACATACATAATCATCGGCAGACAGGGAGGGACATGTCCGATTGTCAACACGAAAACTAGCCTCTCTCCGCATACCATCTTCTTTGTCCTTTTCCTGGGCGGCGGCATGCTCTCGCTCCTCCTGCGGGACCCCTCGGTCTCCTCCTCTTCGGCTGCACTCTCAGCTTGCAACGTCCGGATGGACTTCCCGGCCAGTTCAGGGGGCTCCTCCCACCGTTTTCTAAAGATGACATTGCTCAGATACGTCTGAGGGAAGGGCTGTCTCTGCGGTGAAACGGGCTGAGATGCTCGTGACGGGGGCACGTCCGTTTGGACACCCCGGAGGTAGCCAGAGCGGATGAGCTCCTTTTAACGAATGAGACAAAGGAGAAAGGGAAGCTCTTGAGAGACACCCATCGTTGAATGCGCCTGGGCTTCTGTTACCTGGATTCTTGTGTCGGCGATAATGCCCTGTGCCATGTCGCGTAGCCCCCATGGGCTCCTCTTCCTCAGAGGTCTGCCCCCGAAGAGCTCAAACGCATCCGTCCGAGACAGGCCGTCATATCGAGGGAAGGATGGAACTGAAGACAGAACAACGACCGTGACAGGGCTGGATCGATCTGCATCAACACGTCACTTACTTTTCGTTGGGTCCTCTCGCCCCGGTGCGGCTTCAGCTTCAGGTGGCGGAACCGACTGGCTCACGCGAGGTGCAGGCCTACAGGAGGCGAAGAAGGGGACATGAGACATGGACATGTGATGAACATTGGTTGGATCCTACTGTGGAGCCGGTGCAGTGGCCGGTCGATCGGCCTGCCCATTGTAATACTCAGCCACTCTGTCTGCAACGGACATCCTCTCAGGCACACCCACAGCCCCTTCCGCTTCATTCCTTTTCTGCGGTGTAGACCAGTCTTCTTCTGAGGCCTCTTCAGCAGCCAGGACACCCACATCCTGTGGAGGTGGTCGTGCTGGCTGCTGTGACGGCAATGTCACAGCCATGGGCATGACTATGCTCGCCGGTGGCCTGACGGGCCGCTCGGCTGCCTTGTCAGCCTCTTGCTGGAAAAACATAGCTTGTCTCGCACGTGCAGATAAGGGAATGGTATAGTCCCCAGCCTCTATATCAGTGGGCAGATCACTCACGGCTGTTAATGTCAGGGGGAAGGATCCCGGCGGGGCCTTGAAGACAAACAAACGAGACACATGTCGGTTCAACTACAATCCTACAATCTTCTGTCTGTATCACCTCTCACCTGATCAACCAATGGTTCCTTGTAATATTTGCTCTCGACGTACTTCCGAGCTGATGCAGAGAGGGACAAATGGAAGGAAGCTTGACACTATCGAGAGTCGAAGGCGCGTGTTGACGCATACGTATCGGTCTGAGTCGGAGCAGGTACGGCTCCAGTATCTGCTGGGTCGTGGCATTCTTGTGACGAAACACCCGCCGCAGACTGTGCCACAGATACAGCTTACACGTGCATTGCTCACATGAGATGTGGGAGCAGCGTACGGTCTCTGAGGTGGTGCAGGGTCCACCCAAAGGGAATCAGCGCGAAGATGGTCAGCAACAGTGTCAACCAGGTTCCTCGACGAAGGAAATGGCCTCCTGCAAAGAGCACCAGAATGCATGAGGGTTGCCGTCTCCCTGTGGCTGTTTGCTCACCTGAGCAGGCGGATCTCAGGGGGCTCAGCTGTGCTGCAGCAACCACACGCAAACATGCGGGGACAGCGGGGAACGCTGTTTGCAATGCCGCGCCCCTCCTCAACTCACCCCTGGATGAGCTGACGTAGCTCATTTGACTGGACGAGCTTTCTTGACCGAATTAGCCCCAGATCATCCCTCACTGCACACTCGAGACTTGTCCGTCGACGCAGCAGCTGCCCGGGGCCGCCCTTGTACTGCTGCTGGAGCAAAGGCCTGATCTCTGGGCGTGGATAGTGGCGCGAGGCTCGAGGAGGGGCAGAGGTGACTGCATTCCTGGCCGCGTCAGCCAAACTGCCTCCTTCGATGGGACTCATGGTGTCTGAGACGCGGTCGCCCCCAATTGGCCCACTGGCACAGCGATCCTGCATGTAGCGCGCAACAGAGAGAGCAGAGATGGCGGCGACGGCAGAATCGGGTGATTTCTTCATCACACAGGCGTTTAAGGTTGACTTCAAGGAGGAGTACAAACCCATCGACAATGAAAGAATCTCAAACATGCGGGCCATCCTCGCACAGGTGGCACCGTGATGACACAGGGACAAGAAGCAGATCTTAAGCGTCCCTGTTGTATCATCGGTGTTGGCTGTGTCGTGTCGGTGCAGATGCGAGGGGAGCGGCAGACGACCTTGTTGCTCAAGAAGGAACGGCAGTGCTTTGAGGTGGCTTTGCAGCTCGACCAGACAAGGGGCGACGTTGCTAAGCGCGTCAGTCAGCGGATAAGAAGTCGGCCGTCGTGTGCGTCCATGACTCTGTGCATCCGTTTGCACTGACTGCGTTTGCAGCTGGAGAGCTGCGACGAGAAAATGTCCGCGTTCGAGAAGCGCCAAGAAGATTTGCGTCGGGTTGTCATGGACAATGTGGACTTCATTCGTGAGACCGACAAGAAGATAGAGTACGCGGAGAAGCGCATCAAGGAGGAAGAGGACGAGATTGCAGAGACGGAGAAGCAGACTCAGGCGCTGGAGAAGGAACTCGACATGTTCAAGTGGGTGAGGGAGGGAAGCCGGGGGCATCCATCGTGCGGAAACACCCTCTCACCCTCATCCATCAGGCAGATGCGTGAGGTCAATCGCGGCGAGGTTGACGGCGTCAACCACTACCAGCACTACCTCGAGTCCGTCGCGACAAGTCAGGCATGAGCACTGCAAGATGAGGAATCCGATAACGGCAGTACTGTCTCTGTCTGTCTGCAGCGTACGCAAGTGAGTTTGAGGGTGAGGTCGGCAATCTCATGCGCCGCTTCCAGACGCTGAGGGAGAGCAATGCGGAGCTGGAGGCGCAAGTTGTCAACTCGACGCAGACACTAGAGGCGCAGAGGTAGGTTTTATCGTGTTTGCATGACGAGGGAGACATCATTGTCTATCTCTGTGACAACGCCGGACTGCAGGCAAAAGGTGGCCACCTTCATCGAGAAGACGCAGAATGATCTGGTGAGGCTCACATCAGAGCTGTCCGAGAAGCAGCTGCAGCTCGACAAGATGCTTGCCATGATCTCGTCGCTGGAGGAGAAAGTCAATAGGTACGCCCTCTGTCTGTGTGGCGTGTGGCCAAAATAGCACAACACAGCCAGGGCTTCTTGTGTGTACTGGATGCAGTGAGACGGGGGAGACGACCTACAAGGACTCCCTGATATCGTCTTTTCAGATGGCCATCAGCTCCCTGTTCGCACGGCTTGTGCAGAAGTCGCCTCATGCTAACACCAAGCAGAATAGGCGGCTGATGCAGTCCACCCAGATGAAGTACGGCCGGCACACCGAGGAGATGCTCAAGCTCATTCAGGAGAGGGCCACCGACATGCGATGGGTCATCTCGACATTCCACCGGGAGCATAACAAAAGTGAGAAGCACACATGCAGTGTTCAATCAACCAGACACGTGGACACCCCTTCCTTGTTCCTCGCAGAGGCGGCGCGTGCAAAGGAGCCAGTCCACCACCCTGTGTATTACGATGAGGACGAGGAGACACACAAAGACGTCATCGAGTTCTACAGACCCCAACGTGCGGCACCGGAGCGTGGCTCGGCATCCGGCGCCTCGTCCAATGAGCTCGAATCGAGATTATCTCGAGACAGGATGGTGACCCCTTCTGAGTCCCAAGCGCCCATCGCAGAGGACGTCAGCCAGCCACAACCATCACACCTGGCCCCCCCGCCGCCCTTCAAGCGCCACCGAGTCCGTTTGAAGAGTAGGTCTGTCGTTGAGCATCGAGAGAAGGCGACACCATCGGTGTATGCCCGACCGAGAGCGGTCAGCACCACAGCCCCGCGGAAGCCGTCGCGTGTGTCGCCCAAGGGAGCGTCCAAGGCAGCTGTGCTTTCGCCTAAGGTGGCAGACGAGCCAGCTCCTGCTGACGTGCAGCGGTCTGCCAGCCCAACGTCAGAAGGTACGTACGTAAGACACCTCCAAGGAGGAGGCAACACGTCCAATCGTACGCCCCTACCGCTTTCAGACGGTGAGACGTCTCCGCCTGCCCCTCGCCCTTCACAGCCCATCGTTGCTCGCGGCCGGCACCGACAGAGCATCACCAAGCGGCAATTTAATGAGCTGTTGGGGCTGGGGGAAAGCTTCGAGCCTCCTGAACTCGTCCCTGAGCCCTTGCCCAAGTTCGCCTCTCTTCTCTCTGCTAATTCAGGCAAATGAGGGTGCTTTGCTTGCGAGTGATGCAAGGGGAGGGTGAGAGCTGTGATGCCCATACAGAGCTGCAGAGCCCCCAAAGCTTTGGGTTGTTGTTGTGTGTACCTTTTCATTGTTCATGTCATGTGTCTGTCGCTGCGTGCATTTGTCCAAGTAGAATGTCTGTCTGTGCTCATCACGTCTCTCATCTCACCGCGCTTGTCTGTCTTTCCCATTCCCCGTATGCCCCTCCCCCTCTCCACCCCGACACCTTGCATAAAAGCTTAAGCGGGACGGCCGCATCCGGACGGACACACGGGCGGCAGAAAAGCCGATCACATTCATCCATCGCGCAGCTGACGCTCGCTGAGACCTTCACATGCAATTGCTTGCGCTGGCTCATGTCTGACTGACCCTCTCTGCCGTCTGTCTGTTCCTTCCTTCAAATAAAAGCGTCACGCCTCGTCCGTCATAGAGCAAGGCAGCCACGTATTAGAAAGCCGACAGCCCCAGTGACCGACCCATTACACAGACAGACAGACAGACACGGACATACACACGATACACAGAGATGAGGCGACAGGATACCTGCTAAAGGATGCACCACCAACATGACATGAACTACCTGACTTACTGCGGTGCGTGCACATACTACATATATACGGCACGCACAAACACTTCAGCAGCCAGCCGTCGTCAAATCAGCTCAGCCAGCCACAACAAACAGTCATGAGTGAATGGATGAATGAGAACCTGCGGGTTGACCTGTCTATCATCTCTCCCCTCTCCAGGTAAACACATACCTTAGTAGTACGGATCCCTCTCTCTGTCGTCCTTGTACCTGTCGCCCCCATCCCTCCCATCCCTGCCCACCACCTTGCCCGAGTTCTTGCCGTTGTTGGGGTGCATGTTGCGCACGCTGCTCTTCTTCTGGCAGCACGACGTGTACCCGCCGTGGTAGCCGCTGCCTCGGCAGTCCTTCTCCCACACGTACCCGGCGCAGTGGTAGTCATTGATGCACTCCTCCATGCAGGCGCTCTCCGACATGCCCAGCTGCATGCCGTGGCGGTCTTGGCCGTTGATCTCATAGCCGGGGTGGGGCTCGATGCAGGCCATGCCGTCCTCGGAGGACCAGGCCAGAGCTGCCATGACACCCAGATGGTTGGCCACCTCCTGGGGGTGCAGATGCTTCAGCCAGCAGCAGCCCTGACGTGACGAACACACACAGGTATGCCGACATCCATCGTGCGGTGCGAGGCAGCTGTGTTGGTTCGAGCGGCTTTTGTGTTGACGTACGAATGTGTGTCCGCCATGTCCGCATCGGTGCAGCCATGCGTATCCGCCGCAGTCGTGTCGGTCGAGGCACGCCTTGCCGCACTGCCCCTCCGAGTGGTCGGGCAGGAAGTGCAGGTCGTCACCCGGGTTGAGGTCGTGGTAAGGCTTGGGCACCAAACAATCCTTCTCCTCTGCATATTATAAGCACAACACAGCCAGCCACACAATTCCGAGTGCTCGACCCCAGCCTGCTGCTGTGCCGTGTCATGTCATGCGTGGTTCCCTACGTGGGTTGGTGACATCGCTGCCGCACTTGACCTGCACGTGGTAGTTGCCCTCGGCCATGCCAAAGCCGCCCACGTACAAGAAGTAGGTACCGGGCGCCAGGTTGAGGGTCATGGCCGAGCAGAAGGTACCCATGCCGCACTCAGAGTCAGCAGGCGAGTAGGGCGCGTCATCGTTGTAGAACAGACTAAGGGAGAAGACAGACAGAGATGGAACAATGCCCTGGCTGATCCCCCTCTCCCCCTTGCTTACCATTTGTCTCTTCCCTGGTCCGGATGGCATCCCTTGGTGACTGCTACGATGGTGTCGTACCTGGTGCCCTTGGACACCGTGGAGACCTCCACGGGAATCTGGCGGTGACGACGGTAGTGGGGCTGGATCTCCAGCTCGTACACCGCCTGCTTCGTGTACGGGCCGAACGAACCGCAGTTCTGCAGGTAACCTTCGACGCTCTGGAACCCACGAACAAACAGAACAGAGAGGAGAGTCAGAGTCATGGTGCAGGGCATGCATTTGTGTCTTGCCCGCCTCACCTGCAGAATGGTGTTGTCGCTGATTTTCGACCCACACTGCAGAGTGCCTTTGAAAGCCCCCGTCTTTGCCAGCTTGGGGCGGCACCCCTTCGGCAGGTCCTTGCAGCAGTTGCCCTTCCTGCCGTCCCCCTTGTCGGGCATCTTGGTGGGCACGCAGGGCGGGGCCTTCATCTTGTAGCCATCGATGCACGGCTTGTTGCGCTCGAGGATGGCCTGGGGACAGCAGCCATAGTAGCCACCCGGGCGGTCTTCGCAGTGGTAGCCGCCGCACTGGCCGCAGTACTCTGAGCAGCAGGCCGTCCCCGCATGGTTGATTCTGCCGCCGACGACGTCGCAGATCTCCCCCTCGTCCATGTAATGATTGGGGTCTGAGCACGGAGGGAGGAAACAGAGGATACGGGAGGGAGCATGGGGTTCACGTTGCCATCTCGCGTGGCGTACCGATGAGGCTTTTCGCGTATTCGTCGGTCGGGGTGTAGCCCCAGGAGAAGGCGGCGCTCGAGCCGCCGCCCGGCAGGGCGGTGTATTTCCTGTCCCCCACCATGCTCATCGCGTCAGACGAGTAGAATGAGCACTTGGGGAGCTTGTGCTTCGCCAGCGCCACCTCTGAGTAGGAGCCAACCACCCCACCGCTGCCATTCTTGCCGTTCTTGTCGATCTTGCTCGGCGGCACATCAGTGTAGTCGGCGAGGCACATGCGGCAGCAATGTTGCTGGCAAGACCGAAAGACAGACAGACAGACAGACGTGACGTGTGGTCTGTCTGTTGCATGAGATGAGGCCTGGCTGGCACTCGTGAGTGCCTGTACGTACCGCAGATCCAAACATGTTGCAGCCATCGGTGTCTGGGGCGCAGCTCTCGTCGTAGATGAAGCGGTTGTTCTCGCAGAACGCCTTGGATGTGCTGCCGCAGTAGTTCTCGTCTGAACCACCACCCTCTGACAACAAAGCACACAGACAGATGGGAGGGGCACGAGTGAGTACTGTACGCCCTTGCATCGTCCTGAGCAGCAGTTCTGCATCGTACTCTTCGACTTCTTATTGGCGAGACTTCCAGAGATCAGCAGAGCCAAGATCAGGGGAGCCGTCTTCATGGTGGTGGTGGCAAGCGTCATCTCTCAGCAGCCCCAGCAATCAGGCGCTGTAGCTGACGTACGCGATCCACCAACGGCAGGCCCGGGGCCAGGCGCCCCCAACCTCTCCCTTCCCTCCGCTCCTTAATTTGATTCCAGTAGTCTGTAGCAGCACTCTTCGAGCACGAGCAAAGGAGATGGCTCCCAAGGCGAAAGTGGCGAGCCCCAAGGGGAGGGCGAAGGCCAAGCCTGGAGGAGCCAAGGGCGCGGAGGCCAAAGGAGCACCCACACTGAAGATTGAGAGAGGGGCAAGCGGCACCCTGCAGCGAAAGACCATCGCAGCAGGCGAGAGACCAATGCTCGACCGCACCGGGACCGACACTGAGGCGCCGGTGCCCGAGCGCGTTCGCATCGAGCAGCGGCGCCGCAGTGTGAGCAAGGATGAGTCCATCAGGGTCACTGTGCGGATGAGGCCCCTCTTCTCCAAAGAGGTGTGGTGTGAAGGCGAAAGGCATGCACACAAAAGATGGGGAAGTGGAATCGGATGTGCGTTGCCTGCCCGTGCGTGTGGCATCGTTTCAGACGAGCAAGGGTCACCAACAGCTGTGGAAGATCGAGAACGAGAAGACCGTCACGTCTGACCCCTCCATGGTCATCGAGCCAGAGATTCTCCCCGCGGGCCCACTCAAGACAAACGCCTTCTCGTTCGACAACTGTCTCGACGGAACTGGTAAGACAGCTGCCGCGTCTCTTCACATCTATCTCTTCTACGTGCTCTTTTCCAGTGACCAATGACGAAATGTACGAATGCATGGCGAAGGATGTCGTGTTGGATGCCATCGAAGGCATCAATGGGTGCGTCCTGAGCTATGGGCAGACGGGCAGCGGCAAGACCTTCAGCACCATGGGTACAATGGACCAGCCGGGCATCATTCCCCAGGCGCTCGACGACATTTTCTTCCGCATCGCAAACTCAGAGGACGAGACGACGGTAAAACAAACGAGCCATTCGCCATTCCCAGTACGATAGGGCGTACAACTTCATCTCATTTGCAGGAGTACTTGGTTCGGTGTGCCTACGTTGAGATCTACATGGAGGTGAGAAAGCAAAAAGACACGGGAGGGAGATATGCTATGCAGGTTTCTTTCTTTGTTCTGTCAGCGCGTCAACGATTTGTTCCAGGACGGTCCCGATGGCGAGAACTCGCCGATGGAGAATCTGCAGGTGAAGGAGGATCCAGGCAAGGGATTCTATGTGGTCGGTTTGGCGGAGAAGATCGTTGGGAACGCTGACGACGTGCTGGAGCTGCTCAGGAGGGCAGAGAAGAAGAGGAGGTTCGCGGTAAGCAAGCCAAGCCCTCTGTCTTTCTTCCCACTCACTCAATCAAAAGCGGCTACAAACCCTGTCTGTCTCGGCTTTGAATGAATGCAGCGCACTAACTTCAACGACGTCTCGTCACGGTCAGTGCAAGTGGAGTGCTCAAGAGACTGTGCAGTGAGTGCATGTGTCTGTTTGAATGTATGGATGCCCGTACGAGTCTGTCTGTGCGTACATGTATGTCTCCAGTTCGCACGTGGTGTTCATCATGATCATCGAGACGAGCAGCGAGGTGGGTGCGGGTGCCGAGAAGAGCACAATCACCAAGGCTGGCCGCCTCAATCTGGTCGACCTAGCTGGCAACGAGAAGGTCTCCCAGGCAGCGGCCGGCACTGGCGGGGCGCAAGAAAAGGTACCTACACGAGACTCTTGTGACGGACGCTTGTCCCTGGGTGCTTAGAGACACTCACTTATGGTCGTGTGAGTTCAGAAAACTATGGACGAGGGCAAGCGGATCAACCAGTCGCTATTTTTCCTGAGGTAGGCGCGGTGCCGAGTCCCAGACATGCTGGCTCAGTCAATTGATTGTCCCGTGTGCGGTGCGTGGACTCGCAGTGAGGTGATTGGCAAATTGTCTGCACGTGCTGAGATCATACAGAAGAAGGGGTCGGCTAAGGCTGCCCAGCGGGAGCTGGAGTCCCTCTATGTGCCGTACCGCGACTCAAAGCTCACCAGGCTGCTACAGGTAGGTAGAGGATATGGCCCACCACCCATGTGCCTGGATGCAGCTACATGCGGTGATGCCATGCCTGTGGTCAGAATTCGCTGGGCGGCAACTCGCGCTGTTCGCTTCTCATTGCCGTCACGCCCAGCCACATGTACCAAGAGGAGACGCTCTCCTCTCTGCGGTCAGTAATGCAATGCACCCATCTATCAGGACTCCATGTCCTTCCACATGAATGTATTGGCTGGCCCTGTGTGTTGTGCTGTGTGTGTATGGGGCAGTTTTGCGGCCAAGGCCAAGAAGATCACGGTCGAAGTTCAGACCAATTTTGTGTCTCCCGAGCAGTCGGTCATCGCCCAGCAGAAGGAGACCATCCGCAGGCTCGAGGAGCAACTACAAAGGCTGCAAGAGGTAGGCACCGCACCCGGTCAGTACCCGTGACCGCTTGATCGGTGTGCTGTGTGTTGCGCCATGTCAGGGTGGCGGCGTTCCGCAGGCCCCTGCGGGCAGCCTCGTAGCCCCGCCACCGCCGAGCTCCGAAGAAGTGGACCAGCTCAAGGTGCTCATGTCACTGACTGAGTGGATTGGTGGGCAATCTATCTTCTGTCTTGGCGTGTGTCTCGCTCACACAGGAGGAGATGAAGAGCAAGCTTGATCGCTTGACTAATCTCATCCTGAAGCAGGATGTGACATCACCCAAGGACAGCGCGTCAAAAACCATGCCATCCGCCAAAATGCGACGGTAATTAAGCACATCCATTCGATCGGAGATGGTGAAAGTCAGCGACGTGTTCTGCATGTCTCTCTCTGCTGGATTGGATCAGCATGACGATGGCGGGCCCGCAGGGCGGTGGCAGGGGTGGCTTCGCGGGCTTTGCCCCCGGGCTGCGCGGGTCTTTCTTGCAGGAGCTCATCAAGAGGCCCGCACCTGCAAAGAAGAAGAAGGAGGAAGAAGAGGAAGAGGAATCGGTGCGGCACCAAGGTGCACGCTCTATTGAATACACACGCATATGGTGGTGTGCAGGAGGAGGAGGAGGAGCAGTCTGACGAGGAGGTCGAGGAGATGGCGTCGGTCACGGGATTCGACATCGACGAAATGCTCGAAAAGATTGACTTCGCCAACCTCGACGAACAAAAGAAGATCGAGAAAATCAAAAAGTCAGTCAGCGAAAAGATACGTACCAACACGGTCACATGTATGTGTCTTCTCGGCCTGTGCTTGTGTCTGTCTCCAGCCTGATCATGGACAAGGCCGAGGAGGCCAAGAGAGCCAACACGGAGGCCCGCCGTCTGTCTGCCAAGGTGAAGAAGCTGCGCAAGATCTCCGACAAGCAGAAGAAGAAAGAGAAGCGCGCCACTGTGGTCGTCGGGGAGCTGCCCACACCCTCTGCGGCGAGAAAAGGGGAGCTTGGTGCCGAGATCAAGGAGAGAAAAAAGACCGTCGGGTTCGGTATCGGTATGGCCCCGGCTGCGGAGCCCACCACACCCACCACACCGAAGAAAACTGCATCCCTGGAGAAACTCGCACAGAAGGCCGTGGCCAATGTCGTCAAGTCAGTGGGAGGGAGGGAGAACAGACAGACAGACAGACAGACAGAGACAGACAGACAGAGCAAGGGGCTGCATTCCGGCTCACGCACAACTGTTCCTTTCTCTTTTCGTTGCCCGCCCACATGTGTCTGTCAGGAATTCCCTCCTGGGTCTTGCAGAGAACAAGACCATCCCAGCGTCTGAGCAGTCCGAGTACCGCCTGGCCGTCCAGCACATGATGCTCGGCACCGCTCCGTCCACGCCAGCGGCGGGCGCGAGGGCGAGGCTCAGCGACGAGAAGGGCGCGGGCCGGCGTGTCTCGCACAGGCATGTGGACGTCGGAGAGGGGGAACCCAAAGGCGTCACTAGCACTGTCAGGTCAGCAGCTCCACGCTAATGTCTATGTTGACCTGGGACCGTCTGTGTGATCAGGGTTGCGTTGAATTGCCTGGCCGAGCGGCCCGAGATCCCCGAGCCTGAGAAGGAGAGCTACCACCAGTCTGCCGAGCACATCAAGAAGCGCTTCCCCCTCGACAGGGGCATCACGCCGCTCGTACTCGAACAGAAGGTTAGCTAGTGGGCATTCTTGGATGCATCAGGTGACCGCATCGATGCATGTCTCCCGCTGTGTGCAGCCCGATGACGTCATCGCAGGTCTGCAGAAGGCCAACACGAAACTCATTGAGGAGCGCGACGAACTCAACCAGCGGGCAGCGAAGATGCAGGAGGAGAAGGCCCGCCTGCTGTCGGAGATGCAAGATTTGGAAAAACAACTCCGGACGGGCGGTGAGGCGGCCATCGGGGAGACCAGCCTGGCCAACCTCAGCGCCAAACTGCAGCAGGTGCGTACAACGAGTGTTGGGGGAAGCCCTGTAGTGTTGTCTGATGGTCAGGATCTGAAGCGGGCTCAGGATGTCCCCGAAGGTACGACGAGCGACAAGCGAGAGGCGCTCCTAGGCATTCTCAAAGTATTGGAAGACAAGGTCGGACGGACAACAACCTCCATCCATCCACACACACACAACACACGTCAGTCAAATCATGCATGTCGCTTCGCCTCATATGTATATCAGATCGATCAACTTCGCAACCTGCAACGACACTTCCGTGACAAGCTGTCGGGCGTCCCGACGGCTGCAGCGGCATTTCCGCCTCCCTCGCCGTTCCCCCCGGTCCTGCAAGGCCTCCCAACAGCAGCCAGACGGCAATTCGTCACCAAACGGTCGTTTCTGCCATCACCGTGTTTCGCGAGACGGGCGCCCCCGGCTCCCGGTGTGTCCTCTTCGCTGCCCCCCAGCCCGTCCACCAAGACTGTCTGCTGCGGGCTGCGCAGCCCCAGAGAGCCTCAGCCTAGAGATGTGAAGCCAAAGGTAAAAGACCGCACCGTACAGTGGCGACCGATCATATCGACCACTTAGTGTCTCGTGTCTCCGTCTGTCTCTCTTCAGGCCAGGGGTGGTGTACCTCCCCTGAACCTCGGGGTGATGAGCCAGCCACAGCCCAAGTGGAGTCCGCCGTCATACAGAGAAGAGGCCAACTTGAAGATGCCATTCCCGTCGGAGGAACCGAAAGCCGTGTTTTCTCCCCGGCCGCCCAGCCCCGTGCCGGTCGGGTTCGCTACACCCCGCGTGACCTCGACTGTCGTCATGTCGCCGCCGCCGGCAGATGTGCGCCCTGTCCAGACTGCTCGTCCCTGCTACGTCTCGGTGTTTTGCGGACCACCGAGACCACAACAGCCTGCAAGTGCGGTTCGGTCTTTCCAGCCCCACCCTCCGTGCCACCCGAAGAGCCCCCCTGCCCCCGCCAACAGCAGCCTGCCTTCATCGCCCCTTCCACCGCCCGTCCTCACGATGCGCCCGCCACCGCAGTCTGCCCCTGCACCGACTGTCCAGCACATGAAGGCGTCTGCACCACAGCCGGCGAGTGTCTCCCGTGTGGACAGCCCCTGGCCCACCTCTCGACCGGCGACGTATCGGTATGTAATGGGCCCATTGAGTCAGAAGCAGGGGGCGGGGAGGGTCGACGAGGAGGGTGTCAAGCGGGATCTCATGAGACAGGAGACCTCTGCGTGTCAGAGGTGCTGCATATCGCACAGGGGGGCCAGACGAGACAAGAAGTGAGTGATGAACACGTGGTGGGGTGGCGTCGGTCGGGGTGCTTCGAGGAAGGACCGCTTTGTTTTTGCGTTGCTCTGGACGCCTGTACGTCTGTTGGTCTGCGTGGATGCCTGTCTGTCAGTATGTTGCCCTCCCTGTGTGAGTGGATTGGGGAGGGGGGTCTGTGTGCTGCGTGGGGGGAGGGAGGACAGAGAGAGGGCAGGAGAGACAGGTGCTTTGTGTCGTGGGTACGGTACGCTCGTTCCTGGTGGTCGAATGAATATGCACATCACTGGCTGGACTGACTCATCACTTGTCTGCGTTAGCAGGCGGCTCTCGAGAGATGACTGATCAGATCCCTCTGTATTCCGTCGGTTTCGTCATTCCTCTCACGGCTTTGGATTTCAGTGTCTGATTCCAGTCAGTCGTCCGTTGAAACGCCACACGGAGAGAGAGAGTGAGTGCCATCCATCCATCCATCCACCCCCCTTGACCGGCAGCCCCACCTGCCTGCCTGCCTGCCTGCCCTGTCTGCCTGAGTCGTTGGTTGTCACCACTAAAGTACACACCAGACCAGGGGGGAGGGGCAGGGCCACCCCACCCAGACACGCAGCTTCCCCCCCACACACACGGGTCCGACCCATGCAATCGAATCGATCTGCCAGGCTAAATATATGATGCATGTCATGTACGCACACGCGTGATAGGTGTGTGCCACACACACACGCAGTCTGGCTTAGCTTAGATACGTTCTTTGTTTGTTGATCGAATTGGACAAAACCGAGTCAGTCAAAGTGAGTGCTGTATGAGTGAGAGACCATTCGTTGTGTTGTCGTCGGTCAGGTAAGTGGACAGGGCAGGCAGCCAAGCAGCCCGGCAAAAAGATGCCTGCCCTTCAGGCAGCCACCGCCGTTCTCTCCTTCACTGTGACCCCCCCTCCCCCCATCGCGACACCCCATGCGCCACACACCCCCCACTTACATGCTCAGCGACCGCCACTGCACCCATCCATCCATCCGCCCTGCTGTTGTCCACCTGCTCTGTGCTTGTCTGTCCGTTGGAGCGAGTATTGCCAACCAAGACTACCTGCCTGCTGCTGTTGGCTCTCTTGCAAGAGCTACGGCAGCACACAAGCATCTGGCACAGTAAACAAAGGAACCAACACACTCGAAAACACTCAACACTGCAGGTGGCACTGATCTGTGTAAGTGTGCGCCACGCCCACCCATCCATGTGCTCATCGCACCGATATTTACCTTACGAGCAGGAAATGTCGCACCGAGACCTCCGGAAACGGCATTTCGGTGTTAAGTCTCCTCTCGTGAGGTCAATATCGGAACGACTCGCACACAGACAGGTCAATCAACTGCCGACCACATGTGGTATGGCTCGTTCGCTGTGCACCTCATCTGGCCCTCCAGAGCCCCCGTCCACCCAACCACCCACTTCTCTCTTACCTAGCCTCGCATCTGCAGGCGTGTGGGGGAGGGAGAGGGCAGGGGGGGTTGAAAGCAAGAACGGACAGGCAGTCAGACAGATAAGACAGACAGACAGACAGGGGTGCTGATGTGACAGTGTGGGTGTGCTTCGAGCAAAAAACCGACACAGCATCACTCACAAGAAACCGATGGATCGCAGCGATAAGTAAATACGACGCACACGCACACACATGAACACCACACCATGGAATGAAATGGAATGGAACGGACAAGTGGGAAAGAGAGTGTGCTCTTCGAGTCAGTCCTGGTCAGCCCCTATCTCTCTCCTCCTCTCTGCATCTTCCTCCTCTCTCAGCCAGCCACGTGCGCATCCATCGATCGGCCGTGCAGCGAATTCACCCAACAACACAACACAAGGCAGGCAGGCACCCAGGAAGGCAGGCGGGCAGGCAGGCAGGCAGCCCCGTCCACACCATGCCATGCTCGCTATGACCATACATACAGGAGAAACTGTGGCACTCAGACAGACATTATGGACCGGACCCCATTCACCAGTGACGTGACAGCTACCTGAAAACAAGACAGAGACAGAGAGCACGTGCCATGCCAAACACCGTTTCACCACCGTCTCCCTCCCTCCCTCCATTGCGACCTTCGGCACCCACCCAGCTTACATACCATGTCGGTCGGTTACTCGGTCTTGTGTTCCTCCTCCTCCTCCCCATAGGCCTCCATGGCATCGCCGCCCTCTCTGCCCTCCCCCTCCTCAGTGTTGGAGTGGTTGCTGTTATCGCCCTCCTTGCCGCCCTGCTGCCCCGCACTCGCAGCTGACGGGCTGTCCTCACCCGTCATCGGGCTATCGGGCACACCACCAGCACCACCAGTAGCAGCAGCGGCACTGACAGCACTGACAGGCACTGCTGGTGCAGCTGGGGGTGGCGGGGGAGGGGGCGGGGGTGGGGGAGGATGGGATGGAGCCGACGGCGGTGCCGGGCCCCACACCGAGCCCATGGGCGGCGGGCCATAGCCACGAGCAGGCGGAGCTGCCGGCTGCGGACGACTAGAACCACCCCTGATCACAACACGCGCGACACAGAGATATAAACTTTATAGGATTTGGTGCGATCTGTGTTTCGTCTCACCGGAAGAAGCTGCCGAAGAACCCCGCTGGCCCTCCCGGAGCTGCTAGACTACCCCACGGTGCTCGTCCGCTCCGCGTGGGCCCGTTGGCAGCAGGAGGGCGCGCTGGCGGCCCCATGCGAGCCGGAGTTGCCGAGAAGGCAGCACGGGGTGGTCGGTTGAAGGGCGCACCGTTCTGACGAGGCGGACCCGACACGTTCGGTGGGACGAACGGCGGGACAGGAGCGTTGGAGTTGTTCGCAACGCCCTCACCAGACCTGCAAAGCACACAACATAACATGGCGACCGCATTGCATTGCATCACACATGAATGACACAAGTGTGCACATGACATGGGCGTCATGTGTGTGGATCCTGTCACTCGTGTGCCCGCCCGTTAGTTACCTACCCGAATGGCGGGCAGGGAGGGCCCTGATATGCCCCATATCCACCGCGCGCCCCCGCCCTGCCCCGCCCGAAGTACCCCTGGCCGCGGCCGCCACGGTGCAAGCCCGACGCCAATGCGCCCCTCGGTCCGTCGTCCCATGCGCTGCGATGGCAATCGAGGTCGTCGAAGATCTCGTCAGAGTGGTCGCGACTGCGGAACGGAGGCGTGAACGAACGGTGGGCTGAGGCGGGACCGCCATTCGATGCCGCTGCACCTGCCGGAGACGCTCGGTTGTTACTGAGCAGCAAGACAAGACAAGACACACACCACCGCACCAGTGAGTGTTGAAGAGCGCGAGGCGTCCGTCTTGATGGATGTCTTGTGTGCTCACCGATTGCCGTCAGCAGCACTGGATGAGCTTGCCCCTCCGCCCGCTGCGGCCGCGGCCGAACTGGACGAGCTCGACGAGCTGGCGCCGCGCCCCCCGAGGCCGCCCGTGAACTCCGCCAGCGCACTCATGAAGGCATCCCTGGCCGACTCACTCAACACCACACTGCTCATGCCTCCACGACCCCTACCGCGCCCGCGGCCGCCGCCGCGAGAGCGTCGCTGCTCGCGGGGCTGGGGTGGCCCCTCGGCGGTGGAGGTGGACGTGCTGTTGGCGGCCGGTCCGCCGTTGTCTGTGTGAGTGTTGGGCTGTGCGCTGTCCTCCTCCTCTGCCTCCTCGTCGTAGTCGGATGCCATGTCGATGATGCGGAACATCTGACGCATCAGATCTAATGATCGCATCGCGACACGGCACGGCAGATACACACACAGAGATGTATGTGCTTGGTCGTGTTGCTGTTGGTGTGGGTGTGGGTGGAAGTCATGTGTGTAGGCGACCTAGGCGGCTGGCGCTGCGCGCACGGGCAGCACTGGCTTGCTGCTTGAAAAGGGAATCGGGAAAGACACACAGACACAAGGACAGGCAGGCATATCAAAAATGTGCGCACCTTCCCTTGCCTAGTACCCCTCTCTGCGCTCAGAGCGTTTGCTTACATCTTCGCGTTTCTTCCTTTCGACTTCGGCCTCCTCGTGTCGTCCGGCGGCCTGCAGGTACTCGAGCTTGTCGCTGGCGGCGGAGAACTCCTCTCTGCAGATGGGGCAGCTGTTCTCCTTGAGCAGCCACTCGCTGATGCACTTGTGGTGAAAAATGTGATTGAACTTGCACGGGATCTGACTCAACTGAAGAGAGAAGCAGAGCAAGGTGTGTGGGTGTACGCGGCGCGGCAGTGTGTGGTGTGTGTTGTGTTGTGTTGTGGTGCTGACTGACTGACCTCGTCGCCCTCGGCAAACTTCTCGTAACAAATGGGACACTCCTGCAGACAGACCAGACCCAACAAAGGCGCCGAAAATGGAGTTCCATCTTATATATCAACTGTGAGCTCGTGGAGGCTCTATCAGCTCCCTGACTGACCTTGTCATTTTCGTCGGCGACACCCGCAGCGGTGGCCTCGTCGACGCCCACCCTCTTCAAATCCTCCAGGAACTCGGGACACACACCCTTGACCTTGGCAGCCGCAGCATTCTGATCCGGTCACACAAACACCAACACAACACATTCAGTCAGTAAGTCTCTTGCGTGTGCTGTGCGATTTCCATCCACAGCATTGGATTGCTCAGCTCACGTACGTTCTCTGCGTTCTGGGTGGCGCGGTTCTCGATCACGTTGATGAACATCTGGCAGACACGCAACACGAATGACACAACATGACACAAGAGTGAGTATAAGACACATAGATGCATCCCTCTTCCTTCCCTCCGTTTGTCTCAGCCACCCACCTCGAAAGGTATCATATTTCCTCCTGGCAGTCCCATGAAGAGGCCGGAGTGGCCTCCCCCGCCCGGGCCGCCACCCCGCTGAGACTCAGGCACCTCCTCTAGAAAACCGTCGCCGCACGTCGGACAGTTGCCTGCAGGCAGATAAGGGCAAGAGGGAGTGAACTCTCACGCCTGACCACTGACTGCCGTCCCACAGGCCCACATCCAGCTTCTCTGACCATTATTGAGCTCGTATACGGTCGCCCTGCACTGGTGGCACCACCACGCAGCGGCGGCCCCTCCAACCGAATTGGAAGCGCCAGACATCGCCAAATGCAGCTCTGAAGAAGACTTCTTGCGCGTGTGATGCACGTGACGTGACTATCCTCCTGTGACAGACACACACGCACCATAAGCACGGTTCTGTCTGACTGGGGCGTCTGGAATGCTTCCCGATCGCTCCAAGGTGCCGGCCTTACCTACGGAAGGCTTTCCATATCGTTAACCTTGGAGCGCCACATCGGCGACCGTTTCGCGCCCTCAGCGCTCTAGCCCCTGACCATCTCGGCAACGGACACTTCTAACGAAATCCCCATCCTCCTCTTCGCTGGCTAATGCATCCAGAGGGTGTTGATCCTTGCTTGTTGCAAGAGCTCCTTGGCCCTCAGTGAGTGAACTCGGTTACCGTCAGCCTCCTACCGGCACGTACATCGTTGAGGATCAAGGCCAGCGAGCTATGTCTGTCAGGTGGGTGAAGAGGGCACCTGGGGAGGGCACACACGCACACAGACAATCATACCACCACACCACTGCACAGCACACACTGTACACTTACGCCCGACGCCCTCTGAGGCCCGATCGCTGATCTGTGGCTGATTGTGTGCTGTTTGGCTTGCGCCGCTGTGGTGTGTTCCTTGGCTGCAGCCCCCTGCTCCCCGCCTCTCGGTTCGCCGAGTCTGACGGCACCCCGCAGCACTCGACGACCGTCCACCATCGGCACCCGAGGTCTGCCAGCGAGCGGGAGAACCTCTCACGGCCGCTCAGCTGGGTGCGCATGTTCGAGCGGAGCCGGAGCGCCGTATGGCGTGACGACGACTCGCAGAGCCACTCGACCAGCAGTAGCGGCCACGGCCATGGCAAGCCCGACATCGAGAGCCCCTCCCACCCCTCCCCTCCCCACTCCCACAGCCACCACCACCTCCTGCCATTCGCCAGGGCGGGCAGCTCGCTGCGGCAGTCCATGGCAACCATCACCCTCTCGCGCGCACTCTTCCTCTGGGTCATGTCACTCTGTATAGCATTATCCATCTACCTCGCCACCCCAGCCCTCTACTACCTCTACTTCAAGGCACGGTGTAACTGCCCACAGGCCGGCGACGGCGTGGGGCCAGGCGGCACCACCCTGGCGGCCTTCGAGGTGGCCCCACCGGACAGTTCTTCCCTCTCAGATCGGCGGTTCTCGAACCATCCCCTGATGGACTCTATGTGTTGCGAGCTGACGAAGCTCTCCGAGGACACGTACTTCAATCAGGAGGACGACACGGTGGTCAACGACACGTCTACGGCGTCGAGCAGCAACACCAACCAGACCGGCTTCTTCCGGCGCATGTGCTCACCATGCGTCAAGAATGAGACCCAAGCCGAGCTCACTCGGCTGGACGCCTCGCGGCTGCCAGACGAGTACGTGTTGGTGCTCGATGACGACTTTTCGGACGGCCTTGACCGGTCTCGGTGGGACTTTCGGCTGGACACCAAGGTGCCCACGTGCCACAGCGACGCCGACTGCGTGTCCACGGAGGAGGGCGAGCTCAAGATTCGCATGCTGGACCAGAGGAAGCTGACCGAGATCAAGAAGGAGAGGAGGCGGAGAAGGCTCCAGATGATAGAGGACGGCCTCGAGGAGAACGGGCAGGGGAGTGGGGGGTGGGGGTCGGATGGTGGTGCGGCAGGGGCGGTAGGCAACGCGACAGCTGCTGATGGTGGTGGCACGCCCCGGTGCGATTTCGCGGGGGGCGGCATCGTATCTCGGCGGCCGTTCGAGTATGGTTACTTCGAGATGAAGGCCAAGATGTGGCACCAGCTGGGCTGGCACCAGGCATTCTGGCTCACTTCATCGAAGGACCTCAGGACGTAAGACACTCACACACGCAGGATGCGATCGATGCCTGTGTGTAGAGAGATGTGACGGGATGACGGAAATGTATGTTTGATTGTGTGTGTGTGTGTGTGTGCAGCCCGGCTCCTGGTCCGCGTCAGGAGATCGATATCCTGGAGACCAGATCAGGGCACAAAAGCATGACTTGGAACGTCCACAGGTCCGCTACGCTACACACCCACACAGAGACAGCGGAAGAAAGGATCCATCCATCAGCTTAGCTAGCTTGTGTGTGGTGACCGCAGGTGGGCGCCTAAGCCCCACGAGAAGCTGGCCGGCAAGTACATCCATCCTGTGCCCGACCTGAGTGAAGACTACCATACGTGGGGCTTCCTATGGACACCCACTGAGGTACCTACACAGACAGCCACACACCACACCACAGACTCTCAGATAAGATGCGCTCAACCGTCCGTCCACCTCTCGTGTGGGTCGTGTCGTGTGTGTCATTCATGTGGTCAGATGGTGTGGTACTTTGACTCGTACGAGACGGGTCGGATCTCGCTGAGCTCTCTGGACATCCAGCTGCGCGACTGGACGCCTCACCACGTGTGGGTGACGGCCATCTGCCTGGGCACCACGTACAAGCAGATCAAGACCAAGCAGCTCCCGGGCGTCATGCACGTCAAGTACGTCAAGGTCTTCCAGACCAAAGACGACATCCAGAGGCAACGAATCACCGAGATCGAAAGGAGGACGGGATCGGGCTTCGGTGTCCCGCCCGCACTGCCGCCCAGGCCACACATCAAGCAGCAGCAGCAGCAGCAACAGCAGCAGCAGGTGCAGCAGCCAGCGGGTGACGAGACGGTTCGGGATTCTGTAGACGTGCTGTCGGTGGTCGAGGAGAAGCGGGGCTCGGGCGTGTCGATCATGGCACAGCTCCAGCACCAGGAGTCACAACAAGAAGACCGGCCCGATGGCGTCGACCAAGACCCGCCCCCTCAACCCGAGAGCGACCTCTGGAGTGCCGACGACACCGTCACTGTGGCCCCTCCCCTTTCGCCCCTCTCGCCCCTCTCTCCCCTCTCCCCCCTCACTGGTGAAGATGACCAAGTCTTTCCCCCTTTCCCCCCGCTGGCGTCTTCATCCCGCCCCCTCTCCCCCCAGCTGAGCGACTCAGAAGTATTTCGGCCGCTGAACCATCGGCCAAACACGCTCATCGAGCGCTCACAAACACGGCAGCAGAACCAGCACCAGCAGGAGCAGCTTCCAGAAGATGTCGAATGGAGGGACACACAGCAGCAGCAGCAGCAGCCCGTCAGGCCTGATGGCGGGGGTGAGGTGTTCGGCCGCATGAGGGAGCGGGTGGAGCGGTGACAGTGGCGGAGAGAGGGGGCTGGGTCAGAGAGAGAAAGTGGGAGAGGGAGAGAGGGATGATGATGGATGGACGAGGTAGGGACAGATTTGTTGTGCAATTGGTTGACGAGACAGAACGAGTGAAGATGGATGGATGGATGGAATGACGAAGGTCGGTGGGTGGGCGGGTGGATGGATGACGCAGCTGACGGGTGGGTGCGGTGACAAGAGGGTTTTGTGTCTCTTTTGCCCTCTTGCGGTGCGGTCGGTGCGTATCTGTCTATCTGTCTGTTATCTACCCACCTCTGTAGCACACTAGATGGATGGATGGATGGACGGCTAGGGAGGGGCCAGAGACGCACTCGTCGGGGCGGTGCGGCCCGGAAGGCGCAGCGACGTTCGAGCATGGCCTTGATGATGACGATGCATTCATTGCATGGTGGATTCATTCACTTTATGCATGCCATGCGTGTGTGGACTCATTTCTGTCTGTTCCGTGATGATGGATGGAGTCAGGCGGTCTATACGTGTGTGCGTGAGATATGACACCTACCTAACGATCCAGTGGGGGAACTGGTTTGTGTGAAAAGAGGAAGGGAGGGACAGATGGGCAGAATGGAGAGAGAGAGAGAGAGAGAGAGAGGGATGGAGATGAGACGAGACGAGACGTACACACGTACAGATGCGTGTTCGCGGGCCGGGCTGGGCCCACATCTGAGTGGATGAGTGAGTGCATTGGATTGGATGGATGGGGTGATTATTGAATGATCATCGTGATGTTCCGATATGATATCATGATAGCATGAATGGATGACTATATTATCCGGCGGGACGGACGTTTTTGGTTTTTCTGTTGGCTGCATGGCATGGCATATGGCATGGCATGGCATATGGCATGGCATGGCATGGCATCATCCACCACACTCATCCATCCATCCATCCACACACACAGACACACACGCACGCATATACATACGTGTGATAACGGTACTACGATACGGTATGGGCTGAATGGTAACTACCTACCGGGCTCGTTGGTTGATGGACCAACCAATGATGACACACAGACAGACAGACAGACAGACCGACTGGCTACCACTGTTCTAGGTCTGTTTGTGGCTGTTATGCTGTTTGGGCGTGTGCTGTGGTGCGTGTGTGTCTGTGTGTGTGTGTTGGGGGGCGGGGGGGAAGGTTGGCCGGCTGCACGAAAGACAGACAGGTCGGGCGGGGCGGGCTGCGAGGGGCGGGGGCGGGTGTATAATAATGTAGAGCGCATATTGGCTGCTGCTGCTGCTGCTGCGGCTACACACTCCTAATTGATCGACCTCTATCTATATTATATCTGTCTCTCGCTTCTTCGCTCTATATTATCTATCTGCCTATGCCGTCCTTCTCTGTCTGCCCATCTCGCGCCTCTCTCGTCTGTCTGTCCGTCTCAATGAATGGGCCGCTGATAGAAATGCTATGCTGAGCATAGCACGTACACACGCAGTCTCTAGAGATAGCCCCCAGACAAACAAAGAAACAAAGGCGGTGGACCAACGGCATGGCGGGCAGCTGTGTGGTTGCCATCCATCCAAACCATACGCACCGCACCCTCACTCACCTCTCTCTCTCCCTACCTAATGGCGTGCATGAGTGCTGTACAGACCTAACGAATGAATGCGCGGGTCGGCCAAGCGTGTGATGGGTTGATGGGTGGATGGATGGACGATGTGTGTTGCGCCGCCACCCGAGCCATTTCTTTCCGCCTCTCTGCCTGCCTGCCTGCCTGCCCGCCTGCCTATATGTTATGTTGTAGTTTTTTCCTTTTTCGTGATCTCGTCCTGCATGCTTGGATGGATGGATGCGTGAATGCGCACACACATTGTGAATGTCAGCGAGCCCACTGCCACACACACAGAGCAGCCTTTTTGACCGACCGGCCGGCCACGGAAGGGGCAGTGAGTGCGCTTGCAGGGTGCTGCGTGCTGACGTGTTGTGTTGTGTTGTGTCCTACTGCCTTCTTTTCTTGTGTGTGTACAGCCTTCAGAGTGTGTGTGTGCGCATCCGGTTTTATAGGGGTGTCTGTCTGTGTAGTGTCTGAGTGTTGTGATTACGTAGCCGTTCAGCTCAGGGGGGCGAGAGGCGTCCGACGGATACATATAGAGCGCGCCCCCTGCCCACTTAACACAGACAGCACACAAGCAGACAGACAGACAGACAGTCGTAATGCCATCCACACATGCACACATGGATCCGCTTTTTGGCTCCTCCCTGCGTTGCCTTGCGTTGCGATGTGGTGTGTGGTGTGTTGTGTTGTGCTGTGAGTGGTGACCATTTATCGATGGATGACGCCGTGCACCGACTTGCCCCCACACACACTGCCTGCCTGCCTGCCTGCCTGCCGATGTTGCCTGTCTGCGCACATACAACACCATCCAATCTCCGTGTGTATCAACGGGTGCCTACGTTTTTGCCATCAATCCAACAGCCAGCCAGCCAGCCGTTCAGCCACATGCACCATATATGGGTGTGCATATATAGTGTACTGTGTCAGTCGGGGGGCGGGTGAATGGCTTAAGTGGGGGTGCAGGGGGTGGGGCGGGCCACTCACACACCACACGACACGCACGCGCACACACGGGCGAATGGATGGATGGATGGATGGATCGACGCATCGACGGACCGACCGGCTGACCGATTTACAAGTTTTTGGGGTCCATCGATCGTTTTTTCTGGCTGTGTTGTGTGTAATCCATCAATGGACGGTACGGTATGCACTGCTAAGGCCAGGACAACACGATGCGCCAGGACTCGGTGGGTGGGCGGGCGGCTGGTTGACGCGCTCTCGGTATGTAAAGTTTTGTGGACCCTCTTGCTGGCTGCTACATACCGTCCGTATGAGGACAGGTCGTTTACCTCTCCTCTCTCTCGCCCATGGTTTGTGTTTCCTCTGGTCGGTCCTGCTTTGGCTCTTTCTCATTCTCGTCTACTCTACGGATGGATGTGTTTTATGGATGGAGGGAGGGATGGTTCTATCCTATCTACCTTGCGTCCGCTGTCTTGTGTGGTGCCGTGATGTCTTGTGGTGTGTGTCGGTGTCATCGGCTGCATGTGTCTGAAGCCGTGCAGAGGGAGAGGTCGTCTTGCCGTCACGCGACAGCCCGTGTGACGCGCCAAGATCACACCTCGTTCAGCAAGGCATCGGCAGGCAGCCGTGACCGCCTATCTATCGCACTGTGGTGTATGTGGATCATTCGGCGTGCCATCTCCCTTGGGCAGCCAGATGAGTGACGACGCATCGTATACACTCGCCAGCCAAAGGGAAGGGAGACAGACGAGGAGTGAGTGGTGTGCCGGCTGCTGTGCGTGCCTACGGTCTTTCCTGTCTGTCTGTCAACATGGGCCTGAGATGGATGGATGGGGTGACATGCGCCGACCGACGTGCAGCGGCCTTTCTGTCATGCCTCCCTACCCTACGAGCGTGTGGCTTGCCCAGCAGCTCACCCCGTTTACAGCCTCCCTCCTCTATCTGCATACTCTCTCTTTATTTCTTTCTTCCACATCTGTCTGTCTGTATTTGTGTTTGCTCAAGGGGCCTTCCTTCCTTGACTGAGCGGGGGCGCGCGCAGGCATGCGTGGATGATGCGCCGGTTAGTCAGTCGCCTGACACGCACTGTATCTGGTGTGTCTCCCCTCCCTACGTCCGACCGATGTACGTGCAGCTGCTGTGACGTCATGTCATGTGTGCCTGGTTTTTCCTGCCTGCCTGCCTGCCTAGTCGTGTGTAGCGGCCGGCGTTGTAATGACAGATGCGGAAGCGGGCGAGTCGGCCGGGCACACTCTTTCTGAACACACTCAATGCATATATGGATGGACGGCACACGGACACACGGACACGCGGATACGGGGCCTCTAATTTTGCCACATGAACACATGGGCGCTGTGTGTGAATGTATGTATTTCTGTCTGTAGGTAGGTATGTGAGATGGACCGACCGATCGGCATTGTTTGTTTCTTGCCAACCCTCCCCTGCCATCCCCTGCGGGCTCGCGGGGCTATGCTATGTATCCACGTCCATGGGTGTGTGTGTGTGTATGGTATCCATTGCAATGTGTGTATGTTATGTGCACGTGCGCATCCTCGTTTCGTTGGTCGGTGCGTACGGTTGCTTGCGTCAGTCATCCTATCCTCTTCTTGTCGTCTCGTGTGTCTTCTTCGCTCATCCTCGGTCGCGCTCTCATGTGTGGTTCGTTTGCTCATGTTTGCTCGAACTTTTTCTAACTGTGTTGTGTATCCGGCGCAGAGAGGTCTCTCTTGTCTCCTTCCTCCTGAGAAAGACCAAACCGCCCGCCCGGGGGGTGGACAGTGGGTGGGTGGATGGATCCGTGCTAATGCAATGCACGCAGGCATGCGCGCGCCATTTTGGTCTGGGCTGGGCGGCTTCTGTGGTCGTGCGGTGCGGTGGGCTGGCTGCAGACACAGATGGACGCACACAGACACACCAATGACATCAACGGATGGTCATAGATACAGGCAGCCAGGCGGCAGAGACAGGCAGGCAGGCAGACAGACAGGTTGTGTGCGCACTGGACGGCGTGGCGTTTTGGGGCGGGCGGCATTTTGTCGACGGGTGGGTGGGGTGGGTGCATCCATTCACCAGGCCGGCCACCGGCCCTATGTGTTTTACCTACCTACCTACCTACCTGCATTCAGTGAAAATCTCGATTGGTGGATGGCTGAATACACAGTAAAGAGTGTTGTCCTTTACGCGTTCAGACGTGCGGCCTGCCTTCCTGCCTGCCTGGTGTACATGAATCAAAGAAATGCATGGCGGGGAGGGGGGAGGGGAGGGGGCGTTTGTGTCGTGTTGTGTGTGTCTCTGCGTGGTTCGTGTTTTCTTCTAGACACCTACCTGAATCACCTCACAAGCAGGTAGTGGTAGCTAACGCTCTTCCGGATGCTCTATGCTCTAACCACACACGGCTCTTTTGTCCTCGACTGACCGACTTGGTCGCTCTCATCTCATCCACCCATCGCCACACTCTCTCTCACTCACGCACGCACAGCTCAGCTGTCTTTCACTCACTCACTCATCCAATCGTGACTGTGTATGTTATGTATCGGCGTCGGTCTAGGTCTGGTCCATCCATCCATCCATCCCACTCACGGACGGCTACGGTGCCCTCTCACCCACCCCAGCCCGCCCTTTTGTTTTCTTCTCTTCCTTTTCTCTCGCGCAGACAAAGAGTCTGTCTGTTTAGAGCACACAAGCGGGATCATTCGTGCCGTTCTCGCCTGCCTGCCCACAGACGCTGGCCTCCCTCTTTCCCCCTCCCCGAGGCGTGTGGGCAGGCCGGTGTGGGATCGGCCGAGTGGCTCCGGCTATGTCTGTGTGGCAGGCGCCTCTTTTCTTGTGTGGGCGGGGCGGAGGGAGGCGGGATGGGACACATTTGGTCGGTCTGGCTGTCATGTGCTGAGGGTCGTTGGCTTGTTAGTGCATCTAGTGTGTCTTCCCTGGCTGTCTGTCTGTCTGTCTGGGTGGAGTGAGAGTCGCCGCCTGTCTGCCTGCCTGCCTGCCTGCGAATTGAGTGAGTGGAGTGCGTGCGTGGTGCCCGTGATGATGGTGGCGACGCGACGCGATGCGATGCGAGAGTGTGACTGTGTGGAGCTGAGAGAGAGGACACAGGATGTCATAAATTCTGTCCGTGGTACATAGATAGCTTGATAGATAGGTACATACATGCGGATGGATGGATGGCTTATTCGTACAGCTATATACATACGTTGTCTGTCTTGTCTGTCTTGTCTTCTTGTCTTCTTGTCTTCTCGTCTCGTTCTTTCTTTCTTGTCTTGCTGCTCGCCTTGCATGGCAACCTACCTACCTACCTACCTTGATTGATGGATGGGCTGATGGACTGATGGACTGATTGAATGATCTGCACACATACATACATACCTACATACAGACATACGTACAGTACAGTTCACTTTCGATCGACCTGTCTCTGAATGAATGATACATGCGTGCTTGCTTGTAGAGGTGCGTTCCGTGGCGCACGAGCACGACACACACGGCCTGTCTCTTTCCCTCCCTCTCTCTCCCTGTCTCTCTTCCTCTCACTGTGCTGTGTTCGCATCTGTGTGTGTACCTACATACTTGTCTATCTACGACCGATATCGATTCCTGTCTGTCTCCTGGCCGGCTGGCTGGCTGGCTGGCTACCTGCCTGCTTGGCTGTCTGCATGCTGCGCGCGTGCATGTGGCCGCTCGTGCATGTGACCGACACAGCCATTCCACTGACGATGAGATGATGGGGCAGACAATTGACTCACTTCGATCCCTATCTCGCTGGCTGATGACGTGTGAAGGTCCATGCGCATGCTGCACACGTCCATCTCCAGGTGGGTTGTGTCTCACGAGCAATCTCACCGCAGCGTGAATACACAGGTGGAAACGGGCCGCAAACTGGCGGAGACATTGCATGTAGATAAGTCTATCGCACATCACCACACGCAGCACATGCTATCGTCCGCACACAGACATATGTACAGTCGCGGCAACAGGCAGCAGTCAGCGGTCGGCTAGTGGTGCTGCACCTCCCCCTTGCTGCCCATCTTCTCGTTGGTGTTCATTCGGGCGTACTTGTGAGCAAACGGTGAACCTGACGGCATAGATCGACATGAGGAGCCGGAGCCTTGGAGCCAGACGAATGAAGGAAGGCTTGCCTGCTTTGACGGCCCCGATTTTCGCGTCAAAGGAGTCGTTCTCGGCGTACAGGTATCTGCCAAACAAAGAGACAAGACGTGATGAGGTCTCAATCTGCTCGCATCTCCACGTGTGGCTTACAATCGGAAGACACAGCAGATAATGAGCGCACTCGCAGCTAATGCAATGCCCCAGAAAAAGACGCTGCAAGAGAAAGGGGGACAGTGCACGTCTCATGTGTGTTCTTCGCTGTCTTCCTTTGTGCTCACCCTGGGGCTGTGACGGCTTTCGAAACCCTGCTGAGCAGACAGGACCGTATACACAGACCATTCAAGAGACACGTGAGCGAGTGAGGGTTTCCATCGGCTGACCTGACAGCTGGCTTCCTGCACGCCTTGACCCAGGACAGGTCGATCGACTGGTAGTCCTCCAGGTGGAGGGAGAGCGTCACGCGAGAGCTGCCGGCTGCCAGAGCGGGAAACAAATGAACATCAAGGGTGGGGATCTCACACGAAAGAGCATTACCTGTTTTGCAGACATAGTAGAGACGAAGTAGATTCGGGCTTGCGCCGATTGACCGTCTGTTCGCCGAGATGTACATGAGGAAAAGGAGATGAAGTAAGGCGAGGGATCGTGGGAGTGCTGTGGGTACCTCATGCTGATTTGTCTGGCTTCCTCGAGGCTCTTCGGCTGGCTGCCGCCAAAGCGAATGTCCACCACTTGACGATCAAAACTCAACTGGCAAGAAGCAAGCAAAGATAAATGGGTGACGCAGTGCTCTCTCATCTCATTGTTACCTGGGGTGGCGGGTATAGGGCTGGCAGGTCTTCGCCAAACGGTGCCTTGAGGGTGATTGACGAGCAGCTGCGTCTCTCGTCCACCTGGAATGCATCCTTCTTGGGGTCAGCCGTCACGGAAAAGGTCGGACTCACACTCCCCTGACATCACGCACACATGGATCGACACGATTCATTGACAGTCGTTTGCCCACCGCGGTCACAGCTTGGGTTGCCTGCCCTCTGGGCCGTCCGAACATACACGCCTGAATCAATACGTCAAGATTGTGGGCCTTCGGCGGGACGCAGTGCTTCGACCATCTGGGAGACACAACAAAGGCACGTCAATGGACGGACGACACACGCCAGGCTCCCATTGATGTTCTTCTGTTGGTCGTTTGGTTACGCGATATGAATGGTCTCGTCGGTGAGGTGTTTGGTGAGCTTGAGGGTCACTTCTATGGGCTGTTCGCTCTTGGTGTGGCACGTGTACACAACAGACAAAGTCTCCTTCGAGATGTCTGAGACCTGAGCACAGGAGGGGAAGAAGAAGAAGATGCATGGAAGACCAGTGCACTGTTTGCCCGTCCGCCTTTCCTCTTACTTCGATGAAGTCCGTGTATGCGATGGATCCTCTGATGTCGACCGTCAGGCCCTCTGGATAAGACGACGTCACGACCGGCCTGCAGACGAAGCAACAGGCGTCGCTTTCTGGTCATGAGATCGCCATGTGCCACGTGTGGGTCACTTTGAGAAGAGGACGGATCCAGGCCCGCTGACCCACAGGTTGAAGTTGGTCGCCACCTGCTTCGTCGGCACGCCGCCCTCTGATGTAGGAATGCAGGCGAGGGGAGATGGGTGTGTGACATTCACGGACACCCAGGGGCTTTGTACCTTCGTGGTCTTCGAGCCATTCTTCGTTGGTCTCGCCTTTGTCAAACACATAGCGATTCTCGCTGTCGGCGATCTACAACAGGGGTATAGAGGCACAATGGCGACCTGTCTGCGTGTTGCGACTTTGTTGCGACCTTCCACCCACCTGTAGCCTATCCCATCCCGTCTTGCACTTCTTGATCCATGAGAAACACACCGTCTGTTCCTTGGTCGGCTTGCCCACCTTCACAGAACAGTCGCAAAGTGATGGCACCTTGGCAGCACTTCTCGCCCGCCTTCCCCCTTACTCACATGTAGTGTCATCTTAATGCGAGCTGTCCCCTCTCTGCCACAGCCGTAGAGGACTTGGACGTCGGTCGCCAGCCCGTCAATGATGAGGGGGTTGTCCTGGCTAGCGTGCTCAGAAAGATCCACCCGCAGCAGGGGCTTGGAAGCGTCAGCAGCGATGGTGTCTTTCGCCTGGGTGTCTGGCGCCGCCTCATCCTGACCTTGCAGTCTTCTGGCCCGGTCATCGCCCCCATCTCTTTGCTCAGAAGCTTCAGAGGCGGCCTCACCGTTGCCGTCCCCCTTGACTTCTTCGGCGGTTATTTCCTCTCCCGCTGCCGCTGCGGAGGCGCTCTCGTCTTTCTGGCTGCCTGTGGATGCATCGCCCTCTGCTGTGGCAGATCCAGCCTGCTGTGTCGTATTTGCTGCTACGGGCTGCTCAGCCGTGCCTGTGACGCCGGTTTGACCACCCTGCGTTGCCGAGGATGCTGGGTTGAATGTGGCGGCAGGGACATACTCCTCGACTTCGAAATCCACCTTGAAAATACTCACTCTGAAGGGAAATGCACCCATGTGAAAAAAAAGGATGTCTGGCATCCCATCCTCTCTTCCGTGCTTCTCACTCACGTGATGTCCTCGTCGTTGGACACGATGCGGAACGCTCTGGATGAGTAGGTGGAGTCCTCGACTTTTCCCGCGGCCACGAGCTGGTCTGTGGTCTTAAGGCAGCTAGAAGGCTTGGTTCTTTCGTCGAAGATGACCTTGAACTGCTCTCCCAGTCCGCCTCCACCGTCGTAGATGATGAGGTTGGAGAGATCTCCCTCCTCTCCTTCATCTCCATCCATCCCATCGCGCTCACGATCCATATCCTCCTCATCACCGAGGCACCCCACCACACCGAAGCCAACCAACAAAGCCACCAACGCTACGCCTCGCATATTCCTTCTCGGTCCTCGGAGGTGCACGAACGAGAACAACTCGCCCCCCAATCCGTTTACATTCCTGTCCCGCGAGCTTAGCTTGCACACGCACTGCGCTCCCCTCTGCGTTCCCTTTCCTCTTGGCCCCGGCGATGATCGACGGTTGATGCTCGTGTCCAGCACCACCGCTAAGCATCACTGAGCAAAAGAAGAAATCGGCGAACGCACAGCAAGATGCTGGCGACCATGACACGGTCCACCCATCTAGCTATAAACCATCTCTCAACCACATACCTCTCTCTGTACAGCATGGATATAAAAGCAGCTAGGAAGGTATGCACATCGACACACACTAACGCAGACAGACAGACAGGCAGGCAGGCGGCGCGGGCCAGTCAGCCTCTCCCACCACTCAGAGCTGCGTGAGTGCGTGCGCCACCGACTCGAACAGCTGCTTGGAACTATCCGTGATGCCGAACCTATGAACGCCACCCCCACTCACGCTTGGAGCCTTGAGCGGGCTGGCCGGCCCCTGGCCGCCCAGCGCGTCTGTGGCGGTGCGGAGGCTGTTGATGAAGTCCATCACGCGACGTAGCAGGGGGTCATTCAGATCATAGGACAAATTGTTGGACGCGCGAAGCCTGTAGGCAGGAGATGAGAGAACGAACCGACACAGGCGGTGCCTCCCCCTTCCCACTGCACTTGTGTGCGCCTGATAGATACCTCTGGCAATATGTCCAGCACAGGCAGGCGGATCTCTCCACGGCCATGCCAAACATCGACGTGAAGGACTCGACGCTAACGCTCTCCCTGCAGCGCAGCAGATGGGGACGAGAAGACGCAACACAACACACAGACCTACCACTACAAACGGACATCTATGTGCGTGGTTGTCCCTTACGGCATGCAGCCATCGAGTGTCGCGTCGATGGTCTCGACTCGCGTCATCCGTCGGTACTCCTTCTGCCCGAGTGACCCAGCATAGCCACCGCGCTGACGACGACGCTATCAAGGACAACACACACACCAACACTATAGATGAACCATCGAGCACCGGATGTGGCTGCGCTGCTCACTGGGGGTGTAGTGGTGAAGGTGAGGGCCGTGATGCCCGAACGGGGAGATTGGGGCTGCATCGTGGGAGCACCGCGACTGAAGGGGAGCACACAATATGAGAAACACCGCCAGATATGACTGGCATACCGTTCTGGCACTGGTGTGGAGCCAGGGCTTGTCACACTGTCCTTGGACGAGGCCCTGGACACGCCAACACAGGATGACGCGTTTTGACTTCCCAGCAGCCTTGTTCTGACCTGCTAAGGGCTCCATCCCTCCCATGTGACCTGGCAGCTTCCTCCTTCAGCCGCTCGTCAACGGCGTCGAGCAGACAGAGCGATAGGGACAGGGGGATGTACCCCTGAGACGCATTCGGGGCGTCATGAAGGCTTCCTGAGCTATGAGAAGAATCAGCGCGGACCTGAGGGAGTGATCGAACAGACATATTTCGCATCACGTGTCCGTTTGGTCGCTGCTTACGATTTCCAGCGGTGGCGGGAGCAGCCTGTGTGTCTCGTTGGGCAGGTGGAGCATCTGTGTGGTGCCCTCCATGGCGACATAGAGCAGCTCCACGAGCACACGATACCCCGCTCCCCTCCCCGCCTCGTCCTGCTGCCCACTACCGCCACCGCCACCGTATGTCATGGGCCTGCCGCTGTAGTCGACCTCCATCATCATCGGGCCGTAGGGAGGCTGCGGTGACGGGGCGGCTGCTGCTGTTGACGCGTAGGTGGCGCTGCCCTCAGTGAAAGAGTCGGTGAGAGAGGGGTCGATGTCCAGCTGGAGGCCATATCTGACACAAAAGGAGGAGAGCATGTGATCACGGTAGGTAGCAGTTTGCAGCTAGTTGAGTGGCTGCTCACCCTAGGATATCGACAAACATATTGAGGGCCAGGTGGAGGAGCCGCTGAGAAGCACAAACCAAATGACGTAGTAGGACAGATGGTGCAGCACTCGTGCCATTGTCTGTGTGTCACTCACTTGGTGGAAGATTGACGGCACTAATGCGGTGCTGCCCTCCTCTTCGCCCCAAATGCGACCCGCCAGACGCTCCTGTGGCCAGGCCAACGGAAATGGAGCGGTGGTCACGTGTGCACAGACATCCAAATCTCCGTGTGTGTGTACCTGAATGGATATTGGCTTAACGACGTCGAGATGCTCCGACGACGCCTGGTGGATGTCGAGGCACGATTGAGAGATGTACCGACCGCAATCCACCAGACATCGACTCAGGTCCAGCAAGGCCAGCTGCCACAGACACAGAGAGAAACACATACAGACAGACACACATCAGATCTGATGTGCAATAGTAGAGACAGACAGACCAGACTATCCCACTCGCTGACCCACCTTGTGTCTGGAGCTCATCATGGCCTGGTAAGGCGGCAGTCCGCTGATGACCTTGACCACACACGCAGCCTCCTCCACCAGGGCCATCTCGCCCCTCTTCACGCCCTCCACCAGCACCCGCCTCACACGCCCACCCGCAGCCTGCAGGAACTCCACTGACGCCTCTACCGTTGCCCGCCGCAGTCGCTCATTCACGGGAGGGTCGCCGGTGCATCCAGAGGGGGGTGCCGGGTGGTCTGCTGGCCGGAGGCCGTGGCAGTTGACCTTGACGAGTTGGGCGACCAGCAGGAGGGTCTGGCACCAAGCCAGATGGGTGGGGGAGCGGAGCTGCCAGGCGTCTTCGTAGAGGGGGCCGGTGATGTCGAACATGCCATCCTTGGCCAGGGGAAGGACTGAACGGAACGAGCGGGAGATAGATATATGTCTGCCTGTCTGTTTGTCTGTCTGTCTGTCTGTGTGGTGTAGGTTTGTGCGTGAGTGAGTACCTTGGTATTGGTCCAGGAGGTCCATCTCTGTGTCGATGATGTCGTCCTTGCCGCCCTTCCCCTTCCCCTTGCTCTTGCGCCGGCTCTTGCCCCGCTCCTTGCCCATGGACCACCTGGGATGCGCCTTGCCCTCGACCCGCTCATACGCGCCGCCCCACTTGTCCTGACTGTACATGATGCCCACGCCGGCTCGCCCTGTGACATCCCACTCACTCTCCCTCACAAACACCCGCAGCAGGGGGCACTGCGCCAGCGAGGCGAGCACCTGGTGCTTCTCGACCAAAGCTTGGGCGCCCCTCTTGGTCCCGGCGTAGGTCATGAGCGACGATAGGAGTGACGACAGCAGGCAGGCAGCCATGAAGCGCTCCCGGAGCTGCACAGCGCCGCCAAGTGGCAGTGAGGCCAGGTACCGCTCTCGCTGGGTGACGCCGTCGTAATACGGAAAGGCGCGGGGTGGGGTCAGCAGCAACGACATCCCACACAGCCGCTCTTCCACTACCGAGTCTTGCCCTGCGCGTGCCAGCAGAGCGGTCAGCAGGGATGACGTATTCACAGGGGACAGGGTCCGCAGCCGGTCGACCAGCAATGGCAGCAGACGCCGGTCGAAGACCTCCCAGGGCGAGGAGCGCAAAATCGACTGGTGGCTCCCCGCTGCTGCTGCTGCTGCTGCTGGTGAAGCGGAGGCCTGCCTGCCGGCTGTATTTCCTCCCTGTGTGACGGTGCTGAATGGCGACTGCGCAGGGGTGGGTGGTGGGGCGAAGGGTGCAGGGCTCGGGGGTGCACCCACCCGGAGGTCGCCTGTTGGGCAGAGGGCCTTGATCATCGACAGGGTATTCATGCCGTTGGTGACGGCGGCGAGCACGCCATGCTGGGTGGCGTGGATCAGACACACAAGGTCGGTATCGGTGTCGTTGGGGAGCGTGTCGTCGAGCGAGAAGAGGGCGACGGTCGCGAGGGTGAGGTCGGCGATGGCCGGGCCAAAGAGAGACATACTCCCATCCCACGTGTGGTTGTTGAGTGGCAGCTGACCCATGAGCAGCTCCACCAGCGCCTTGAGCGCCATGACCTCCCCCGCTGCCCTCTCCAGATAGACAAACACGCCCCTGCCCCTGCTGATGCGGACGGCCTTGGCCATCTTCTGCACGAACTCGTGAAGCCGCCGTGTCCCCAGTGTGACGATCTGCTTCACCGCTCCCATGTCGCTCCAGTACTCGGACCGCAGGATCTCATCGCTGATGGTGGGCACCAGCCCGGCCTCGCAGATGGACTGCCAGCCGCCATCAGGCGATGTCTTGGTGGCCATCTTGTGGGAGGGGTGGGAGAGGATGACTGACGGTGGGGTGGTGACGTCTGTGCTGCTCTCGGCTTGCAGCTGGCCGCAGGCGTGGGTGAGAACAGCACCAGGCTCGGGGGAGGCGCCACGACTCACTGAACAAGAGAGATGGCACACACAGCGCATCCACGTGCAGATGCAGCCCAGTCCAATGTGTTTATTGTGCAACTCACCGATGGGCTGTGACGCTCCTCCGCCAGACAGCCCCCTGCTGCCAGCCGGGCCCCCACTCGCACAGGCCATCTCGTAGTCACTCCCCCACGCCGACCGCAACACCTCGGTCACGACTCTCACGACGAGCATGACGGCGGGGGATCCCTCATGCAGCCACTCTGACGCGAGCGGCTTGTGGAGGGCCCTGGTGAGTGTGGCGATCACGGCTGGGAGGAACGGGTGGAATGAGGGCGGCGGGGGTGGGTCGGGGGAGAGCGGCTCGAGCAGGGAGTACTTGAGTGAGTGGCGACAGGCGCGGATGAGGGAGAGCAGGGAAGACAGGACGTCCACCTGAGCAGTGCGATAGGACTCGTCGATGCACACCTGACCGCGGAACGGAACCCCCACACACATCCATGGGCCCTCCATCCGATAAGATAACCCTATTTGCTTTACTCACCTGGCTGCGCATCTGTCCAAGGACATCCAGTGACCCCTGTCGCTCGTTGGCCAGCTGCCTCAGGCGAGTGCCATTGGGCGACAGAGAAGACCGCGTCGGCGACGATGGGAGCGGGACGGGCGGCAGGGCGTCTGGGGGAATGTTGGCCGCAAAGTGGACGAGCAGAAAGTCAAACGACGGTGCCTCGTACTGGAATGATGTCCCCCGCTGGAACGGAGACCTGGCAAACAGATGGGAGGGACGGATGTGTGTGCATTGGTTTGTGTCCGGCTTGTGTGTGTGTGTGTTGGCTCTGATCATCCCCCCCTCACTGACCTGAACTCCTGCAGCGATCTGATGAGTCGCATTGGCACATCGCCGACCTCCACCGGCCCACCTCGGCCCTGTCCGTTGTCGCCCTCTTTGCCCCCCGTCCCCTCATCCAGCTCGCCGCGCTTGCCTTCGTTCGGCAGCTCCCCCATCCCACAAGCAGAGGCGACGGCACACGCCAAGTACGACGCCATGACACTCTCTGCCGCCTGGTCGCCGCCACACAGGTCCAGGGCATAAATGGCAGAGCCTGACGTGGATGTGGATGTGGGCGCGATGCGGGGCACACTGCCGCTCTCGGGGATAACGGTGCCGAATGTGGGTGTCTGGAGGTAGACGTAGTCGCTGCGGACGGGGGTTGTGGGGGGTCCCTTTGGGGTCCTCTGCTGGTACGGCGATGCCCGGATGGGTGTGGCTGCTGCTGAGCGGGAGGGGGTAGTCATGGCGCTCCTCCTCCCCCTGCATGCTCGATAATGTGACTCAGACGAGCCCCTCTCTCGCTCCGGTGCCCCGTCATCCCAGCTGCCGGCAGCCCCGCCCTCGCCCGCCTCGCTGGGCCGCAGCCACGCCGGAAGGATGCCGATCTTCGACAATACGCGCAGAAACGATCTCCGGCGATCAAACCCCGAAGGCAGTCCGTGCGCCATGCCCCAGATGACAGATGGGATCCGGCTGCTCGGTGCCGCCGCGGCAGCAGCAGCAGCAGCAGCTGGTGGTGTCTTGTCTGGCGAGAATGATGGGTCGGGCGACAACTTGGCGAAAGAGTCAGACGAGCCGAAGAGTGCGTCGACGACGGAAGTGTTGTGGCTGAGGAAGCGGACGAAGGTGACGAATGGAGTGGGGAGGTGCGTCTCGACGGGCTGAGGCGGCACCTCCTCGATGGGTGCGAGCGGCGGCATCAGGCGGCTGGTGGGCTTCTTGTCTGGCGGGGTGTGCGTGTCGCCGCCAGTGGGGCGGATGGATGTGCGGAGGTGGGTGTCCATGTGCGCCAGGGCGATGGCTGCGATGCGGAAGACTGAGCTGAGGGCGGCCATGACCTCGGTACTGACCCGCAGAGAGCCGGGGGTGGCGGTGGCTGTTGGGAGGTTGGGGGGGTAGGGCATGTCGCTCTCGACGGGGCTCTCCCAGGGGACGAGCAGGTCATCCTCTAACACATGCCAGCCGGGGCTGTCGCTATTCTCGTTCTCACCTGAACAAAGCACAAACCGACAAAGTCCATCTTTGTCGCGACCCCGGGACCCTCAACTCACCTGTGTCCATCAAGCCTCGTTCGCCCCCGACCGTCCCCCACACCGCCACGAGATGCTCACCCACCTCGGTCAGCAGCCCCCACCCGCCCTTATCAGTCCACGTCTCGAAACCCTTCATCGACGTGTCACTCAGCAGCACCATCTCAATCGCACCAAGGCACGACCGAAGCCATCCATACGCCCCCAGCCACGGCCGGAATGGCTTTGAGAAGAGCTCGGTGGCATACTTGCATCCTTTGAGAGCGTGTTGCAGATCCGTGTGGAGGGCCGAGAGGAGGGAGGGGGTGCGGGGGGCAGATGTGGGGGACGACGGCAGCGGCGTGGACGAATGGCTGCCGAAGAAAAGCCCTGGCTGCAGCCTGATCGAGTGACGAGAAGCAAGAACACACACAGTCAGTTTCTTTGACCCCACTCCCTCTAATACACTCCCCCTCACTGACCGTGTCCCAATGGCGATCAAGTGCAGCGTCCTGATGTGTGCCGCCAGCTGCCTTCCCCCGTCCTCTGCGTTGACCATCTCCTCGGCAGGCTCCTCGCTGCGCACGTCGTCAGCCAGGCCGCCCAGCAGGGCCTTGTCGACCATGTGGGTGGCAAACCTGTCGGCCGATGGGAGCGGGGCCGAGGGGGAAGACGACAGAGTGAGGGACTGGGGCACTGTGGAGGGAAGCGCCACGGTGCGCAAGAGATGGGAGAGGGAGGGGACGGGCTCGCGGGGCGTGACGCCCATGTCCACTGCTGCAGGCAGGCAGGCAGGCAGGCAGGCAGCCAAGGAACACTTGTGTGGTGTGCGTTTCTTCTCACTTGTGTGCGCGCGTGTGCCGTCTGTACCTCTCTGGTGGTATTGTTGCCAGAACATGCACATTAGAGTGAGGGCCTCCGTCGCGATGCCGTCCCACATTTGCTCAACAAGATAGGCATACAGCGACGTCACGACGTTCAGCCGCTCCCAGCTGACGGGCCGCTCCCTCTCCCGCTCCCCATCCTGCTCCCACACAGCCGCCACCAGCCAGCCCACACTGCTGTCCGTCACCAGACCCAGACCGCTCGGCGGCTCCGTCTGCGTCAATTGCTCCCACATGTGGGCGGCAAGAGCGTCGAACATGGAGGACCTGGACGAGGCGGCCACGGTGCGCATGATCTCCAGGAAGCACAGCAGCGCATCCCGCAGCAGGCGGTCCGCAACGATGGTGGGCTCCTTCGCGAGTTGTGCTGGCAGGGGGGGCGGCGGGTCGTCAACGAAAAGGCCGTTGTCACTCTCAGCTTGGCCACCAGAGGGGTAGACCTCAACCACGCCGGGGATGAATGGTGGGTGCATGACGCTTGCCAGCTCCTCCGGTGTGACCCAATCGTATGTGTAGTGCGCCACGGGTGAGGTGTAGATGTGTGGGTAGGCCGTCTCCTTCGCGAGATGCCTGGCGTGGTCTAGGAGGGGCGAGGAGAGCGTGATGAGCCAGCAGGGGGCCGAGGGGTTGGCTGACACACTGTATGCCGAGAGGGTCTGCAGGAGGGTGCGGGGGAAGGATGACGCGTCAAGCTCCTCTAGAATCATGGCGCTCATCTGAACCCACCCACAAGGCCACACAGGATTGCTTCCTTCTTTGATCTCTGTGTTTGTGTATGTCGCGTGTGGCTCCCTCTCTTCCTGCTCACTCGGTTGAGGTACGACACCGCTCTAGACACGATTGTAGAGGGCGACACGGTCGGCAGGCTCACCTGCTGCACACACACACACACACACACACTTCCTTACACGGAGTGCAGTACAAATGCAGTCAGAGTTCGTAGTGCCGTTTTCTCTACACACCTGTCCCGAGGTCCACGTTTCTTGGCTGATGCTCTCCGGCAGCGGCCAGTTGAAGAGCCGCAGCGACCGCACCAAGGACGACGCCACACTGACGCAGAGACGGGCCAACCTCCACCTACCACAGACGGCAACACACTCACACGTACCACACCGAGAGAATGTCCCTCGTGAAAGCTTTGTCCTACTTCTGCTCCTGCTGCTGCACTGGCCAGGAGGGCAGGCGGGCCCACACGACGCCCAGCACATGCCGCACCAGCAGACGCAACATCTCCAGCTGCGACCATGGAGCACCGGGCTGACGAGATGTGGACATGGATGTGGTGACGCTATCGATCGGCATCGAGTCGTCCGGGGGAGGCAGCTGACGTCATAAATGATACACACAGCATACATGGGTGTGAGTGAGGATGCCGTGTGCGTATGTGCCCTGGTAGCTCGTGCATACTGACCTGTGCGAGTGCCACGGCGGCTGCCATGATGGCCACAGCGGCCTTACCCGCATGGCTCGGCGACACGCCACTGCTGGCAATCGGGGCCTCCTCCTACACACACGTCAGCCGTACCAACCAACCAAGACATTTCACACGCGCACTGTGTGTGTACCTTACCTCTGGTATAGCCCTGCTGGCCATTGCGGCCTGCTGCTCCCACGAGATGCTCCAGCACTCCGGGGGGCAGGTGCATGGCGACAGGAGCGTCGCGATGAGGGTCAGAGCCGACTCGCTCACCGGATACAGCCCGCTCTGCTTCTCGTCACTATCCACAACTGCACAGCACACATGACGGAGGAAACAACACACACAACAACACCGATAGATATCAAGTATGGCCACTCACCACCCTTCAGTCCCCTCCCTCCCTCCCCGACTCACCGGCTACGAGCATCTCGCATAGCTGTCTGGCGCTCATGAGTCGCCAGCCCCACGTGCTGCCCATGCCAGCAGCGCCCCTGTCGTTGACCAGAGTGCCGTCGTCGCGACACCGATCCAACAGGGTCAGCAAGATCCAGTGGGAGTGAACCGTCTCGCTGCTCAGAAACACACTCTGAACACAACACAACACAAGACAGCAAACAACATACATGACGCGAGAATCAGTCCATCCACCGCTTGGCTTACACGTCCGCTGGGCACTTTGTAGGGGAGCAGCGCCGTGTCGCCACTGCCACTGAGCGTGCCCGCCATCAAGGCACCGATGTACCCCACATCGTCCGCAGCGACGGGCTTGACGCAGCAGGTAAGCCCCCGCAGCGCCACGCTGAGGGCCTCCATCCCTGCCGCTCCCTCGCCCTCAAGCTGCCGCCTCAAGTCACCGAGTGACAGCAGCGCCAGGAAGCGGTAGGCCATGCTGCACGAGAGGGGGTCGGCGGGCGGTGTTTGTTCTGCGGCGTGCATGAGTTTGGCTTCGAGGGCCACACGGAAGACGGGGTGGATCTCCAGTAGACGGACAAACAGCTGGGAGATGCGATCGAAAACTCTGCATACGTGAGAACCAACCGGTATCATTCATGAGAGCTATACGTCCATCCGCTTCGACTAATCGATAGTATCTCACCTCCTAGCTTGTGTAGGCACCATCTGGCCCCCGTGCATGACATCCATCAGGCCCTCCCACACCGTCCACAGCAGCTCCATCATCGTCACCCGGCCGTCGAGACCGTTCTCATCCCCTCCTGCAATGCCACCCAGCCGCCACTTGATGACCTTGACGCCTCTCTGTCTCGTCGACGCGCCCCTTTCTCGAGGGCTGCGCTCTCGCGGAGTGCGCGGCCCCAGGATGGGCGTGTTGGGCTGAGAACGGGCGGATGATGGGGTCTGCGCACCTGTGAGCCAGTCAAACACGACCTTAACAATCCCCACCTTTTGTTTGTGCGGCGAGCGTGTGTGGGTGTGTGTCTGCTCTGCTCTGCACTGCGCGAGCCTCACCCACCATGTCTGCCGAGGGGGCTTGTTGACGGCGTTGGGTTGACGCTTGTCGATGGCTCGCTCCCCGGGAGCACCTCCACTACACCCTCGGAGTTCGGCAGCAGACACTTGGACCGACACTGTGGCGGCGGGGGCGCCTCATCCACACCAAACGCCGCCAGTATGCCGCTCCAGAGAGTGAAGGGGCGCGACAGACTCACTCGAGACCCCGCAGCCAGCAGTGATCCAGCAGAGGTGATGGGAGGCGGTGGCGGCCGCAGCGCTGATGTGGACCTTTCCCCCGGCCCCACGTGCCTTATCGGGCTGTCGTTGAGCGACCGGGGCGTCTGCGGCGAACCACTCGGTGTCTGCGCGGCCGTGAAGTGGACGTCGCGGGTGATGGGGAGGGTGAGGGACTGCAGCGGCTGGTGCAGTGCCATCAGGAGGGCCACGGCGTTTTCCATCATCTGCCCGTCAACCTTGCTGTCGGCCGGACCCTGCTGCAGGCCGCCGAGGAGGCCGCTGAGCAGGTCGAGCAGCGGCAGGAGTGAGTAGGGGAGGTGGTCCTTCAGGTGTGTAGACAGGTAGTGGAGGCCGGTGTGTCCTCTGATGTCGGCCAAGGCGACGGAGCAGAGCTGCGGGTGAGAGGCGTGGAGAGCGCCGGTGAGCGTTGCGATCCGCCGGAGACCGATCAAGTGGGCGGGGTCGAAGGCAGCGCACACCGCGCGGATGAGCTCCACCACGACCGACTGAGAGACAATAAAGCGGCATGGATGTGTGTCTGTCGACGTGTATGTATTGTGTTGGGGATGGGATGTGTTGTGGCTGACCCACCACACCACACCACACCTCACCCACCCGGTATTGGAAGGAGTACTTCATCTGGCTGGTGCGCCTGCTGCCGACAAATCCCATCAACGACCGATTCTCTACCATGTCAACTGCATACCATACACGGACGGACGGGCAGAACAATAACCAACAGAGGTACAGAGCGGTCAGCCAGCGTCCCCCAGAGTGACTGACTGGCTTACTCAAAGTGAGAGCGAAGATGGGTGTTCTCATCAGGGCGTGTGCGGTGAAGCCGATCGACGGGCTGCCACCGCCCAGCTCGTCGTCCCTATCGCGGTCATTCAGTGACGCAGCCGACCAGTGCGCGCCCTCACGGGAGGCCGTCAGACACAGCACAGACGCCCACCCCATCAGCACCAACGACGCCACCGCGGGGCAGTTCTGAACAACCACAGAAACAAACAGACGGGCAGAGAAGCATCGACGTGGATTGTGAGTTGTGTTGTCCCTGCCGCCCCGCCCCGCCCCGCCGATCCCTCCCTACCCACCATTTCCATGTCAAAGAGCTTCATGAGCTCGTCTTCCATCGTCCCTGCCGCCCCCTCGGCCATCCCCTCGTTTGTATCGGTCATGGCCCCAGCACCACCGCCACCCCCCATGCTCACACTCATGGCCACCTCGCTCACAGCAGCGTTGGTCCGCGGGGTCTGGGATCCGCCCCGGGTCAGTGGTGGTGTGGGTGGCCGCTGGTCGCTGCCCATGCGTGTGTCGAGTGCCTGCGCCCAGTCCATGCTGAACTGTGTCTGCAGCTGGGCGAGGGTCTCGGCCTGCAGCAGCGGGTGTTTGTCGACAGCGCCGCCCTCGCCGATGTGCCTCAGACACAAGCCCTCCAGCAGCACCAGGCAACACATGCCGCCCACCTCCCTACACCCCACACAACCACACAGGCATAGCTATAACACACGAAGGGAGGAGACTTGGCTGACTGACCTGCTGAGGTGAGTGAGCAGTGGGCTGGTCTTGAGGAAGTGGTGCTCCTCCGCCACCTGCTTCATGATGCCGCTGAAGCGCTGCTCCCAAAACATGCTCGACAGCTGCTTGAAGCTCGGACCATCCATACCATGCTGCAATGCACACACACACAGACAGACATAACATACAGACATAGGCCAGGCCGATCCATCATAATGAATGCAATGCACACTGTGGTGTGGTGTGGTGTGGTGTGGGTACGTCTCTGAGGGTCTGCAGCGCGAGCATGCACTTGAGGGTGCCCAGCTGCAGCAGCAGGGTCTCCTTGACTGTCTGCTCCGCCATAGCCATCCAGTCCTCCTCGGGCTCCTTGTCTTGACCCTTCGGCTCGGCAAAGCTGCCCGTCCTGATGAATAAACAGATGAAAAGACTCGTCCATCGATGCAGCCCTCCATCTATCCATCCATAAGTCCACTTGTGTGTGTGCACCCACCTTGGGTCGGTGTCTGCTTGGGTCTTCTTGCCCGCCGACGCAGCCATGACTCGTTCGGTGCTGGAGAGCTTCTCATATGTGGTCTGCAGCCGCTTGCGGATGTTGTGGTGAGTGTCCAGGGTGTGCAGGCACTGCTGACAGTCTCGGTACAGCTGGTGACCTGACGACCAACCACACAGACAGTCCACAGACATACGTGTGAGTAATGCCAGTGCACTCCCTCCCTCCCTGACTCACCAGGGTCGCCTGCAATGCGGAGGACGGCCTCCAGACAGTCGAGCAGCGCACACTGCTCCTCCAGCATCACCCGGTGCAGCGCCACACACACCGCCGGCCTCATGGCCGCCTCACCGACCCGCCCGTCCAGCAGCCGCCCGTCCACCAGCGGCAGCAACCCGTTGGGCGTCTCGCCATGCACCACACAGCATCCCTTCTCCAGCTCGTGTGAGTAAGCCTTCAGGCAGCACCAGGCCACCCACTCAGACAGGCTCTCGGTGCCGTCATCTCGAGTCGGATTTCTCCTGGCCAGCACTTTGGCAGTTGCCTTGACGAGCAGCTTGGTGCATTCGGGCAGATCTGCCGGCAGCGAGGCTCCGGGCGGCGGCGGGGCACCGGGCATGTAGAACTCGAGCAGTTTCGAGAGCTTCTGGATGATGACCGAGTCATTGATAATGTCGAGCGGGGCCGATGAGGTGTCGTAGAGGTAGGTCCTGAGGTACTGATTGGACAGACGGCACAGCGCCCTGTCTGTCGGCATCACCTGAGTGACTCCGGAGGGACCAAAATGACTCAGTCGCGGGATCTCCGCACTTGTCGTGAAGATCAGCTACACGATCACATGACGACGCCAGTGGCCGTCATTCTGCTGCAATGCGGGAAAAGGCCGCATTTTCGTGCTCCTCGCTTAAAGCTCGCAAACCCTAGACCCCAAACCCTAGTCCCTTCGCTTTTTTTGGAGGCTTTTTCGGGATTGCAGGGGGAGAGATCTGCAAACCTCTTTTTCCCTTTGGCGCTTGCCTGCTGACGTTGCCTCATACTGCCGGCCAGCAGCACCGAAGATGCCGCACCCTCCTGCAGAAGCGCATCAGTTCCCCGAGAAGCGCGATGCCCTCGGGTGGCGCAAGAAGATGGCCGTCATCATGTAAGGACGGCAAGGCAAGCCAAGGGAGAGAGAGGAGGGGAGGATAAAATGCTGCTACGTATCACATGCATGTCTCGTGATTCTCGTGGCGTGTGTGTGCGTCTGTGTGTGGATGCAGCCCTTCCACAAACACGATTGTCGAGCCCGGTGAGCGAAGGCAGCTCATGCAGCAGCTCAGTGCAGTGCATGCGCATCCTCAATGTATGTTTCTCTGTTGGCTGTGGCTGTGTGCGCGTGTGGTACCGTATGGCTCTTTTGTTTGTTCAGATCTGTATGACATGTGTCCGCCCGGCGTGACGGTGCACATCTCGCGCATCCACCTGCGAGACCAACGCATGGGCGACAACAAGGAGATGGAGCGCCTGCTCGAGCAGATACGAGAAGGTTAGTGGATGGGTGGGGATGGGCACACAGCCAGCCAACCAGACAAACAGAGAACGTTCATGAGTATCTATCGGTTCAGAGATCAAGTATGCGGTTGAGCGTGTGATGACGTGCAAGCCCGACCACATGGTCATGGGCATGTCGGCTGAGACCTTCTGGGGCGGCATGGAGGGCAACAGGCGATTCAAGAAGGAAATCATCGAGTGGTCCGGGCTCGACGTCGCCACCGGGGCGGAGGCCTGCGAGCGGGCCCTCAAGCTCTTCGGAGCCAAGAAGATCGGGTCAGCCGCCGCTCACACACACACACACACACACACACACCGCACGAATCGTCAGACTATCTATGGCTCTGTGTGTGTGTGTGTGTGTGTGTGCAGTGTGGTGACGCCCTATCAGCCGGTGGGCGATGAGAACGTGATAAAGTTTTTCAACGAGATCGGCTTCGAGGTGGCGGCTCTGGAGGGCCTCAAGTGCGCCACGGCGGTGGACATCGCCCATGTGCAGGAACACGAGCTGCGCGAGGCACTCAACAAGGTCAACAGTCCTGACGTCGACGCACTCGTACAGGTCGGTCACAACGACAGTCACACACACAAGACAGAAAGACACAGAGAGGACAACTGATTGAGGGGCAAATCGTATCTGTGCGTATGTATGTACGGTGGTTGTCAGGTGGGCACGAACCTGAGCATGGTGCGCTTGGCTGACGAGGCGGAGCGTTGGCTCAAGAAGCCCGTCATCGCCATCAACGCCGCCACCTGGTGGATGGGGCTCCGCGACGCCGGCATCGACGACAAGATCTACGGCTGCGGACGACTGCTGCGCGATTTCTGACTGAGGCAGCTTTCAAGGGCGGCTGACCAAACAGATGAGAGAGAGAGGCAGTGATAGGTATCGCAGGATCGATCGCAGGCAGGGTGTCTTTTTTCGGTGGAGAGAGCCGTGACACTTCTGTTGCGTGTGTGTGTGTGTGTGTGTGTGTGTGTGTGAGGGAGCGGGAGAGCGATGGGCGGATGGTATGGTATGTATGTGTCCCTCTCTGTGTAATTGTACGGCCCCAAGTTTTTCCGACCCGGGAACATTCCTTCCTGGTGTGTATGTTTCTCGTGGCAAACTCACTCGCCCGCCCGTCTTCCTCCCTGACTTGGCTGTCGTGTCGTGTTTGTGTACTCGCTGCTGCCACAAACCTTTTTGTGTGCGGGTGGGGTGATGTGGGTGGGGCAGACGAGAGCAATGAGAGAAGAGAGAATGAGAGATGGTGTGCGTTCGTTGACACAGCGATACTGGGTTGTGTGCGGCTAGAGCTCCTCCTCTGAGCGATCCTATTGAGGTAGACCGACTTCGGGTCAGGCTGTGCAAGCGCAGGATGACCCGTAGTCGCTCTACCTCGGGGAGGTCGATTGGAGGCGGGACGGCCGACTGACAGATGGATGACAGATGGATGACACACGGCCTTTTGGACATTCGCGGCAGGGTTTAGTGCGTGCGTGCGTGCGTGTCACCTGATCTCCTCGTGGTGACCGACTGTCTGTGTGTGCATTGCTTGATGTGCCGCGGACAGACAGACAGACAGACAGAGGAACGAGGACAACACCGTGCACGCAGGCACGCATGAGTCCAGCCACGCGTCAACGTGCAGAGGGCATTACATTGTTGGGTGAAATTCTAAGCGCATGCATTTGTTCGAACATTGATCTGGAGGACGGGCAATGACACAGACAGATCTGCCGCTGCTCGGCTGTCGAACTGTCGTGTGCGTGTTCAGCCCCAGTGCAGTTTCACTGGCTGCAGATCGACCAGTCACGATCATCCACTACGTCTTCCCTGCTGCCTGTTTCTCCTCCTGTGCACCTCTCTCACAGCCATGATGTCGCCTTCCTTCAGCCTGATCTCTCTTTTGTGCGTCCTCTGTGATGCTGCCGCCTTCGACCTCGACAGCTTCGCCCGCTTTGTGCCGACAGAGAGCAGCAGCAGCGATGTGAAGCTGTCACTCAGCCATCAGCAGACCACTCAGCTGACCGACAGTGACGAGAGAGAGGCCACCTTTGTGAGCTCTCTGTTTCCCCTCTCCCCAGGCGATGTTCTCAACACGTGAGGCACTCACACACAACATCGCACCGCAAGGCTGCACTGCATGTTTGTGTGCTTTTTGTGTAGGTATCCCTTTGATGTGCCTATTCCCTTGCCGCGCCAGCCGATGGCAATTCGGTCTCTGTGGGGCGAAATTGTCGACGATAAGAACGTCAGCGTGCCCCTCGATGAGGTAATGCGTCAAGGCCACACCCACACCCAGACACAAACACACATGCAGCTGAAGGAAGGCGTGTGCGTGTGTGTGTGTGTGTGTGTGTGTCTTCAGGTCTACACGCACCACTGGTTCCTGACCTACACGATGCCCGGCGACGAAAGCAGAAACCTCACACGCGCACTCATTGTGGGCGCCGAGACCAGGGGTCAGTCAACTACCACTGCACACACAGGCAGGATTGTTCGCTGCATGCGCGGCCTGTTCGTTGCCCTGCCAGGGACGCCGATAGTGTCGCTGAGCGCTCCTTTTGCCTTCACGACAACGGGCGAGGAGTCCTGGTGGCTCAACATGCACCTGCTGAGGACCGACAATGTGACCAATGTGCAAGCCTGCATTCAGGTGATCACACAGCCACAGACACGCAACTCACCAATTGGCCACGCAATGCTGCTTGTTTGTGCCCTTCAGTGCCGCTGCGCCCCCGACGGCCGTCACGGGTCGCTCAGCTGCTGCCAAGACGGCACCCACTGCCACACATCATTCGACCCATTCGTGACGGCCAGCGACACTGACTTCTTTGACGACCCCGCCCACTGCCCAGACTGCAACTCCAACACCGAAGACATCTTCGGGCCGCCAATCCGCAACTTTGTCCCTCGCCCAGCCGCCAAGCACTATCGCGTCAGGTACACTGTCCGCTACGGCGAGGTCACCCCGGACGTCAAGCCGGTCCGCGCCAACATGGGCATCGACATCGTCAAGGGCAAACAGGAGTACAACGTATTCCCATGCGCCCCCAAAGAGAGTGGGCCTCTCGCAGCCATGAAGCAGCGGCGCCTACTGCTCAGTGGGGAGGACAGCGAGTGTGTCGACACCAAGAGGGTGACGGTCGTCGTCAACCAGCCCTTCCATCTGATCAACGTCCGCTCACACCTGCATGTGGGCGGCATAAGTGCTTCTGTGGCCGGCGTGAGGGAGCAGTGGCAGTGCGACATGCGGGCCATCTACGGCACCACGCCACGCAAGGCCGGCAACGAGCTGGGCTACGTGACGGGCATCACCCAGTGCCACTACGGTGAGGGCGAGAGGGTGATGCAGAGGGGCGACTTGCTGCGGGCGACGGTCCACTACAGGCGGGACAAGCACTACGCCGGCGTGATGGGCGGGGCAGTGTTTGTCGGTTACTACCCCGGCGACACGGCGGCATCGACGTCATGGGAATTCTCGTACACGCAGGTGTCCTATGTCAACGAGACGGACAGCGATGTGCGTGTGTGAATGTGTGAATGTGTGTGAGTGTGAGGGGAGAGATGTTGAGATGAGATTGAGTCGTGCCTGTGGGTGGGTGTGTCACGGGGTCCACTCACGCAGTGTTCGCGAAGCTCACTTGCTGGCGATTTATCAAATGCCAGCAAGTGAGTGAGCTTCGCGGGCGCCGGCGCAGTGGATCTCGTGACACGAACCACACGCAATGCGATTGATGAGTTTGGGATGCGGGCCGTTTTGCCGTTTTTGATGCCTGTGTGTGTGTCTGTGTGTCCAGCGGTGTGGTGTTGGTTGGTGTGACTCAAAGATGAGATCAGTGTCAGTGGCAATGTCGTCCATTGGGTGCGTTCACTGCATCGATGAGCTTCCTCACTGGGAGGGAAGATGCAGCGAGGCCGTATAAGCCATCTTTTCGGATCGCCTGTGTGCGTGTGGCAGTTGTCTGTGTATCTGTGTGGTGCTTGTCGGAGTATCGCATTGGTTGGGAGAGAGAGGGTCGACGGAATGGATCTGTGGGCGTCAAGCGCAGCAGTCGCCGAGACGTTTATCTGAGTAGCGATGTGCACCACCCTGACGTGACTCGTCGACGTTATCGTCAACGGGGCGAATTCACCAAATGCCGTGTGTTTCACTGTTCGTTTGTCTGATGGGTGTCCTGTTTCCCCGCTCCTGCACGCTGTCTTGTGTGTCGGTTCGTTCCGTCCCGCAGACTTCGTGTGTGAGCGGGGGCGAAGGACACCCAAAGGACACAGACGAGAGAGAGAATGGCAGACACTCTTTGTCAGTCAGCCTGACAGACATGGGCTGCTCTTGACCCATGTGTGTGTACTCGATGTGTCTCGTTTGTGGGATTCTCTGTGCGATTGCATCCTTAGCACGGCAGAGGTGTATGTGGCCTCAGCACTGTGATGTTTCAGTGGGTGGGCTCCGTACGCTGACGCCGGCTGAAGGACGCAGTCGTGCAAGAGAGAAATGAGTGCGATGGATGATGGGACAGCTATGTAATTGTCATCTCACAGCAGATTGCTGACGTGTCCCTCATTTATCCATTCACATCCATCCATTCGAGCGCCACCGCCAACCACATGAAGAGGACGTCAGTCACCGCCCTGCATCGTCTTGAGCTGGTTGTGTGTACTGCGTCTTGAGCTGGTTGTGTGTACTGCTGGCCAAAGCGATGAGGCTTTTGGTGTGGCTGTGCTGCCTTTTGGAACTATGTGTGTGTAAGTGACTTCGGTTGTGTCGGGAACTGACTCAGCCAAGGAGACTCGCGGGCTCATCTGCGCATAAGCAACACAGCTGTGCCGAGCCAGTCTGACGATTGATCGGTCATTCATTCATGAGACGACTGGCGCGTGTCAATTCTGATGGACAGAGAGATGCACACAATCAACGCGACATTTATCATCCATCACACATACGGTCCGGTCCGTCTACACCGCACACGAGAGTAGCAAGAGGACTGCCGGGCCGTCGACACGTAGAGAAGGGTCGCGGAAATATAAAATGTAGGCAACGATCTGCAGACAGACACAGACCAATCTCAAACAAGGATCCCCACGACTGTCTCGTCATGTCTCTTACCTGGCGTGGATTGGACGTCATGTCTCTGTGGCCGTGTGGTGGGGATCGCTGGCAGATGCGCGCTGGCCTCGTCTAGGGCGTCGTCAGCCTCCTTCCTGCATAAGCGCTTCGGCCTCTCCAGAATACAGCCGAAACACCAGAAACGAATGCTCGGGGGCAGCGTGGAAGGGCGTGTGTGTCAGCTCCCGGTGCTCAGCCTCCTGCTGCGACGCCTTGGTGGGAACGTAAGCGCCGGGAGGCGTCGGGCCGTCTGCAGGTGTGCTGGCTGGGAGGTCGACGGCATTGGCGAGGTCGATGAAACGGACCGGCGGCGCATTGTGGTGGGCTGATGACTGCGGACAGGTCGACGCGGCGCTCGACTTAGGTTGTGACGAGTCTGAATATGAAGACAACACACAACATGTGCACACAGTGAGCCAAGAATGCAATGACACCTCATTGTCTGTGCGCCTGTGTACATCTGCCCCGTTGCCCTTGCTGTGCTCACCTCCATCGATGGCCGATCGCTTGATGAACACGTTGTTGGACCCCACTCCCCTGCATACATCAAGGTTGCATGATTGAAATGATTGAAAACCTGCAGACCGCTCGTGCATTATTACTTTTCCGCGGTGTCAAGGATTCGGCGCGCTTTTTCGTCGGTCTGCGGTAGAATGAGAAGTCCCTTGAGAGCCAACGGCACGACCCAATCGCACTAAGCACGAAGCATGACAAGACAACGACAGAAGAATAGAGCACGAATGAAGAAAGATAAATTGCTTACATTCAGGAAGCCAGCGACTTCCTTCTCAGCCACGGTTGCGACATCTCTTGTCATCAGCTTGTTCAGCTCGTCAATCAGCAGCACACAACCCTCGTCCGCCAACCACTCGTCCACAACGCTCGCCGACACATCAACTCTTGCAGTCCACTCGGAGAAGTTCTTGACGAGCTGTCGCGATGACTCAATATGGCCAGCAGAAGGTATGTCTGGCACTTGCTGTGTCCCCACTTTGCTTGTTCCTCTGGCTCACCCATCGCCAGACGGGCCCGATCGCCGCACAACAGATTGACTCGCGAAGAGCCACTTGGTGGGCCCGGACGACCAGCCGCATCATCTCCGCCCGCTCCGCCTCCAGTCTCATCTCCCTCTCCATGGACTTGTCGGCCGAAAGCAGCCATATCTTGACGGCGAGGTAGCGGCCGTTGAGCAAACCGCCCCGCACGGTCGCCCGTGTCCCATCTCCCAGCTTGTGGGGCAGCTCCAACTCGCCTTCATCGAGAATGACGGCAGCACGAACAGCTGCCGTGGACGTGCAGGCATTCATTCACCTTGGTTGCTGTGGCCGTACTCTTTCTAATGCAAGGAAGGCTTTGGAGTGAGTGGAAGGCCCTGTGGCTCCTGCCAGGGGGGGAGGAGAGAAGAAGTGGCCTCTTTTTTGTGGTGCTCTTTTAGGGTTTGTGGGGTTTGTCGCCATTCTCGACTTAGCGCCGGGTTCCTTGCCTTCGCCAACGCCATGAGTACGAGCAGCACAGCCCGTGCTGCTGCATCACGCAAAAACCCGTACGTCTGGGTGAGCACAGCGAAAGGAAGATGAATGCTTCAGAAGAGATCTCGTCAGTCACCGCCTGCGTCAGTCATCTGGCTGCCCTGTTTGTTGCGTGTGTGTCAGATGGCGGCCTTCATTGGTGCTGGTTTCGCGTGGGCCGGCGGGATTGGGTACTTCGTGTACACCGAGTACTTCAACACGGAGAAGAAGGAGAGGAAGCAGCAGGAGCAAAGGGCCAAAGAGGAGAAGGAGAAAGAGCTGCGCCAGAGGCGGATGCAGAGGCGGGAGGAGATGATTGACGCCTACAGACAGCAGCGGCAGCAACAGAGCCTGCAGTCGCCAGCGTCGCCCGATGCGGATGCGGACGCGCCATCTCCTCATGAGCAAGGCGGCTCGTTTGAGGACCGCCTGCAGAAGGAGCTCGACACAACATCGTAAGTCAGCAAATATGGAGACTAGATGACAGTGTGCACGCATCCCTGCTGCTTCCGCGTCTTGCAGGTACGATTTGTGGCGTAAGGACGGCCTCGATGTGCCGCCCTCGGAAAAGACCGCAGCAGCGAACACCCAAGACAATGGCTGACGACGGACAGCTGGTCGTGCAGTACATGGTACTGTTCTCCTCCTGGGTAGATGGCTCGGTCGCGATGTTCATTTTTTTGTGGGCGTCTTGTTGTCAAATCCGCTGCCCGTTGGGCCCTTCTCATTCCGGCACGGTACGAAGACTGCGTCAGGCTGAGATGCCGACCGTAGTCTCCGTATCGCGTCGTGTGTCTGGAGGGCCACGCGGGTGGCACCAATGTCGAAGTGACGAGACAGTCAAGGAGGGATGGGTTGCTGCTGGACTACCGCACGTGGCATGCAACACGAACATTTATGTTGGGGTGATGGCTTCGTGCTGAGTGCCGCGCTGGATTTTTCGTAGCCCACCGGCATCGAACGCGCGAGTTCCATCTGCAGCTACGGATGGCACTCCTGCGTTCGGTGCCGGTGGGCTACGAAGCATCCAGCACGGCATGACAGACAGGCAGGTTTGACCTTGGTGTGGACTGAATGGCCGCTCTCAATCCAATGAATGCAATGCAAGTGGAGGTATGTATTTACAAGCGTTTCACACCTGCAGTCAGAGGGAAGGAGGAAGGTCAAGTATGCCAGCCATGCAGTGAGTGTCACGGTGCACGAAACACGCGCACGCAGAGGGGCACCGCACCCAATACACATACATGCAGAGCCGCATCCATCCATCCGCACGAACGACACGCTGGGTCGAATCGTCCGTCAGGGAAGCTTCCCTCCCTGCCTCCGTCTGTTGGCCACTGCTTGCCTTCCGTCCGTCTCCCCTCCCCACCACCCACCACTCATCGATTTGAACGAAGAGCAGCGGATGGTGCGGCAAGGACGGACAAGGCCAGCAGTGATCGGCAGACATGAAAGCAGGGTTTGCAAGAAGACATACATCGCCACCCACCGTCCTGTCTGTCTCTTCTCCTCTGGAAAGCCGCAGCTGGTTTGCACTCCCCTGCGATTCCTGCCAACCGGCAACGGCTGTCGATTTGTCAATGTCCTCACAAACCGACAACCATCACCGCTGCGCAGTTCACCAGCGGATGCAAACCAGGTGCCGTTCGTTCATTATACACATCGACAGCTCTCTCGTCCCTCCCTATCTCTCTCCCCAGCGCGCCAAACACTAATCTAGCAAGCTACACACCACGGGCGGGCAGACACCGCCGATCGTCCAATCTCCCCCAGCCAGCCCATCCCTCTCCTCTCACATGAACCCCTGCGTGTGTGACTGGAATGGCGACGAGTGCGTGTGTGAGGCTGAGGCGGGGGAGGGGCCGCGCATGCCGGGGAGGTTGTCGCCCAGCACATCTTGTGGCTTGAAGTGCGGATTGTCGCGGAACTCTGAAGGAAGGAGACGGGCGGGCAAGACAAGAGGCGTTGGTTGTACCATACCATGTGTGTGTGTGTGTGTGTTGTGTGTATGTGCTGCAATGCATGTGTGTAAGGTAGGTACCCATGTAGAGTGTGAGGAGGACATGCAGTGACTCGACGAGGTTGGTGTAGCAGGGGATGTCCAGGATGCCGCACAGCAGACGGACGTAGTCCTTACCACACAGACAGAGACACGCACATGCCATGCATACCCATGACACACACACACGCCCAAACAGGTCTGTGTGGATGGCAGGCACGCACCTGCATGGGCATGTCCAGGTCAGCGAGGTTGAGGTACTCGAGGACGGATGACGTGCCGTCGGGGCTGGGCGACTTGAGGAAGTCCTCAAAGTCAGTCGGCCACTCCTGCATCAGACGCTCGATGTCAGGCATCCTGCACACACGTAACGTACACACACGTGTATATATGCGCATACTCTTTCCTTCTTCTCTCGTGGAATGAATATGTTCTCTCCTGACTGACCTGCGTGTGTATTGGACGGTGGGTGGCGGCCGCGTGCGGTGCAGATCGCTGATGCGAGCAATCCAGTTCGCTATCTGACACCACACACACAATGTACGAGGGAGGATGCAGTGGGACTATGTCTGTAGATGCGTGGACGGACACCCATCCCACCGCACCGACTGACCTCCTTGGGATTCTTCTCCGCACTCTCGATGGACCGTATTTCCATTGGCTGCAGGTTCGTCTGCTTCGATATGGACCGCAGTTTCTGACAAGACCAGCAGCAGAGGCCATTTATGAAGGACTGACTGGTGTGGTGTGGCCCCACTCCCCCTCTCTCTCTCTCTCGCTGACCAGTTCGAGTACGGGTGGGTCGCTTTGGTTGAGTGCCGGCTCGTCGAGCTTGACAAGCCCCAGACCGTCATCCTTGCCATCCGGCCGCGGGATCTTGATGAACGCATCAACCTCACCTAAACACAGTCATTGTGACACCAACACAAAGGCCCTGCCTGCCTGCGTGTGTGGGGTAATGCAAAGAATGCTCACTCACCGACGGCCGGGATGAAGTCGGGGATGAATGGCTTGAGTTTGGTCTCCAGCTCGATGCTGTGCGGCTTGTACCTTGACACACACAGACAGACAGGCAGACAGGCAGACAGACAGACATCGACCCATGTGTCTGTCTGCCTGTCTGTGCGGTCGTGTCTGTGTGTATCCTGTGTGTGTGTCTGTGTGACACCTTCTGATGTAGTTAAAGAGCTCTTTGACCTCTGAGCTGACGTCGAGGTTGGCATAGTCGCTCGGGTTATAGCCACCTGCACACAGACACATACACCAAGCATGCTCCATCCTCTCTCTGTCCATTCATGCCGTGAGTGGATGCGTGGATTGGATGGCTTGCCTTGTATTGGTGGAGCCTCTTCGTCTTCCTCTGACGTCTCCTCCTCACTCTCCTCGTCCTCGTCAGTCTCACGCTTAGCCAGGCCACCCTACACACACACACACACACGCACACAAAGAGACAGACAGACAGACAGATACATGAACGCAGATGCGCAAATAACGGCCAGCCACCGACCCGCATCTCTCTCTGTGTGTGTGCTCAATATGTTACTCACCGGCCTAACTCCGCCCCTCTCGCCCCCGGGCCCGAACAGACCCCCGCTGTCATGATCCTTTTTGCCTGTCGACTCAGAATCGGTCTTGCCTGCACACACGCACACCCATCCGCAATCACACACGTGCTTGTGAGCATGGCATGGATGCGTCTGTGTTCCCTCTCTGTAGTATAGGTACTTGGAGGCATGGCGGGGTTCCTCGATGCTGGCTGTGTCGGTGGCCGCTCTTGGCCGGCGGACACGGCGCCGCTCCTGGGAGTCGACAAGCCAGAGTCTGAACCAAGAGACAGACACACACGGGCGAGCGTGTCTGGGACATGCTCGGGCCACTGAATCTGCCTGTCATCCAGAGAAACAACCACAACTACGTGCCCACCTCACCAGATTGGTCCTCCACCTCAATGGCTTCGTCATAGGGCTTGTCCCTGTGTCTGGACTCGCTGACGACGCCTCCCGCCTCCCGCCTCCTCCCCACTCCCCTGCCCTCGCTGCCCTCCTCATCGCCCATCTCAAAGTCGTTATCCTGATCTCCGCGCCGCTGTCGCAGCGCGCCCTGCAGAGTGTCCTCTTCCTCTTCCTCGTCTGTCCACTCGCCCTCGCCAGGCCTGCTGCTGGACATCGCGATGGAAGAAACAGGGCAGAAACGCCCGGAGCTCGCTTCGATCGTCCGCAGGGTGGTGAAATGAAGACGGAACGCGCTGGTATGGGCTTTGTTTGAGGTGCTCGTCACCACTGTCAACAGATCTGGAGAGATCGGCGTCAACCAATGGAGCTCAACTCATCGTTTCTCTCCAGGTATCTGCTCACCGGCCTCGTGGCGGGCACTGCAGTCGGCACGGTCATCGGCTATGCCATCGCGTCACTGACACGAAGGAAGAGCAAGCGCATCGCCATCGACGACGCATCGGCTGCGCTGGAGAGGGCCCTTGCAACGATGGAAGGCGGCATGCATCACCATGAGCCAAAGAGAGTGAGGAGAGATGGGACTGACGCGAATGCTCACGCGAAGGAGGAAGAAGAAGCGATGAGGGAGCAGCTGATCAGGAACTACCAGTTCTTCGGTGAGGAGGGGCAGTCCAAGGTTCGCGGTAGCTTTGTTGTGGTCATCGGTCTGGGCGGCGTCGGCTCTCACTGCGCCGTATCTCTGGCCCGCTCGGGCGTCGGCCACATCCGCATTGTCGACTTCGACCGCGTGAGCCTGTCCAGCCTCAATAGGCATGCGTGTGCGACAAGAAGGGAGGTCGGACTGAGCAAGACAGAGGCCATCAGGAGATGCATTCATGCCATATCGCCACACACGAAGGTGGGTGTGTGGGTGGGTGTGTGGATGGGGGTGTGTGCCGGTCATCGCACCTTTCTGTCTGCCTGTCTGCAGGTGGATGCCCGCGAGACCTTGTTTGAGCTGTCCCAGGCCGAGTCTCTGCTCGAGGGGCGGCCCGACTATGTGGTTGACTGCATCGACAACGTGCCCACCAAAGTGGACCTGATCGCCTACTGCGTCGAGCACAGCCTCCCTCTCATCAGCGCGTGCGGCTCTGCGTGCAAGGCCGACCCAACCAAGCTCAGAATCGACGACATCGAAAACACTGTCGAGGTGCGATTTGTCAAGGCAGCACCTGTATCCACACACACATTGATTGCCTTTGAATGCAATGCGTGTGCAGGACGATTTGGCCCGTGCTGTGCGGGTGCGTCTGCGTCAGCGTGGCATCGAGCGGGGCGTCATGGTGTGCTACTCGACAGAGAGGACAGAGAGGGCGCTGCTGCCGCTGAGGGACTACCAGGAAGACAACCCTGCCGACTTCGTCCCGCTGCCCAACTTCAGGGTGCGCATCTTGCCTGTCATCGGTCCGCTGCCGGCCATCATGGGCCAGTCAATCGCTGTGTTTGTGCTGACGTCACTGGCCGACCAGCCTATTGGGCAGGCGGGCGCTCCAGCTGCAGCTGAGTGGCAGATCAGGCGCAAGAACTACAGGAAGCTCTTCACAGCCGTCAAGACCGCCGTCATATCGTAAGTCGATAGTCATAGAACAGAAAAGTGCTGTTGCTGTGTGCATCACGTGTGTTGGTGTGTGTTGATGTGTGTGTGCAGGGAGACGAACGACAGGAGTGCGGCCAATGCGGCCGAGCTGCCTTTCGATGCGTCGTCTTGCCTGTATGTTGATGTGTATGGCGGCAAGTGCGCCATCACACGGCAGACGGGGGTCGTCGGCACCCTGGAATTCGTTCCTTGGTACGCACCCACGCACCCACGCACCCACCCACATGCAGGGAACACGGACTCGTGTGGCCTTATGTGTCCCCGCCCGCCTGCTCTCTTTGTTCAGGCTCTTCGAGAGAGGCCGCATCCGTGAGAGCGTCAGTGCCGAGAAGATGGTCTTGTGCAGTGCCCCAGAGGCCCGGCGGCACCTCTCAGAAGGCGGCACGGACGACCGCAACCAGCAGCTGTGGGGCCCAGAGACCACTCAGCACGTGCAGCAGCTGATCGACAAGGCCCGAGACGCCCTCAGCAAGCTGAAGAGCCAGAGCCAGCTAATGAGTGACAGCGATGGTGTGGTTGTCGAGCGAGAGAGGGACTTCGCGAGTGAGAGGGTGGGGGGAGGCCAAAAGAGAAGTGAGAGGGAGAGAAGGCGCCGTGAGATGGAGGAGGAGGAGGATGGATGTATCCATGAAGGCGGCTGGGATGCACTGTGGGAAGATGAATGACGCTTGATCGGTTTGGTGTGGTGTGGTGTGGTGTGGGCGCGTGTTGTGACACACATGATGCGGGCTGAGACATGATAGCTCGTTGACTCGTCTGTGAAATCCCACTTCAATGCCGCATCCGATTGATTACTGTATGAGGCAATCAGCGTGACTACTCACGTGGAGTACGGGCAAATCCAATTTCTCTTCCTTGCCGCAGCTATTCTCTCTGGCCGTCAGTTCATATCCACACACATCAACCATAAATCAGAAGGTCTTCTTATCGCCAAAACCGTCGCTTCTACGCCGACGACACTGCGAGCCCCTCTGACTCCTCCGCAGACGAAGACGGCACTCTCGGGGAGGAGTCGTAGGGGGAGGAGTCCGACACCACCACCCCCTCTATCCCCTCTGACACCACCAGCCCCTCTCCGAGCTCCTGGTCGTAGACAACAGCGGCCTGGAAGAAAGCAGAACAAATGCCATGGACACATGCATGCAAGTCTGACCTGGTCTGCAGGTGCCGAGAAAAATGGCGGCTCCGAGTCGGACGGACACCAGGCCATAAGGATGATGCCCACAAACATGAAGAGCGGCCCTGCAGAGAAGGTGATAAGAGAGAGGGCCCTTTTGTGTGAGACGACTGTAATGTACCGATGTAGATGTAGACGCTGCCGAGTGTGAAGGCGTCGTCGAATCCGATCATCGCTGACAATAACACAGTGGGCATAATGGCCGTGCCACAGCTATGCACCGACAGTTCCTACCCCCTGCAATGCCGGCGAGGCCGAATGAGGCATGAAAGGATGGCAGGAAATCCGTTGATTTGACTCTTGCGAACACATCGTCATTCATGTAGTACATCTGACAGGCAGAAGGGGACAGAAACACGACAATGTGTGCGTCTGGTGTGTTCTCATGGCCAAACACTGCGTAATGTCATCGAAGCACCAAACCTGAAAAGCCCCTGAGCATATAAAAACCAACACCGCCGGCACGCAATTGGGATCGAACCACGCTGGAGCAGCTACCATCTGCAAAAGAAACGGGTGCATTACAACATATCTCGACTCACGCAGCCTGTCTACCCACCGCCTTTGTCAGAACGCCAATTTGAGAGCCGATGAGTCCGCAGATAGCTCCAGAGACCACACCTGAAGGGAAATTGTCATGCTGAGCTGCGTGGTTTCATGCATCTTTCTGCTCACCAAGGATGCGTCTGTACATGTCAGCGGTCCGGGTGCGGCCTCCGTTGTGTGCGTACCTGAAATACAAAAGGAGGACAGACATGTGCACGGATGGATGTAATGACTGACGATATGCTCTTGCCTACATACACCATCTGGTTTCTGAGTTTGACACGCCCCCAAATCAGTGCTCCCACTGTGAGGATGAGCAGGGCGATATGCAGCACATAAAACAGCCTCCAAAAAGCAACGCCAACCTGCCAGGCAAGAGATTTGAGAGCACACAGAGAGCTTTCCTTCTTCGCCTACCGAGTCGTCGTCTTTGTCGCCGAAGGCAAGAACGGTAAACCGATACACCAAAGCACCCGAGAAAGCGAAACAGGCACCGGAAACGACTGCTTGGTCGGCCATCTCTCCGTGCATATGCTGAAGAGCCACACATAGGTACACGAGCATCCATACATCTTCTTTGTGCACTCACGTAGCTCAACACCGGCGAGAAGAACAATGATGCCGCGGTGTACACAGCATATACAGACCGACAGCGCTGCCCACTGTGGTGCACAAGAGCAGAAATAGCGCCTGGGCGATGGTGAAGAGAACGCATCCCCACGCCTTGCTGGAGAAGCCCAACCCCTGGCGTGAGGCGAGCCCACAACTGCAGATGAAGCCGACAACGGCCGCCACCAGCTGGCTCCATAGGGGTGTCAGCTCCGGCAACCAGCTCTTGATGACATAGACGAAGACGAAGAGAAAGCAGATCCAGGCGAATTTTCTCGTTGGCGAACAAAGATCCATTGTTCGGAGCGTCCCTCTGCGTCACGCGAGCAATGGGGACAAGAGGTGGAGACGCCCCCAGTTTCCCATGTAAATTCCCTGTTGAGGGGACCAGATGCATGCAAAGCCATGGAAAAATTGCACATTGTCACTCCAATGAACCAACGTCTGATGTGACACCATGGAAGACACAAATCCCCCTCCCTAATGTCCGTCTGTCTAGCAACGGTCGCATCAGTGTCTAGCTCGTGTTTGGTGACGGTCAAGGCGCATCCGCAACCGTGCGCCGGTCACCGACCTAGATACACGGGCACACAGAGAGATAATCGCAAAAATCAATTCGATGTGACATTAGGGATGCACTTCTTGGGTGCGAAAAGGTGGGTGAGGCACACGAGCTGAGCGGGCAGCAGGCGGAAGTCCCAATGGCCTGCACGCACACGCGTGGGAGACATGCCCGCGTGGGAGACATGCCATGGAACGAGTCTCACTGTTGGCCACATATGTCGCCATCGCACTCACGTGGTCAAGGGACTGATCGAACCAAAAGGGAAAAATCACGTGAAGTGGGCGCATTTACATCGGTGGTCAGTGTATGTCTGATTGACCTTTCTGGGTATGTCGTGGTCCACAAAGGAGAGAGCTGTCAGCACAATGGCGGGAACAAATCCAATCTGACACACACAACGCACGACAGCACAAGACAACACAACACGCCCTCAGATTGTGCTGGAGCCTGATGCTGAGCGGGGCATCGAATATCCTAACCATTTGGAAACTCAGAGGCAGCCTTAGAAGCCCTCTGCCCCTGAGACACAACCATTCCACAAACATTACACACACAGCCCGTCCCTTCCAATGCTGTATGCCCGTCCGTGACGTACCTGAAGAGTGGGAGTGCGGCAACAAGGCTTCTGGATATGATGGCTGGCCCAGTGTCCTTCTTGACGAAACGCCACCGATACGAGAGAGACAGTCTGGTGGATAGACAGCAAATGGGAAGGGGGGGAGGGAGGGCGCGTCTGTGCACACGTACGCACCGTCTTGCGAGCAAGTAGGTGCTGAGGCTCCAACGCACGACATTCCCCAGCAAAAAACCGCTGCCTCGTGCACGAAGGTGCAGGCATAATCTGAAATGTATATGCGGACGTGCAGATGTATGGCAGCTATGCTGCTTAGCTCAACCCACTCTCTTACCGGTGAGTTGTGTGCAGCAGCTCATGAGCTCGGGCGCGTCTGCGACGGCCAGCAGCATGAGCCACAGTGCGGTCCGGACGCCCGTCCTCGAGTGGAGGGGCATGAAGCGAGGATGCCACTGTCGACAAAACGCATACAACGCTGCACACACGCATACACACGCACGGAGACACGAGTGCCTCATTCTGTCTCTGCGTGTGTTCGTGTCTACCAGTGGTGAAGGCCAATGTGAGTCCGATTGGTCCGATGAAGATCATCGTTCGTCCACTGAAGACCGAGTATGCCACGCCGCCCCGGCCACCTGCGACCAGGAAGTCGAACACTCCCATGCTGCCCCCTGTGATGGACGCAGCGATGCCGCTGAAGGTCATTACAGGCGGCAGGCAGGCCAAGTGCATGAATAGCATCTGAGTATCGACTTGAGCCGCCAGCCGTCCAGCCAGTCCGCCTCGTGGGAGTGTTTTTGATTGACGACTGATGTCTAACGCGGCTCTTGGTCGTGTTCGTGCAACACGGATGGGATGAGACAAGATGGCGTTGAGATTCAGCTCCAGCAATGCTTCAAGTGGCCTAGATGAAGGGGGCGAGGGGGGACGGGACGGCACTTGATAGCAGTTGACACGCAAACACAGCGATGAGCCGATCAGTCGCCTCTCTATGATGGGTACCCCAGGCGGGTCGAGAAAGAAGGACCACGTATGGAGCACTGTGTGTTGACACATATCAAGAAGATCGCATCGCAGGCCCTGAGAATGATCCGGACCACTGCATCCAGGACGACGCAAACTCCAGCAAGACTATCAGCTCAGCAGCGTCTAACACGGGCACAGGTGGGGGAAGGGGGAATGGGGGATAGCGGATGAAGGGGGCTAGGGGAGGAGAGGCGGAGGGGCTCAGCTTGGGGGCTGGCACTTGAGGCTGCCGAAACGCAAAGCCGGCGATGAGCCGAGCAGTCACCTCTCTTAAATGATGGGTGCCCCAGACGGGTCAGATCAGAGGAAGGTATCCCAGGCGGGCCAGGTCAGAGTAATGGCTGCGGATGAAATACCCCCAGTTGACCGTGACACTCACGAAGCAGAGAGCACAGGAGGTCCAGAGGATGGCTCGGACAACTGCCCCCAAGACGACGACAAACTCCAGCAAGGCCATGACGACGACAAAGTCTGCAGGAAGACGGGGCGATAGTTCCCTTCAGCAATCCTCTGACGTAGATAAGGGGGGCTGGGGGATAGCAGTTGACGCTCACAGGCAGCGATGAGCCTAGCGGTCGCCTCTCTATGATGGGTATCCCAGGCGGGTTGGGTACGAGGGACGGCCGTATATCGAATACTCTGTGTTGACGTTACAACCAAGCAAGAAGAGAATATAGCAGGTGAGGACGATGGCTCGGACCGTTACATCCAAGACGACGACAAAGTCCAAGGCCATTGGCGTTGAGAATCAGCTCCAGGAATGCTTCGAGTGAAGTGGGGGTAAGTGGGGGAAGGGAGGGTCAGCAGATCAGTAGCCCTGGAGCCAGAAGTGGTAGTCCAGCGTGCGAAAAAAGATGATGCAGTACTCAATGAAGGCTCCGAGGAGGTAGATGGCGAGACCGCCGTTGATGACCACCGTCAAGACGTGGGCTATGATGAGCTCCATGGGGAATGACAAAGACGATATCAGAATGCTGATTTGGTCAATGGTTTTGATGGACGGGCTGGGGGGAGAGGCCCCAAACTTGTGGGGCCGACGTAAACATTCGTCCCGACAAGTCGGTCTGTCCGGTTCCATCACACACCTTACACAC